AATAGGCCGAGGATTGGTTAGCTTATTAGGCATTGTAAATATCGGAAGGGGGATAAATTCTTTGTTTGTATAGACTCTTGAGTTGGGATATTGAGCTGTGATGAGTTGTTATATGCTGTTATAAATGGGTGAAGATATTGTAGATCACTCTTCGAGATTATAGAGGACATACTATCTTTCTTCCCTCCCCCTGAATGAAAGAAATGACAATATATATTGTATAGAAGCTTTTTGTTCCATGTTCATCAACAAGGTGTACAAGTCCCACAAAGGACTCGGAGATGATTCAAGATTCTTTGTGTTCGCGCATTAATCGAAACAAACCAATGACACTTGGAGCTCTATTCTAGATGTATGACAGCGAGGCGAGGAAGGTGGAGTGTATGAGCAAAAACAATGTAGAGGTCGGAAAGAACAATGTATACATAATGTACGCAAGGGTATGATGGGATCTTCTTGAGTTCACCTATGAATAAATAGAAGAGCCCATCATCTCCTTTAAGCAGTTGTGACCCTTGACGAGTTCAATCATATGAGTTTAGTATGACCAGTTGGGACTTGGAAGGAGTATTATGTCCTCGGGCTCTGGGTTATAGAGTTCAAGGACAAGCAGGATGTACCTTCACGAAGAATCGCGTAAGCTCCACCACTCAAAGGGGATCAAATTTAACATGTAAATTTAGTAGCAGTGATAATATATCAATTTTTCTTATGCTCTTGTCATAGAGTTCTCATCGTTCTACTGTAGGAAAAAAGTACATATCTTCTTCCAATCACTCTCGAATTCTTCTGTTTCTCCTTTTATCTTTCGCTGAGTATCTGGCTTTTGTCTATATGAGTATGACATTGATTTTACCTTACGGCCCTCGGTGGTACTGCCAGGTGTAATGACACTTGCTAGGATAACTTTGTATTCCAACTCTGTACCTTGGATGTACATAGTTTGCAGTAGAGTAGAGATATACTATAGGCCGCATTGAAATTGGTGGTTTATTTTATCTCTCCCATAGAAACGATGGTTTTGCAACATACGGAAATATCGTGTGGAGTTACCCCAGCCCAAGGCAATGGCAGCAGGCTTGGCTCCCGGTGAATCACTTCTGGAGCTTTAAAGGCTCAAGCCCAAGAAAAGTACTTTTAGGGCTGGGAGTTGCGGTGGCGGGTGTTATAGCTACACCGCTACACCCCACTACGCACAATATATAACTTCTCCTAATGATCCCGATTTATATATGGAATAGCGTAGCTGTCGGATTTCAGAAAACTCTCCAACTCTAGTGCAATTGAGTTTTGTGAAAGCTGTGGAGAACCGGGCACTTTAGAAGAATATAGAGAAGTCATAGATATTTCGAATGAACATGAACTGCTATTATAGCAATTCTAGTCGGTTAAATGCAATATTCCATTGCATTATCTGATTGTAATAGAGTGCGGAGAAAAAGGGGGTATAACGGTACGGAGTCCTCCGTACATAAAATCCGGAGTTGAGCCGAGTCTGGAAGGCTTGGGAGGAGAGGAAGGAGAGGAAGGAGAGGGGAAGAGATGAAACTGACCAATAGAGAAGAAATTCTCCAACTTGTTCCCACTGAACTCCGCACCGAACTCGGAGACGCCTTTTCGTCTTTTCGTTAAGAGCTCACCGGTTCCGAAAGGGCCCATGTGACAGGTTCAACTCCCGGTTTCTTCCTGATCATTTTATTCGGTTTCTTTGAAAGTCGCCTGCTGACTGTGTTTTTCGTTTTGCCTCTGTCCCTGGGATGTGGCTGGTTCAGGTCCGTTTATCCCGTGGCTCGTGGTGGCAAACATTTGCCATTCCAAGAAATAACTGGATAAAAAGTTGTTTCTCGAACAATAAGAAAGTCCCATTGTTGAGGCTAATTAAGGGACCTATTTATATTATAGATATTTACTCCGTACGGAGTACATATGTAAGGCGAGAAATGCGGAGATCGGTGAAGGTGAGACTGTGATTCGGTCCGATCTGCCCGGGTAAATAACGCCATAATGAAAAAATAAACCAAGGGGTCGAAAAAAAAATTCAACGTGGCCACGGGTGTATGCGTGGGTTGTATTATTAGAGGAATAAAATATCAAATCTACCTGAGAATACATAATTATCTATTCTAATATAATCTTATGAAGAGAACAAGCCCAGAAACTTTACCAAGTGGGCTCCTTATATTATCATATTTCTATTGACTCAATCCTCCCCTTCTCCACATCCCTCGATCCCTCCCTTCCCCCAGTTTTCTCTTTTGTGCGGTGGATTTTTTTTTTCTGTTTAATACAAGTCAACTTGGATATACACAATGACCAGAGTAACGGAAGCCGTGAAGGAATCACTCCTGGGCAGCACAGAGGAGCCTCAGCTGTCCCACCACTCGCGCTCGAACTTTGTCCGCCACGCGCAAAAGGACGAGAATGGAGATCTCGTCATGAACCAGGAGAACTTCATTAATGCCGTGGCACCTAAGCAGGAGGACTATGTAAGTGTCACCAGGGACTGCAAAAGGGTACTGAAATCCTCGCAATTGCTAATCTGGTTTCCTCCCAACAGCACAAGATTAAGCGCGAACAATATGGCGTCCTTTTCAACGTCGCAGACCGACGGAGAGCTGGCAAGCTGAACATTAGCGACTGGGCCTCCTTCGAAAACCTCCTCGCGAAGCCCGACGCCGAGTACGAGATCGCCTTTCGTCTCTTCGACTTCGATGGAACCGGCAGTGTCAAGTTCGACACTATGCAGAGACTGTACAACATGAACAAGAGTGCTGACAGCATTCCCTTTGATTGGAACTCAGAATGGGCATCCCTGTACGGAGGCCGCTCCAAGTCTCGCCATGACATGACCTACCCCCAATTCGCCCAGATGCTGCGCGGTTTGCAGGGTGAGCGCATCCGCCAAGCTTTCCACATCTTCGACAAGGATGGTGATGGCTTTATCCAGCCCGAGGACTTCCAGCGCATTATTCTCGAGACCTCAAAACACAAACTGTCCGACCATGTCCTGGAGAACCTGCCCACCCTGTGCAATATCTCGACCAGCAACCGCATCTCCTACGCCAATGTCCGTGCTTTCCAGAATGTCATGCGCGAGATGGATATCATTGATTTGGTTGTCCGTGAAGCAACAAAGAAGAGCACCGATGGCAAGATCACTCGTGCCGACTTCCTGAACGAGGCCGCTCGCATCACCCGTTTCTCCCAGTTCACACCCATGGAGGCCGATATTCTGTTCCACTTCGCTGGACTGGATGCGCCTTCGGGACGTCTCTCCCAGAGAGACTTCGCCAAGGTTATCGATGCTTCATGGCGCATCCCCGTGATCGCTGTAGGCCAGGCCTTGACTGCTGGACAGGAAGTGGCCGAGAAGACCAAGACTGTGCTTCACAGCGTTCTCGAGTCTGCACACCACTTTGCTTTGGGTAGTATTGCTGGTGCTTTTGGTGCTTTCATGGTCTACCCCATTGATCTGGTCAAGACCCGCCTGCAGAACCAGCGTTCGTCTCGCCCCGGCGAGAGATTGTACAATAACTCCATCGATTGCGCTAGGAAGGTTATTCGCAACGAGGGTTTCACTGGTCTCTACTCTGGTGTCATTCCTCAGTTGATTGGTGTGGCGCCTGAAAAGGCTATTAAGCTGACTGTCAACGATCTCGTTCGTGGCTTCTTCACAGACAAGGAAACCAACAGGATCAAGTACGCTCAAGAGCTTCTGGCTGGTGGAACTGCCGGTGCTTGTCAAGTCGTCTTCACAAATCCCCTCGAGATTGTGAAGATCCGTCTGCAGGTCCAGGGTGAAATCGCAAAGAATGTCGAGGGTGCCCCTCGCCGCTCAGCCCTCTGGATTGTCAAGAACCTCGGTTTGGTGGGCCTGTACAAGGGAGCCAGTGCCTGTCTCCTTCGCGATGTCCCCTTCTCAGCCATCTACTTCCCTACATACGCACACTTGAAGTCCGACTTCTTCGGCGAAACCGCTACAAACAAACTGGGCGTTGTCCAGCTTCTCACCGCCGGTGCTATCGCCGGTATGCCCGCCGCCTACCTAACCACTCCCTGCGACGTCATCAAAACCCGTCTGCAGGTCGAAGCCCGCAAGGGTGACACCAAGTACCACGGTCTCCGCCACTGCGCTTCCACCGTTTGGAAAGAAGAGGGTCTCGCTGCCTTCTTCAAGGGTGGACCCGCCCGTATCATGCGTTCTTCACCTCAGTTCGGTTTCACCCTGGCCGCCTACGAGGTCCTGCAGAAAAACTTCCCCATGCCCGGTGAGGGCGAGGCCATTACACCCACTGGCCACGTCGAGCCTAGTGTCGGCGGACAGGGCGCCAAGGCGCCTCTGCCTTACCTCCGATCAAGGAACGCGCTCAAGCTCATCCTCGACCTGGATCAGAACATTGGCCGGGTGCAGGTCCCACTGCCTGAGAACTGGCCCAAGTTCCTGCAGGGCTCGAAGTAGAGAGGCTTGCTGTTATCTAGTGAACCTGTTATTTCTGCTCTTTGTTTCTTCATCTTTTCTTTACTAGCGACATGTTTCTCATTTCTCATTGGGTCAAGGCCTATCTTTCCCTCGATTTAGCATGAGATCTTTCTCACTTTTCTTTCGGATTCTTTTCCATGTCCGCCCTCTTCGTGGTTCAGTTGGGCTTGACCTGGGATGTGAACCCCCCCCTTTGCGTCATGATGTCTTCTCTTTCTTCGTTGGAGACCACCCGTGTTTGCATTGTACCAACAGCAGATAGATTTGGAAAGAAGGTGTGTGGGTTGTCTTAGAGGGCTCTGATTGTGGTGTTTCTATCAATCTAGATCTGATTTGGGTTGATATTCTTTTGTTCTTGATGTGAATGTAAGTGTAGACATGTGTAGTCATGGTTGATCCAAGTGGTGTCTAGAGAGCAGATAGATCCTATCCGGATCAAGGAAGTATTTGGGTGTATTTGATCTTGTGATCTGCAATGAACTTCATCATAAGTTCTGGGTTTTTGAATTGTTGATTGAAAGTTCGGGAAAATATGTACATGAAGCACGCAAGCTCGCAAAAGGGTATCGGAATCTACTCCTGAGGAAAGATTTCCTGTACAGGTGATGTTACATGTATATCCTCGAGGATATATCGGTCATGGACAGGGTCCATGTGTGTGGGCAATGCTTGACCCAATTGTCATGGATAGAAGGAAATCCTATCGTGATCTAGAAGACCAATTCGACATCATTGAGACGGCAGTGGCCCAATGTGATGGCGTATATCCCGCACATGACCGAGCCTCAAGACCAGAGGCTCGTTCTTGATGAAGATCAAATTGAGTCCCCATTCAATAGAATCTAAGCTTTCGTGTCGACTCTGTCTTAACAACCTCATCTGTGGCTTTTTCTTCCGAAGGCTGTGTGGGTTGCTTTTGTTCTTTCTCGGGCTCCTGGCGTTTCTCTGTTTGCGACTGGGCGGTCTTCTTCTCATGCCATAGGGAATCCTCGGCTTCAATCTCGCGCAGTACTAGATAGAAATAGTCAGACACCAGCCTTAGAACAGAACTGTCGGATATTGGTTAACACACCCTCATCCCACTCTCGTTCCTTCACCTCATCGCCCGTTCCAAGCAACTTCTCCACATCGACCTTCTCCCCATTCTTGACTCGTGTAATAATCTCCGCTAGAAGCTCGATCTTCGCATCCGTCGTCCGAGTATACGCCGCATAGCCGTTCTTCAAAGTGAGCATGCGAATGGCCTGCGAGCCGATCAGAGTGAACATGATGATGTAGAACGTCGCGGGGTTCCATTCTTTAGATTTCTCTTTCGCAGGATCCTTGCGCGCTCTACCACCCCGAAGAAATCGGGGAATCATTGCCGTCCATACTGACGTGTCTGCGATCTTCGGAAGGCGATCGGAGGTCGAATATGAGCGCCCAGCCGGAGCGCGGCATTGTCTGGTAGCGTTTAATGTAGAAGGAGCAGAAAATATCTGTCTGCTAAGCCCGAAGGGCCTGAATCTGAAAGCCATAGCTTTTGTTTGCGTCTAGCAGCAACCGTCGATCTTCAAAACGCGGGAAAAGTTGAGGTCGTGATTGCCTGAGGCGATAAGGCTATCAACGCCCAATAAGGTATAGCGCTGTTGTTGCTGCGACAACCCTCCGTTTAGAGTCCGGCCGATAGCGATTGCACATCGAAGGCTCGACGCGAGCGATGACCTCAGTACTGCAGCTTCGATAAAACGACCAAGAAAATGGCGGTCACCGTCTTACCGGCCAGCTCTCTAACAGAGTCCGTGAAACAGGCCCTCCGATCAACGACAACATGCTCCGACGCTACCGTGTTGTCCCTCCAAACACTCCTCCGCGGGTCGCCAAAGATGCCCGAGAAACCCACGAAACGCACAAAATCCACTAGAGAACCACCCGCGACACCGAGTCGAGCGAGAAATTCCCGCGCAACGAAGACGAAACCTGCGAATGATGCGGCGCTGCAATCATTGGCCGATCACGAGGCCGCGGCATTGTCGTGTCAGGAGAAGCTGGTCTTTGCTACGGAGGTATTCAATGCCACATTAAAGACCCTCACGGATGCAGCCAAGATATCTACAGCAAAGCGTCAGAATAATACACCCGATACTGCCCATGGCCCCGACGCGGGAATCGCCTCGGCTGCGGAGTGCGCCAGGCTTTCTTTGTCCACACTGCGCACTCTTAAAAATGACGCTGGGAATGACCAGTTCCCGAATATGCAGCTCGAGCAGGGGCTCTGTGTTCTTGCGGGAAAGCTTATCTCTCTGGGACTGAACGATGCGGCATACAAAGAGCTTCGACTTTTGAAGCGGAGAATCCAACAACATCTGGATGGCGGGAAGGCCGGGCAGAAGACTACAGAAGCGAAGGATGCGGCAGACGAAGAAGCTTCGAAAGAACGGATGTCGGATCTCTTGACGTTCGCTCACATCTCGAACGCGAAATCGCTGTATGGCTTGCTTGTTCCCTTTCACTCGAATGTGATGCGGCTATTTGCTGCTGATAGAAGAGCCTCCACAATCCAGAAGGTCTCCCCTTCTTTGCAACTTTCTGATTCGAGCAGCCCTGCTCAAGTCATTTTGGCTGCCCTGAAGGCGGGTCAACTATCGAATGACAAAGCTGCTCTACAACTCCAGCTATTATCGAATACAGTTCTATCGCTTTGCTCGGGGACGTCTTTCTCAAAGGATGAGGCCTCGAACAGTTTGAAGCCAACGACCTCCTTGGCCTTGCAACTACTTTCCCTCGAGGTTCGATGTTTGGGCTGGAAGCTGTCCGGTCATGTCTGTGACGAGAGCAAGGAAGTGTTCGATCCTTTGCTTCGCTATTTTGGTAATTTTTCTCACCGGAGCAAGGGTATTGAGAAAGCCGAGTTTGCTTCAATCTACAAAACGGTTACCCGGATGCAAACATCCATTGCAGAGGTCAAGAAGAAGTCCTCAGAAACACAAAACGCCAACCAGGCAGCCAAGCTCATGACTCTTCTCGGGCAGCTTGCTTTCGACGCGGGCTGTTTTGATGAATCTATGAAGCTGTTCACACAAGCCACCAACCCCCTCTCAAAAACCCAGTCTCTTTCGCTGGCAACAGTTCGGTGTAAAATTGCATCTGTTCATTTCCAGGCTTCAAAGACATCGAAAAAGTTCCTAGATGGAGCTTTGGATTCTGTGTCAGAGGCAACTCAATCCCTAGGGTTGCAATTAAGAGGAAGCGCAAACGACCTAGATGAACTGCTGGTGGAAGCTGCAAGACTCAAGAAGCTGGCTCTTGCTTGGTTCGGAGAGGCTATCACAAAAAGTTCCGAGACTGAAAGCGAGAAGAATGAAGTTGCTAGTCAGATCAGGGAATATCTACAAGCGTTCATCAGGTTCCTCAGACGCTATGTTGGACGCCAGCCAACAGAAGATGGCGATGAAAAGGAGCTCGAGATGTTCAACAAACGCATTTCAATTTCTAGGAGCATCATTCTAGCTGCCATTGATTCGACTGTCGCAATCGGGAAGCTTTCTATCATGTCTCACAGGCCACCTTGGGAAGACATGCTTCCAATTCTGACTGATTGCCATCGCCTGCTCTCGACTATCGAATCTCCCGATGAAAAAGACGCAGAGACAACAGAAAACCTTGGGATGGCACTTGTCAAGCTTTCAAACCTGTTCTGGTCTCGATACATCAAAGAAAAAGAGGCCGGACAGGGTTATCGGGAACTCATACCCCTTCTCAAACAATCTACCCAGCTGCTTTCAAGCTGCTCGCCTTCTCAACGCAACACCGCATTCGCAGCCCTCAAATTCGAGAGAATGGCTCATCTGTACATCGAAGGCAATATGTACATTGAATCAGAGCAGATGTTTCGACAATCGATTGCAGAATACATTCTCTCTGGTACTCTGGACCAGATCGTCAAGAGCAGCGGAGGAAGCAATCCAACTTTGGTCAACCAGGATCCCAAGAGTCCCGGGTTCATGCTTGGCCGTGTATTTTCCGCCCTTCTGAAGATGAAGCTGCGCAGGAAGGGATCTCACCCCTCTGTTGTCTATGATGATGCTGAACTAGCATTCGAACAGAGATGTCTTCTTCTCGAATGGCAGATGAGCTTGCTTGTTGACATGCATAGCTATTCTTCAAACGAAGAAGAGTTCCGCTTGATTCTCGGCTCGGCTGTTTCCTCCCTCCTCGACCTCTACCCCCCTCACGTCTACCCTATTCGCCACTCTCGTGTGATTATCTCTGCCTTGCGTCTTCTACTGGAGCAACCTACTGCCTTGGATTCGTCTTTGATTGAAACTCTGGTGGATGCAGGAACAAAGGCTTTGGATGACGGTTTGCAGGTCCGAGATGATGTTGATCTTGCTTCATTTGCAATCCATATTAGCAACTCATTGCGCATTATCATCGGTTTCCACCGCGGCAAGATTGACGCAAGCGAACTAGATGACACGCTTGCATCGTGGACTTCATTGACGCGCCAGTCCCATGACTGGAAAACACTGCTGCTCTGCATCAATGACACGGATTACTGGGTCTTGCAGTTGAAGGCCCTGGTTGATTATACCGAAATCCACGGGCTTTGGAAGGCTCAACTATGCACCCTGGAACTGATATTGCGTGCCGCGGAGCTCCAGCAATCAGGGGATTTGTCAGACGCCATCATCATTCTGTCGCGCTTGGTACTGCAGAATTGCCGCCTGGGCTACTGCCAAAAGGCAGGTGAACTCCTCTCGCGTGGTGAGCAGTATCTTGCTCAAACCAAGGTTTCTTCTCTTGCTATCATTTCCTACAAAGTTGCACGGGTGGAATATCTTCTGGAGACCGGAGAGCCCGAGAAAGCCGCCGCCGTTCTTTCAGCAGCGCGCGCACTCTATGAAAAGTGCCAGAAGTCAGAACTAAGCAACTTGACTGTCCTATCGAAGATCTCATGGGAAAGACTGGTAGCAGATGCCGCCTTTGTTCAGTCCAGATTGTTCTCCGCACAAGGCTCAGCAACCCAGGCTCTGTACTTCGCAAAGTTGTCTGTAAGGCTCAACTGCCGCATATGGGCCAAGGTTGAGAGGCTAGCCCAAAGAAAGCAAGACAAGATGTTGCCTGCTGCAGGAAGCTCTGATGTTGAGGCTGTTGCTGATGGTATCGCAAAGCTTGATTTGTCTCAGAACGGGTCTTCCCCGGATGTGTCTGCCAGCTACATCCAAGGTGCGCCTTTCTGGCCGCATCTGGGTTCCCACCATACCTGCTTGTTGAACCTCGCAACATTATCTGCCCATCATGGCTTGTTCCAGGATGCTATCTATTATGGCGAGCAAGCGCTGAAAATTGACAAGACCCTTGATGCCAATGCACGGCTACTGGCGGCGCAGACCCAGCTTGGTTGCCATTGGATTCTTAGTGGCCACATGAATGAGGGACAAGATCATCTCTCTGCAGCGGCCGAGTCGTCTAAACGAACCCAGCAAAGTATTGAAACCGTGTCTTTTCAAATGGCGCTTGCGTCTCTGTACAAGACCCAGGGCGCACATGACAAGGCACTCCGTGTTCTCCTTGAAGCAGATAAAATCATCACAGCGGTCACCTCGGCTGATATGCCTGCCAATCTGGAGGCAGCAGGCATGGCAGAAATCGAAGAAAAGATGGACAAGTTACGGGTTAGAACAAGCAGCCGGCGAACCCCAACACCTCGGACCCCAACACCTACTACGACTACCACCACCACTCGGCGGACCCGTGCAACCAGTTCCGCCCCTACCAAAACCACAAAGAAAGCCACAGCTCCAAAACTTACTCTCCCCGAAGTCCAATCTAAATCCCTATTACAGCTCAAAGGCAACATCCTCAGACAGCAAGCTGATTGCCTGCGGGAATTGCGCGACTTTGAGCGATCTGCCCAAACACTTGCAGAAGCCAGACAATTTGCCGTGGCTCGAGAAAGCAAGATCACTCTGGAGATCGGTGAAAGCGAGCATCTGTTGGCCGATGCAATTCGCCGTTTTGCCAGCCATGCCGTGTACTGTGTCTTACCTGAATCTACAATTTCGCTCCCGTCACTCAAAACACCAAGCAAGACGGCAGATGAGCCTAGTTTACCCCCGACAAAGCCGACAAGGAAAACGAGGGCTCCAGCCAAAACAACGCGCACCAAGGCTCAACGAGCCAGTGATGACTTTTCGGTTATGTTGTCCAAAGCGAGCGATTGTCTTGCCAGTGTCTTCTCTGATGCCACAATTCTAGGCTCAACGCTTGATAGCCATGCGGCATCTCGCTTGATGAGTCGGATCTCTATGCTATCGCATGCGACTTCTCCCGGGATCCCAGCGACTCTGGCTCAGTCGCCCGCAAATATGAATGGTAAGTTTTGCGAGGTCCTTTCGATTTGACGTATATCTGACTTTTTCAATTAGAGATCGGACGTGTTGGCGCATTTGCCCGGGAGCGTATGGCGATTGATATCGATCGACAGCTGGCTGATTTTGCCGACCCCTTGTTTTGGCCAACCTCGTTCCCCTCAGCTGTCGAGCTGGACAATGATCTTTGCTCCAACTTCACACAGGATTACGTCGACATTCTGCCCGAAACTTGGAATGTTCTCTCTTTGTCATTGAGTGCAGACCATACTGAATTTGTGGTTTCACGACTCCAAAAAGACCGCTCGCCGTTCCTTCTGCGTCTTCCCCTCCACCGCGGGAACTCAGAAGATGACGATGAAGAGCAGTTCACTTTCGAGGATGGAAAAGAGGAAATGCAAGAACTCATCAAGCTCGCCAACGAAAGTGCACATGCAGCCAAGGCCCAGACGGACAAGTTGTCGAAGAAGGAATGGTGGAAGACCCGCGAAGCGCTCGACCGTAGGATGGAAAGTGTGCTTCAAAACATTGAGAACATATGGTTTGGAGGGTTCCGCGGTGTGTTCTCACCGCTGTCGCGGGAGACTACCGCGCTGGCCCGGTTCGCGAGTACTTTCCAAAGCATCCTTGACAAGCATCTTCCTTCTCGGCAGAAGGGTGGCAAGGCTGCCGGGCCCCGGCTCACGCTACACCAGAATGTAGTGGACTTGTTCATCGGGCTTCGCGATCTTGAAGAGCAAGAAGAGCCCGAAGACACGCTGATGGATCTTCTTTACTTTGTCGTGGATATTCTACAATTCCAGGGCGAGCGCAATGCCTATGACGAGATTGACTTCGACATGATGGTCGTAGATACCCTCGATGCCTTGCGAGGCTACCACGAAGCTGCGCGTGATGAACTTGCATCACGGCCGCCGAGACATACAATCCTCGTGCTCGATAAAGCTCTCCACCTGTTCCCGTGGGAATCACTTCCCTGTCTCCAAGGATATCCTGTTTGTCGCGTCCCATCCCTCGAATGCCTCCGGGACCGAGTCCTCCAATTCCGCAAGGCATCCTCCGGAGCCATCGTTGACCGCAACTCTGGCGCATTTGTCCTCAACCCAACAGGCGACCTACGCACAACGCAAACAACTTTCGAACAAGACCTTTCCAAGTTCAAATCCTGGACTGCAGTCGTACAGCGCGAACCAACCGAAGACGAATTCCGCGACGCGCTGGAAAAGAAGGGTCTATTCCTGTACTTCGGCCACGGCAGCGGCGCGCAGTATATCCGCGGCCGTACAGTCAAGCGACTCACGCAATGCGCTGTTACTTTCCTCATGGGATGTAGTAGCGGCACTTTGACCGAAGCCGGCGAGTATGAGCCCTACGGCACGCCGATGAATTATCTCCATGCAGGCAGCCCCGCGCTTGTGGCTACGCTGTGGGATGTCACGGATCGGGACATTGACCGGTTTACCACGACTGCCTTTGACGCGTGGGGTCTGGTTGAGAAGAAGGATAAGAAGGATAAGAGCCGAGGGCAGGATGTTGGGCTTGACACAGCAATTGCGCGGTCCAGGGGTGCATGTGTGTTGAGGTATCTGAACGGTGCAGCGCCTGTGGTTTATGGAGTTCCGGTGTTTTTAGAGTGAATCTGAGGTCATGTTTCCCTCTTATTGTGTATATATACCTTGGCGTTTTCCCCACTGTGGGCAGCAATCTGATTTGGCTCTTCATACTTCCTCGGTCAGCTACTGGAGAGGTAGAAGTTTAATAGACTCAACAATGTCTACTTGTTATGTTATATCCTAAGGTGCAATTAATAGACTCAAGAATGTCTAGTGCAGTATCTCCAAGCTTTAATATCAAATATCACCTACATACATAGACCATCTATATAATCCTATAACATCCGAAATAGGAAGAATAATCCTATCAAGGTGGACCTTTTCCCCTCATGCGGGACAAACTCCCCCCACCATAAAAACGTCAACGTCTCCCCGTTCTTAGCTTCCTGTTTTCTTCTCTTCCTCTAACATTAGAAGATAACTATATTCTCAAAATGTCCGTCACCACAAACGCAACCATCGCCTCCTTCGGCGGCAAGCTCCTAAAGCTCAGCCATGCCGCCACAACCACAAAATGCGAGATGAAATTCAACCTCTTCTTGCCCCCGCAGGCCCAGACACAGAAAGTCCCCGTACTGATCTACCTCTCCGGTCTGACTTGCACCGCCGAGAACTGCTCCGAGAAGGGCTTTTTCCAGCACAATGCCAGCAAGAAGGGAATTGCCGTGCTGTATCCTGATACCAGCCCACGTATGTGTCTACCTTATCTTTTATTGCATCAATTGGCTACATATTTCCATCAACCCAAGTGACCCGTTGCAAAGTAAAATAAACAAGCAAACAAACAACCAACCAACCAACATAATTAACATACCCATCTTCTAGGCGGCCTCAACATCCAAGGCGAGGACGACGCATACGACTTCGGCTCCGGCGCCGGCTTCTACGTCGACGCCACTAAAGCCCCCTACAACGCCGGCTATAACATGTACAGCTATGTCACCGACGAGCTGCCACAGACCGTCTTTGCTGCGTTCCCGCAGTTGGATGCCAGTCGTGTTAGTATCACCGGCCACAGTATGGGTGGGCACGGTGCTCTCACTTTGGTAAGTTATACACTGTCTGTTATATTCAGGTGTTCGCTATGGCATGTTCGCTATATGGGACAGGAACTAGAAAAACAATACATATCTTGTTGGGGTGACATTTATCTAACAAATCAATCAGTTCCTCCGCAACCCAGGCAAGTACAAGTCCGTCTCTGCGTTCGCGCCGATCACGAACCCGATCAACTGTCCCTGGGGCCAGAAGGCGTTCGAGGGCTACTTCGGCGATGATCAGCAGGATAAGTGGAAGGAGCACGATGCTACTGAGTTGATTAAGAAGTGGAGTGGGGGTCCGCTGGATATTCTGATTGATGTGGTGAGTTGTGTTTTATTTGATTCTTCTTCTCCTTTCTTTGCTGTATTCTGTTTCTTCCACTCTCTTCCATCCATTCTATACCTCATACAACGTCTAATCCATATCCAGGGCACCGGCGACAACTTCTACAAACAAGGCCAACTCCTACCAGAGAACTTCGAAGCCGCAGCCCGTGACGCCGGCATCGCCGGCTTGAATATTCGCTACCAGCCTGACTATGACCATTCCTATTATACCATGGCTACCTTTGCGGATGACCATGTCGAGCATGCGGCCAAGTATCTCTTTGCATAGTGTGTGCTCTCTTCTTAACTCCTAATCTCAAAACTACGATGTTTTACTTCTTACCTTGCGTATATCCTTTGTAAACTGGATCTGATTGGTTCTTTTTCTTAGCTCAAGTGAGCGCCAGGCTGTTAGGTCGATGATTTAAATGGGTCTTGGATATTGAATGACAAGGCATGTCCTAGTTCTGATCGAATCTAATTGGCGTGCAAATGCCATGAGTCTTTATAAAATAAAAAGGAAAGGGGTTCGTTTTTGATTGCATCGTATGATAAGCTCTGTAATTGACATGGCATGGCAAAATCCTCCGTGTTCACTACACATCTTGTAGTATGAGCGTCCTCATTCTCACCAAGATCTGATGGATTCTGGCGGCATCATGCTTCACCGACAACGCCTCAGTTGTGGCTCCAAAGTCCCTTCATCAGATCCTGCCGGCATTGTAAAGAGACGGGTTTCCTGCCCAATGGCTACGATGCCATAAAGCTTTCACGGATGTTGGTAACCACGATGTTGCTTCGAGATAATATCGATGGAGGGTTTAAGAGGTGTATGCTTCTCGCTCTAGACCATAGCTTTGACGGAGTGGAAGATTACATGCACGCTTGACTTTTTGGATGTAAAGATCGGTGATTTCAATGGGCCTGGGGTTTTGAATGACAAAGCAAAGCTGATGCTACATAGGTACCCTAGGTAGGAAGATGCTGCCACATCTGGTAAGCAGAAGTATTCCTTGTTATACATAGAAAGGTGCTCTGTGCGGTTTGCACTTTTTAATAACTTCGTATACATAAAAAGACACCTAAAAAGACACCTGAGAGGAATCTGAGAGCAATCTGAGAGCAATCTGAGAAGAAAGTCTGACATGAAAAGACCACCCACTGGAAAGACTACCAAACGATTATATTTTTCCGACCCAACAACCTAGTTGGTATTATCTCTTTGCTCCTGGCTAGGTTGCTCCTTTGTCTCGGGTTTGTTTCCTCGGTGGGGTACCCAGTCCCAATGGCGACGTTGCTTCGGTTGGGCAGCATCATCTGTATGAGACCTTGTTAGTATATACCAAACGGAGAAATCCAAAAAGAAACCCAGACGAGGGAAAGTGAGATCGTACCAGTTGCTGTACCAGCAAAAGTATCCTTGTCGTGAGAGTCAGTCGGAGCAGACTGGGACTTTTGATTGAGTGGCTCTTCCTTGGGAGGCTTTGCTGCGTCGGGGGACTTGGGTGCGTCGGTTGAGTCGCTTGAGTCTTGACGCTGGCGATGGTGTAACGCGTCGGACGCTCTGCGGAGTAAGTTCGACATGGTGGAACAAATATGTTTCCAATAAATCGACTGAAGTGTTTCGAGTATATTTGGTGATGTTCTCGGAAAACTAACTTCGACAATACCTTTTGCTCGAAAGCCCTCTATATATATTAGACTCAAAACAAGGTGAATGACATCACATGGCCCGATTGGTACTATGTTCTCGTGCTAACCCCTCTTATCCCATATGGTACAGATGAATAAGAGGATCGCCACTACGACCAGTATATTATCGATCACTTTGGGAGCAGCAGGATGAACATAATATGTGGCGAACATCGTGGAAGACACGCAAGTTGGTCCAGGACGCCCGGGTCTGACGTCTCCGAAAGCATATAGCCATGCGCTCTTCCCAGGAATGCTATGGGATTCGGGATCTCTGTCAGGGATATACATGAAGCATGCAGGATGAGTGGAGATATGATCTGGGTTTCCCTGAACGCGAGGGAAGCCTCTCTCTTTTGCTTCCTCTCGCTACGTCTTGTATCTGTTGACTGTAGACTAGTTTTTGGCAGGCTTGTGATTTCTGCTCTTTTTTTTGGGTTGGCTGGACAATACCCATATTCACTATATTCCATGACTTTCAAAGCCATGGAAACAAAATACGCCATTACGTCATTACGTCACTGGCACACGTAGGAATACATAGTTACATACTATCGGGTCAAATGCGGTGTATATGAATATTCATGAATAATTGCGAATATGAATACAAGGGTTATTCATATTCATATTGCTGACTTATCACAGCGTGTGTGTAATGCAAATACGCACCCCTTGGGTATGTGGGACAACAGGTATTTCACCCATCTAAGCTACCAAGATATCGAGACAAAATGAGCTGTCTGCAGATGGTCAGACATATTATTGTATGAACTAAGCCACCAATGAAAGGAGGAGCCATAAATTGTCTCGCAACAGCAAGTGAAGCCTCTTTGTCCCATAAATCCCATGATTCTTTATCATAATGCCCCTTCAGCAACATAAGCCTGCGCATGGTCTCCGCGTTCATGCGATGCCTCCAAAGGCCCAGAAGATCCCTGGCATCGCTAAACACCCGCTCAACTCCGACCTCAGCGGATGGAACAGGCAAATAGTCACGAACAGCCAACGCCATAAGCGGAAACTCAGATGTGTTCATTTTCCACCATTTTAAACACCCATCCCGAGTCCCATCTTCGATCAAGCTCCATATGGGCGGCGGCCATAATTTCTTAGTAGACCCTATAATTCTCTGATGGTTACTGAAAACAACTATGCTAAAAAAAACCCCCGATTCTTGGGGAAGCTTACTCCAAAGGTGTTTACTCAGGTGGGGCTCAATGGTACAATTGCCCGCACAGTGGATGTTGACATGAGGGTAATTCGAGGAATTGGATTGGTCACTGAAGAAGCAATGTAGGTCAGGTACGTGGAAAACCATGATGTAGGGGTCAAGAATGTAACAAAGTGGCAAGCTTCTCATTACAGTACCCCGTCCAACTCATGGCGTCCCTAACGGTTACAAACCATGTCTTCCAATATAGCCAAATGTACTTTCGCTCCAGTTCATTCGACATGCTAAGCAGTGGTGAATTAACCACCTCGATAGCCGAAGCTGCTGGCTTGATGCCACTATGTTATTAGTCTTCTCTTTTAGATACGCATTTATTGGTGACCTTTTGATGACGTATTATGCTTGTCTGAAGGCAGGTGATATAATCACCTTATTTCTCCGTCATGTGACCGGAGGAGTTCCTCATTTCTTCGTGCTAATCCATTCCGTCAATTTTCATCAGTTTCTTCTTATATTCCACCGGTTTCTAGTGATCGAATCCACTCTAGAAGTATCTCGGTTTCCTCGCTTCCGAGAATTGATGAATCGAGAGGTGGATTTAGTGGTGTATGCAGATTGGGTGAATTGCAATCGCCAATTGCATTGCCAGAATCCGACCCTCCCTTTTCACTGTCCTGCCTTACCCTAAAAGCAGTCTGCCTCTAGCGCTCCTCTAGGCCGAATGTTAAACAATTGTTTTGGGAAAATCCTTCCCTTCCATTAACTTTCGGGGCAACATGATATCTCGACTATTCTCATGTCGCAAGAGCCAGCTGCTCCGCCACCGCCAGGTGTTATACCGGATTTCAGTAATCCATCAGGGGGCCTTCACTTCTGGTTGATCGTGACACAATGTATTTGCATCCCTGTTGTCACATGCGTTGTTATAACGAGGCTGTATACCAAGCTATTCGTACAGCATTTGTTTTATGTTGAGGACTGTAAGCACCTACCCGGACTGCGTGACATTTTATCTATGCTAATTGGATGAGGGATGTGTGTAATATCTTGGGTACGAGGACTTGACTCATATAAGTAGTGGATTATTGAAGTTATCATGCTGACTGCAATACTTCAGATCCTAGCAACGATCTGGTTCTCACTTCATCTAGTGTGTACGTTTCCGAACATATTTCTTTGTATAATGAAAATTGACCTTTGTTTCTTCAGCCGCATCTGGAGGTGGGGGATACCATCAATGGGATATCCCGAAGGATAACACGTTTCTTTTTTTTAAGGTAGGTGAAATACCTAAATATGCAGACAATTTGCGTTTACTTACATTCTTGTGCAAAGACCAATTATATAATAAATATCCTATACGGCCCAGTTATTTTGACGGTCAAATTGTCGATTCTATTTATGATCGCACGATTATTCGCAGCATATCGAAGATGGGTTGCTTTTATACACATGTTCAGTGCGGTACTAGTGGCATATACTGTCTCAACATTTGTTGTGAAAATCCGCATTTGCAATCCTATTGATACCTATTGGCTCGGTCCCGAAGCTACTAATGGGACGTGTCTCAATGTGCTGCTGGTCTTCCTTGCCGACACCACTTTCAGTGTTGTCACTGATTTGGTTATCATCGCTCTGCCGATAACACTGATTTCATTGCTCCACCTCTCCCTTATGAAAAAGCTGAGAGTTATTTTTCTTCTGGCGGCAGGTGGTCTAGTGTGTATTGTGACCATTGTCCGGCTGGTATGGGTGATTATATATCAAGACTCAGTTGATAGGACATGGACAACCACGCGCACTGATCTTGTTACCTGTGCGGAAATTGCAGTTGGGATTATCGGTGCCTGCGTTCCAAGTATTTACTTCCTTGTCAACCAGCGCTGCCAGCGCTGCTCTCTTTCCTCCCTAGGAGACAGGGAGGGTGGAACGTGACCCTCGGGTGTCTGCAAATCTACACTCGAATTTTCTTCAATATTTGGCTACTTGTAAATCTAACCCCTGAGTTTTCTCTGAAATTGCCTCTAGACTATGGCCAATTTTGGATGTAATGCTACCGATAATTGACTCGGTGGAACAGACAATAGATATTCAATGAATTCTTAATCAAATCGAAAAGTAAAAGCCACACAAGGAAATCTTAACGATGTTCTCGAGTTCAAAATATTCAGTCGATGTACGTAGCTCGGTCAGCCAGCCCTGAGTAGCCACGAGTACCTCTTCATCCGTCGCCGCCATGAACCACGGATCCTTTTGTGCATTTGAACCTGCGTGCCAACGTCGCTACATTCATGATCTGGCATTTTCTCCAATTCACGACTTCATGTATCTTGTTTTACAAAGATCCATCTGACAGTTCCAACGGTGCGGTCGTGCGGCCTAAGCTTTCTCTTCCGCGACATGCTCATCATGGTGGCTCTGGCTGACCGATCCTCGCTTTTGGTTCACAATCTGCGTGAAGGTGACAGTTGGCTTCCAGCCAACTGATTTCCGCGCGTTGCTGACTTCAGAGTACAGCTCATCCACTTGCTCTAAAGACAGTCCCTTGGTCTCGTAGATCATGAAGTAAACGAAAGCAATGCAAAGGAAGCAGCATCCGAACCAGATGAAGAAGATCTTCGACTGCAGATTGGCATTGCCCGAGCCATAATTCACCAGGTACGGGGTAGAGTAAGCGATGGCCCAGTTGAGCAGCCAATTAGTGGCGGTGGTTATGGATAGACTCTTAGCACGAATCTTCAAAGGGAAAATTTCACCAGTAACAACCCTACTCTCATATTAGATATCTTAGAGGTCAAAGAACCGGTGATGACTTACCAAGCAATAGGTCCCCAGGATGCAGCGAAGAAGAAGATGAAGATGCAGATGAACGCTATCGCAGCTTTCTGCGCCGCTGCGTTGTGCACAATAACGTTGCCAGCGGCGTCCTGGCCAGTGGTCGTCGTTCCCAGGACAGCGACCAGAAGCTGAGAGATACACATGCCGATGGCACCCAGTAGGAGAACGGGTCGGCGACCCCACTTATCAATAGCGTAAAGACCGGGAATGGTAGAAACCACGTTGACACAGTTTGTGATAAGGCTGATGATGAACTCGTTCTTGAATCCGGAGTTTTTGAAGAACTGCGTGCCATAATAAAAGATAAAGTTGATGCCGGTCAACTGTTGTAGGGCTTGAAGACCGCAACCAGTCAATAGCCGCTTTCCCAAATTACCTTGGAAGCATTCGAGATAACTGGGCTCGCCTAGGCTCATTTCATAATCGTGATTTGCTTGAATCTCAGCAATCTCTTCTTTGACCGCGATATGATCTTCAGGTAGACGTCGAAGCTTCGCAAGGTTCTTAGTGGCTCTCTCATGGTTGTCCTTTTTGATAAGGTACCGGGGGGTCTCGGGTAGGACAAGCATTCCAATTATCAGCACGATAGCCCATGCAAACTGGACAGCGATTGGGATGCGGTAAGAACCGGTGTCATTCCGACTGTGAGTTGAATTGTTGACCACTGAGGCCAACAGTAGACCAATGGTGATGGCTAGCTGGTAAGAACCAACGATGAATCCACGAATCCACTTTGGTGCCGTTTCAGACTGGTATAGAGGAACTGATATACTAATTAGTGAGAAAGATCATGACCTAACAAATGTGGGGTATGTACTCAGCGCGGAAATCAAGCCCACACCAAATCCAGCAAAGAATCTACCCGCAAGGAATAGCGGAATGGAAGTAGCAGCTGTTTGTAAAATCACGCCGAAGTTGAATACCCAGCTGGAGGCGATCAAGCCCCATCGACGACCGATGGAGTCTCCCAGGGGAGCCGCACAGAGAGCACCAAAGAAGGTTCCGGCCGATAGAATGGAGACAATAGCAGACGACTGGCTAGAAGTAATGTTGAGGTGTCCGGTGGCATCTCTATAGCCGGTTGAAAAACTATCTTGCCAGTACGGCATAGCAATGATGCCACTGATGGTGCCTGTATCATATCTTGTGAGGGAGAAGTTAGGTACATCCAAAATTCATCCTGTGGGAATGATGAGCCTACCCAAACAAGATACCTCCGAAGGCGACGAAGCTGGAGATAGCAATGGCTGGCCATGATGCTCCGGGTACATCCTCGGGTTTCTTTAGCCAAACCCCCATAGTGTTGGTAGAGTAGAGTAGATCAGAGGTGTGTAAGACGTAAATATCATTCAGTAGCGCCTTCTGGGGGAGGCCAAATGTTGTATCTTATACCTTTGTGAATTAGGAGACCAATGATTGTTCGATTGCACGTCTCGAAGTTTAATAGATTGCCACATTCTGTTGCTTTGGGGGTCTGAGCAGCAAAGAAAGTTTTCGGGACGAATTTGAGGCACTAAAGCCGACAAACTAAACCGTCTGAGCCCTCCGTAATGCTTAATATCTGCGGGGTTTCGCCGACGTACACTTTCAAATTGCCTATTTAGCCAATCAGCTTCAATCGGCGTGTTGGAAGTTTTCCTAAAGAGCTGGCAGGTCGGATCAGCCACTTCCGAGGGCGACCTCCCTGTTTTGCATACTCCCGAGGTCATCATGAGTGTAGAAAGCGGAGATGCGGGCTCAAATCATCGGCCTCGGCCATCTCTCATCCGCGGGCTGTGTGGGTCAAACACGAGACCGGGGTTATCTACATGATCTTTCGGTCTGGCAGAAGATCTCTGAGCGAAACCTGGATAACCTGGATACAGTTGGAGTCGAAAGCATATTCCCCTCTGGACATACAGTACCTGGAACCACACTAGTTCCCGGTTATTTTGTAAACAACCCGTGTAGTGCAGGCACCATAGAAGAAGAAAGGATTAGAATAAGCAACTCTACTCCGTATGCTAATTATGCATGTCAGAAAAGAGGTTTATTACGCGAATTTTATAGTTTGCCAACATCATGGGACCGTGGATTCCCTCCAAAAGTGCATATTATTCTTTGTTAGCATACCCAAATTGTCAGTTCATTTTAAAGAAGATATAAGTGGAACATTGCCAGATCCCTGATTTCTGTCAATTCTACATAAGGTCCTTACACAGTTCTAGATAATCCAGAATTTCGAGTATCCCGAGAAGTCCGAAGAAGCCGAGACGCAGATCCACCGGGTTCCCCACGGGGTAGCGTCAACATTTGGCCTTACACCGAACGCGGGATATCTCTCATCTCTCCGAATGGACACACCACCCGAAGATAGCCCGAAGTTTCTCCACGCTCGGCGAATTAGCAGCAGTTCCAGCAAAAAGAACCAGGCACCTCGGCGACAATGGAGTTATCATGTGGGCCGAGAAACGCCCAGACGTTTTGACCCCATGGGGAGACACACCAGTATACAAAGTTATAGCCTGGTATTTCTCAGCCCCTTTGAGTGGTCGAAGCATTCTTGTGGCAGAGTAATTAGTGTGCTACAGGATGCCGAGCCAACGCGAAAATTAGATCTTTTCTTAGAGTAGTGCCTTTTCTCGAGACACGAACCCACATGGCTCTAAGAAGTCCCAAGAACGCCCCGAACGCCCCAATTACTAGTTCATTTGGCCCCATGCATATCATGCCGCCGTTGGTCGATTTGCGGGGTGAGAGTTTGAGTTTCTCCGAAGAAACTCACCGGTGCTACGATGTAGGTGCCGCTAAATTCACCTACTGTCGAAGCCTACCGTCTATGGAGCACGTCCTCTAAATGGAGAATGAATAGAGAGTATTATGTGCTGGTAGAATATCCAGATGCACTTGGGCCATTGCCGGAGGACTCAGGGCAACTGGCTCACATATATATATGGCCGTGTCGTGCCACCACGTCACAAACATTATTCTTCCACAGCGGCAAATACTCATCCCTTCACAATGGTTCATCTCACGAAGGCCCTTGCGGCGGGTCTTTTAGCAGGCATTGCCGGCATGGCAAACGCCTTCAACTACGACCAGCCCTACCGTGGCCAATACCATTTCTCGCCCCAGGAGCATTGGATGAATGACCCCAATGGTCTCTTGTATCATAATGGGATATACCATCTGTTCTACCAGTATAACCCTGGCGGTATCCAGTGGGGGAACATGTCCTGGGGCCATGCCACCAGTAACGATTTGACCCACTGGGAGGAGAAGCCCATCGCCCTTCTTGCCCGGGGATATGGCGGCGAAGTCACCGAGATGTACTTCAGCGGAAGTGCGGTCGTTGATGTGAACAACACCAGTGGCTTTGGGAAGGACGGGAAGCCCCCCATGGTCGCCATGTACACTTCTGCCGTAAGCTCACCCACCAGCAAATAGATACCCGTGGTGGAAATATATAACTCACTCCCTTTCCACAGTACCCCGTTGCGCAGACCCTGCCGAGTGGAAAGACCATCCGGGAGAACCAGCAATCCCAGTCCATCGCCTACAGTGTTGACGATGGTCTAACCTGGACCACGTACGATGCCGCCAACCCGGTCATCTACAACCCTCCATCCCCGTACGAAGACCAGTACCAAAACTTCCGTGATCCCTTTGTTTTCTGGCACGAGGAGTCTCACAAGTGGGTTGTCGTCACTTCTCTAGCCACATTGTACAAGCTCGCCATTTACACTTCCGACAACCTAAAGGACTGGACGCTGGCGAGTGAGTTCGGTCCTTACAACGCCCAAGGCGGAGTTTGGGAGTGCCCCAGTCTTTTCAAGTTGCCCCTTGATGGAGGGAAGTCCACAAAATGGGTCATCGTGAGCGGACTCAACCCCGGCGGGCCCCCCGGCACAGTGGGCTCTGGAACCCAGTACTTCGTGGGTATGTTCGATGGCACCACCTTCACTCCCGACGCCGATTCTGTGTATCCCGGAAGCGCGACCGCCAACTGGATGGACTGGGGCCCAGACTTCTATGCCTCGGCTGGCTTTAATGGCCTCTCCCCTGACACCTTCACCCAGATCGCGTGGATGAACAACTGGCAATATGGCCCGAACATTCCCACCAGCCCATGGCGGAGCGCCATGTCTATTCCTCGACATCTATCTCTTAAGACTATCGGGGATAAGGCGACTCTCGTTCAGCAGCCCCAGGAAGCATGGTCTTCTATCGTCAGCAAGCAGCCAGTTTATTCACACACCTACAATTCTGTTCGCCAAGGCTCCGTTTATGTGGGTACCAATAGAGACACGATCAAGATCGACTTGAGCTTCTCTGCTACGTCGACGGCTTCGGAGTTTGCCATCGCTATTCGGGCCTCCGCCGACTCCACTGAGCAGACCCTTATCGGTTATGACTTCGTCAACAAGCAAGTCTTCATTGACCGCACCAAGTCTGGAGATGTGTCATTCGACAACACTTTCGCGAGCATATACCGCGGGCCCCTTGCATCGGCTGTCAATGGCAAAATAAATCTGACCATCTTCGTCGATCGGTCTAGCGTTGAAGTTTTCGGGGGCCAGGGGGAGACTACTCTCACAGCTCAAATTTTCCCGAGCAGCGACGCGATTCACACCCACCTGGTATCCACTGGAGGAGCCACTAAAAACGTCAAACTCAGCATTTACGCTATCGCCTCAACTTGGGCCTGATATCGCTGGCTATCCCAAATATAGTGACTTGTCAACAAGAAAGCATGATGTATACCCTTTCGAGACTTAGAAGGATCCTATACCGTTGATAGATACTGTAATTGACAGATCTCAAAGCGTTGCTTTGTATTTTCTTTATTAAAGGGTACACAAGAAGTACTTGGAGCTAGCTAATCAAAAATAAAATCATAGAGCCCTTCGTCTATCTACATATGCCTATATAAAATAGACGCCATCGACAACATCTGCCCGAGTCCTTGGATAACGTGCTGTGGTATCGAATGCGAGAGTTGTTTCAGGCCTTGCCGCTTTTTACTCCTCCTTCATGGGTGCTCCAGGGAATTGGAAGGTTTGCGAAATCAAACTGCCTTTCCAATTAAGACCATCTGATAGCACGAGCCTCTGGTCTCCATCTTGCTCGTTGAATTGCAGCATCTGATTCGCCGTTTGCGACCAATGTCTCCGGTATTCATACGTCAACATTGACTTCTGGCATTGGTAGTCCAGCGGCTTGAATCCGAATTCGAACTTCCGTTCTCAGAGCTTGCCAGGCTGAGGTAGTATTCTTGGACTCCTCCCACAGCGGACGTATCTCCTTGTCATAAAAGTACTGCTGGGAACTAGAAAGCGCGGCGGATGCCTTTTCCACGGTCTTGAAAGGGCCAATTCTTCGATGATTGAAAACAAAATAATACACAATGGGCCCGATCCCACCGTGAGGTGCTGTCGAGGGTAAGGCCATGCCAAATATCGGGCCCGAAAGCGCATTGTACCTGTCTTGCAGGTCGTACCACGCTAGGGTATAGTCTTTGAAGCACTGCTGTATGTGTGCGTGCAGACTCAGCAACTCGCCAGGCTCATTAAATACCGCCAAGCGCTCCTGCAGGATGGCGCACCGTAGGGTCCCTGCCAGAATGTACGCCTGCAGGCCAGGCCAGCGAAGCCTTGCGAGCGTGGCGAGCAGGTCGAGCGAGTCACTGGTCGCTCTGTATAGCCTGTCCAAGCTCGTGGACGGCGCGTTGTTATACTCGGTATACATTCAGCTGCAGGCTGCGTAGTTTGTCCATCGCCTCTTGCAATTGCGCTGCGGCTATAGTCTGCGCGAAGATCATTGCCAGTTGCTGTATTGACTCTTCCGACAGCGTGACTGACTTATCACCCCACCCTACGAAAATTGAGTCCATGGCTTTGGACCCGAGCCACGATAGCACGCCTGCAGCAACTGCGGCAGCTGCCCATGCCAAGGTGAACGGTTCGACAAAGGTTTGAGAGTTGCCGGGGTCGTGGGAAGGTTCGGTTTTAGGTGATTCTTGCCTGTGGGCATTTTTAGCGACCTGTGAAAAGTCACGTCCACTATAGTTATGCACTATCGCGACTGGGACCTCGTTATGGATCTGGGATAAGGTCGCCTTATCTAGGCTCCTGACCTCGTCTAGGCTCCTGACCTCGTCTAACGCTCTAACGACGAATAGATGTTCTTTGTCGAGTAATAGCTGGATTGTCTGTTCTCCTATAAGGAAGCGGTTAGGCTTAATAGAGGTGGTAGCGGCGATCGTAGTCTGGACGGAACGAGAAAACGTATCGATATTTTTGTGAAACGTGATTGTGATATCGTGTAACGTGTACGTTGGTATTGCTAAGTGTCGCTGGTCTAATCGAGCTAATAGATGCGGTGAAATTTTGAACTCGTATAAATACGGGCTTGTCTAGGTAACGAACGGGAGCGATCGAAGAATCTCCTAACTGAAGTCGCTGTGGATGTATATAGAGGTATTTTGAGACACTTCATCTAGGAATTTCAAATTCAAGTCGGCTAAGGTCTGCTTTTGTGATCGTGAAAGCGGGCTAGCTGTCTATATTAATAGGTAGCTTGATTTAGAAACATCTGTAAAATGAGGTAGCTGAGTTCTAAGCTCTAAAGCCTGATCTATTGGGTCGAGATAGTTTCTATTGATTATAATTGGTGCTATGGTGGTAAATAGGGCTGTATAAATTTGTATGCCGATAGATTGTTGATACTGTAGGGTGAGAAAAGTAGAAAAGTAGGTTGTTACTGCCCTTAAATATAGCACCTAATCAATATAGCTTAGCTGAAGCTTTAGTAAAGTTCTATTATAAAATTCTCGCCACCCGTCCGTTATAGATATAAACTGATATAATTTCGATCGAGGTCTAGACAAGTATCTGAAATAACTTCCGGCTTGATTTTCGGAAATAGACCTGGCCTTTATGAGGCCTGATTGGGTATTGTCCCTGAAACTATGATTGAATGTCTACGCTGGTCTAGGGGCCAAAACTTGAGCAATTTTCAACATACAATACCACCTAAGTCATATATTTCTAGACATTTCTAATTAGAGAGGTAGAATCAGAAGTGCCGATTCTGTGAGTCTCGAGACTCCGATTATCATACAAATTTTAGGTGTTCCTTGTTCTAGTCTAGGTTTCCCTTATGGCGTTGGATTACCGGGAGTGATAATAGCTCGCGCGAAACACGAACGTATGAGACGGATAATGATTGTGAGATCCTCAGATTTGTATTGCGCTTATAACTGGGTAGTATCCCACGACTGTACTGTTTTTAGTACTTGAACGAAAATAATCAGGATTTGGGGAGTCCTTGTGGATCAGCTATTTGCCCTTGGCCTCCTTGGATGGTAAGATACCGAGTATGTGAGTTTGAGCCATATAATATAATTACTCTTCTTACGCTGGACTCATCGGCTATAGTATATTCGACCCGAAGCGGGGCCTAGCTGTTAGTCGTGGCTCCAAATTCCCTTTATTAGATCCTGCGGGCATTATAAAGAAACGGGCTTCCTGCCTAATTGCTACGATGCCATAAAGTTTTCACGGATGTTGGTAACCACGACGTTACTTCGAGGGAACGGAGGCGTAAGCTTCTCGCTCTATACTATAGCTTTGCTGGAGCGGGAAATAAAAGCGTAGAATCAGGGTGCACAGATGGTCGGTTTTATCTTCTTTATATCCACGCTTGACTTTTTGGATGTAAAGGTCGATGATTTCAATGGGCCTGGCCCGGGGGGATTTTGAATTATAAAGCAAATCTGATGCTAGGGAGAAGCTGCTATATCTGGTAAATATAAGGATCCCTGGTTATATATGGAAAGGTACTGTGTGGTATACACTTTTTATCGCCTTCGTATACATATAAAAAGACACCTAAAAAGATAACTGAGAGGAAACTGAGAAGACTATCTAAGATATAAAGACTACCTACTGGATAGGCTACCAAAAACATATGACCAGGCCGGTTTGTCGAGTCTAAAGAGCGCCTGAACCACCTATGGAATCCGACTAATCGTATCATCCATCCATAGATAGATGTGTTTCTAACCCTCTTCTGCTATCGTGAATATAGACTGAGGTCATGATGATCCCTCTACACATTAGAATATCCATAGATATATGCCCCCAAATCTTTTTAATATCAGATTCTCGTATCTAGTTTTCAATTTATAAGTTTCTAGCTAGATGAGCCTAGTTATGGAGACTGATTATTCTTATCACTGTATATCTTGTGGATCAGCCATTTGCTATAAACCTCCTTGGATGGCAAGGTACCAAGTATGTGAGTTTGATCCCTATAATATAATAACTCTTCTTACACCGGACTCATCGGCCATAGTATATTCGACCCGAAGCGGAACCCAGCTGTCAGATGTTTATGCAACCGAGTTTGACTGGGCGATTGAAGAAGGATTCGGTGATCCTAAAAAGCTTGACCATTGGTATTTCATGCACAAGAAAAAGCCCCCCACAGCTTTCTTAATCCATGAGATCTGCTGGTTCCTCTTGATCCAGCAATTTGAAGGGGAGGAGATCGATTTGGAGAGGCTTTTTGAACTCTGTAGAGACATTCCTCCTCCAGGAAGACCAGACTATGATAGTAAGGGGACATGACAATATCGATGCCAACTTACTTAACAGATCTAGTGGGATATGGCCCCGAGCTCCAAACGCAGCAACGATTTTACCCTTTAAAACGACCCATTGTCAAGGGGCTTCGAGAAGCCGCGAAACAATTCCCAAAGACGCCCAATACAGCAAATCGCTCTGGTCCTGAGAATAGTATTGTGCTTCACTCTGGCTGCTTTGGAATCTTCCCTATCGAGACACGGGTTCAAATCGCAACTTACCTTTCTACCGTCGACTTCCTAAGTCTACGACAGTCATCCCGAGCAATGGTAGTTGTCTTTGGAATGCAATCATTCTGGAAGTCAAGATTCTTAGCGAATGGAGACCGTGGGTTTCTGAACTGTCGAGCAGCAGATCCCAGAAACTATGATAGCAAGGACTGGCGACTCATATACCGCTGTACAGCAAAGATTGATCGGTCTCATGAGCACCTCTGGGCGGCACGGCGACAGTGGAGAAATAACCGATGGCTAAGAGAAAGATATTCAATGATCAGAGCCTCGGACGAGCACATTATCTCCAGCCAGAGATTACTTGGTGAATTATGCTGGAAAGAGGTTTCTACTGGACTTCGATGCGATAGAGATGGCAAACAAGGGAAAGATTGGAGGAAATGTCGCACTTGTCGGGCGAAGCATACCTTCTTTTCTCAAGTCGCTCTATTAGAAAGCTCTATCACCGGCTTAGCTGTGTCCATCCTGCGCGAGGGGACAGAGACCTATATTACTGGTTTCGACCTGCTGAATGCAGATCCGGAAAGGCCAAACACAATTTTTGGGTATCGGCTACCAGGTGAATTCGTGACAATAAATCTTTACGGTGAGCAACTGATAGGATTTACGGTGATTAACGGCGAAGCTGGAATACATGCAATACGCCCCATTTTCAATAAGACCACCACCACCACCACCACCACCACCACTAGCTGGGTAGGACTACCAGAGGGTAACGGGATCTGCAATTCAACGGAACTAGTCCTTGAGCGAGAGATTAAAGCTATTTCGGGGAAGTTCGATGTAAGTCACTTATTCCCCAGCGAATGTGTAGCACAAGGTAACCTTGACCCAGTATTGCAAGATGATTGGACTATCTATAGCATAGAGAGAATTTAGGCACGAAAAGACTTTCGCTACAGTTGTTCATTATCTAGAAATGCCACAGTTTGTGACCATCTTCAGGGCTGCCTCCCAGTGAATATTACCTATTAGCACACTTGGGCAAGAAGAGTGGCTTGTGCGACCTCTGTCCTTGACGAGGGGGCTAGACAAGGGTTCAAATCCATGTAGACACCACCCCGCAGAGGGGGTTTCTTTTTGTATAATGATACCGAGCGTAAGATCAGTTACACGCCTACAGATACCCCAGGGTATACGGAGCAGTTGAGTTGGTTGATGTGGCAGATGGGAGGATTAGGTCCCATGCAAGGTATGTCGTCCATGAATGCCATAATAATATTGCTTGCCTGCTCTCGCACACTTCTCCGAAAAAGGAAACGAAAAGAAGAAGAAGTTAATCACAACCCCAAAAATAGGCTAAGCTCACCACTTCACCGGCTTCGCCCCCGTCCATTCCGATTGGGGTATCCAGCGTTACGTCGACGAAACCAAGAGACTCTATGCGGTGCTGAATACGCACCTCGGGGAATCACCCTATCTCGCGGCCGAGAAATTCACATGTGTACCCAAGAGATTTAAATTTCTCTCTAACCGCCCATGCTACCATTAATCCTCTGAACGTCCTCATTTCCCATTTCGTCCACCCATTTATCCTTCCGATGATAGTAGATTTCCGTTGCCAATTTCGCACAATTCAGTCGATGTTCTTCATCGAGTGTCCCAGACTTCACCGCGACGACTTCTTGATCATCGCCTGATCGTGAGGTAAATGGCGTACCGCAATCAGGACAGAACTCGCGCAATACCTGCCCGCCCTTATCGCTTCGATCCGAATACAACTTGGGCGACCCCTTGACGTACTCGAAACTAGATTGTGGCACGATGATATTGGCGGAAAAGCTGGAGCCGGTATAGCGTTTGCAATTGGTGCAGTGGCAGATAACCACCTGGCAACATTGTCAATAAACGATTAGGATTTTCCGATTGGGCAGTTGGAGATAAGCAATAGGTACCTTGGGGAATGATTCTGACGTGGGCAACGTAATTTGGTATACTATGTTCTTGCAGAGGCAAGCGCCGGTCAAGCAATTCTGAGCCATTGTGAATTTTGTGGGATTGGTTATCGGAACTTCAGTGTATCTCTCGAAGAGTTTAATCTTGAATGTAAATGTCGAAAGGCAAGATAGGATTGTTTTGCCAGATTACTGGACGGTTCTTGACACACCGGCGATTGCACTAGCACGATAGCTGATGCTATTTTTATCCCAATGATTAATAATGTACTGGCACACCGCCAAGGGTAAGAGAGATTGTACAGTACGGAGTAATCCCAATAGATATAGGGCAATTCAAAGCAGAGTTCAATAATTGAGGAAGAAAGCTTCTATCTTCTCGAATTAGAAACTACAAGAGTAGTCGGCCGCATAAGGGGCCTTGTCATGTCTTCCAAGGTTTTTAGTAGTCTTTTTAGTAGTTCATATTATTTTCGAGTAGAAGGCCAAAGGGAACTAGAAAAATCTTCTTCCTTATAGTACTGGGAAAGGACCATACCGAGGACACTATTTAAGGTAGACTTCCGTAAAGCCCAACTTCTCGAGCTCGGCCCGGACCCCGGCTCGTAGGGGGGCGCTCGACGAGCCCAAAACGATTCTTCTCTTTAAATAAGATCGAAGTATTAAAAAAAGGAAAAGGACGATAAGCTTAATAATATTAAAATTTATTTAATTTAAAGTGAACGATATAATCGAAATACTTAAATTTATTAGGAATTTTTATATTATTTATATAGTCACGAGAAATTAGTATATTTACACTATTTAGTCGTAGGGGGGGGCTCGTCCCCCCCACCCCCCCCTAACTCTTTTCGAGCTATAGGCCTAAACTAAAAGCCCGAAGCCCGCTATAAGCTTTAGAAATAGGCTCGAAACCCGACCCTTTTAAGGGTCGGGTCGGGTCGAGTTTCGGGCTTTACGAGCTTTACGGAAGTCTAAATATGCGCCACCTCCCCGCCTATCCACCACACTAAAGCTTGGTCACCTGGTCCTTTTTGTCCGGCGAGTTACGACAGTCTTGAAGGATCGGTCCAACGCATCTTAAAGATGAAGTCATAGGAAGTCATATTTCACAGGCAATCTCTAATCGATATACTACTATATCATTGGTGATGTCATTCCATTCAGTCCCCGAATTCAGGCGCCTCAGCGACGGAAGTATCACACCATAGACCTTAAGAGGCATTTCATAGCTACTCAACTGAGCTGCCTAGGTTAACTTGACTTTTTTGCGATATTAATGTCTTTAAACTCCAACCAATCGACCTTAATCGAAAAGTTCTCTAGTCCATCTGGACCATTGAGGCCGATTGTCTCCATAATATCGTCACCCAGTGACTTCAGTGCATTGGTTGTATCCTTCTTAGACAGATGTCGCTCCAGGAGCCGCGCTGTTCGAGACCTTATAATACCTTCAATGCAATCAAAATATGGGTACAATTTCTCCGCATCATTTACCTGGTAGCAAATTACAACACCCATTGTTAAATTTCCATCTAGGAGCGGATGATCCCTTCTGGCTACCTCGATCAGATCTCTCATAGTAACTCTCTTCAATTTAGAAGAGAAAGGACCGGCATAGATGGGAGTTCCAGGTCCAACGGGTCGTGAAACCTTGCCAAATTTCAATATCAGTCCCATCTGACCCTCGTTGACATATTTCCATGGCCATTGAATAGGCCAAATTGTGGCCAGGAATTCTGATGTGACCCTTCTATTAGCTCTGGGCTATGGACAGATAATCCTAATTTATGGAATACTCACTGGAAAAGCTGTCGGTTTTCTTGCCCATTATTATAGATTAAAGCTCGAAGCTCAAAGTGGGAGACAAAAATGCGTCGATGTGAATTTGAACTTCAGCGATTGTAGTTGACTTTATAGCAAGACAAATTCTACAGCATCCAAGTCAGCTGCAGCTGGATATTGAAATGACACCCTCACAGCAGATGGGTCCAGGCGAGTCCATGGTCTAATTATTTGGTCATAACTGTTTGCTGTGCCGCAGACTAGAACCACTTGCCATATCGCAAAATCTAGTGGTTTGAGGATACCAATTATCAGGTGCTAATGTCAAATTCAAAGCACGAACAGTCTGGGTCTCAGACGACGTCAGCAGATGCCATTTGCGGAAGCACTTATATCACGGGAAACTTCCACGCAGCCACTATCCCCGAAAGATCTCTTATCGGTTTCCAATCACTCCAGTGTAGGCTTTCAACTTCAAAGTCTGGTAACAAATGGCTGTCAATATATGTAGTTTGAGTAGGACGTGAAATACCTCAATTTTGGATTTCAAATGTACAATATTCCTTAAAATTTAAGATTGTGTCATTGACGTATTTACCGAGTTCTTTATCTTTTAGTGTGCAAATCGCCATAGGGTACGAAAGTTCGATATTTCATTTTCCATTTCATTCCTACTCCCAAATTTCTGAAAACCAAGCAGACTATGGCGCCGTTAAACTGCAATCTAGCAAACCCTGACCTCACGCATCTGGATGACATTACAAAGAATCTCTTCGGAGGAATCACACCGTGAGTCTACTCAAACAGCACTCCATTGTCCAGGCTAATCACCGTAGCTTTTTCGCGCTACTTGGACAACAATTTACCAATACTTACCTGTCACAGTCAATCAGCATCTGTGACTGGATAGTGTTTGCATCCGTGCCAACAGGGGTCCCATTCGCTCTGACTGCTATTATCAGAGTTTCTAAGAGAAACAATGTTCTTAGAAGCCTCTCTGTCCACCCTGAAGAGGAAAATAAGTACATTGAAAGGGACCTCTTATCATCCACCTCAGAAGAAGTGTGTGAAATATGGAATGGCCGTGGAGCGACAAGGAAACTTGCACCTTTGTCACAACTACCAATCACGGAATGGATCTTTGACGGCACGCTCATGTCGTCGAAACAAGCGAAAACCCACGTGCTAATAAAGAAAGGTATACCACAACCTCGAGTAGGGTCATATTTTCGCCCCTTTAGGTATAGTGACAACTGACATGGTTGCGCTCCTGTCAGCAGCAAAACATGAAAAAAGTGGTCTCGACGAATGGGAGGACAAGGCTGAGACCGAGCTCCCACCCAATCTTATAATGAACCTAGGACCATACAACAGGGTCTGGAAATTACTCCTCCTGACGGTTGTTGGCAGCTTGCTTCAGTCCAGCATAGTGATACTCACTGCACTTACCGCTTTCTACTGTCCAGTGAGACAGCATTTCTTTGCTCGTGCGAAATCTGCTTACGGCATAGCAGCTCCTACACTTGTATGGGCTGGGACGTTGTTCCTGACTTGTGGTCTCATATACACCGCAAAAACGATCGACACATCGGCTCGGGTTGACATCTGGAAACCGACTAAAGAAGGCGTAATGGTGATCTGGAAACAAGACAAGAAGGACTTCGAGGAAATACACACTGAGCGTTACGTAATTGGGAAGGTGATCAAGAAGGAGCTTATTTCGACCCATCGACGCCTTCGAACCCGTCCATCGACCTCTCATCCAGTTTTAGTGGCATTTGTTCTTACCATCGGCTTCGTATCACAAAGTGTTGGAATTTTTTTGATGCATTGGCCGCTCCAGGCTCTCCAACTTTTATCGATGATTATCATGTTTCTCGGTCGCTGCTACGTTCGTAGCCAAGAGCCACCTGACTTTGTTCAGAAACTCGATCATGATATTTCCCACAGGGATTTGCTTGAACTTGCGCAAAAATGGCGCCGCCAGAGACTCCGTTCGGAACACGAAAGAAATTGATTTGAAGCTTTCCCTAATTGCGTTTTAACCAGATGTCCACAGGTAGCCGTCTTCCCATGACTAACCCACTTCCGTGAGTTTGTTTCGCCAAATCCAATTTTTATCCAATTTCCAGATTTAAAATTAACCCTTAAATACAATAACCTCATTCAATAACGCAGCAAAGCCCTTCACCCCCGGAAGATACCATTTTCTATCGCATTCCCAAAAAGGATATATCACAAACTGATAGAATGAATTCGGTTATCAGCGTCGTATGGCTAGCGATTCCCCCTAGAATAGAGCTGTACCTTCCATTGAACCTGTATCATGTTTGAGCCGTCGAAAATGTTGTGATGCTTATGGTCTCATATGACAGTGTTCACCTGCAAGCCTCCCGATCTTTGTGTCTAGTTATATATTGAAAAGGCATCTGCACATTTACGCCCTTTCCCGCCTTTTGCCTGCCGTCTTGCCCTAGAACCGGGAAGGGGGTAAAAATACATAAAAAAGAGACTACTAAAAAGACTACTAAAAAGACTACTAAAAAGGCCTCTAGTGTTACGTGCCAGGTCAATCAACAAGAAAGAGTGCATTCAAACTAGAAAAGCAAAGATGGGGAAGGAGAGAGAGAGCAAGTGGTGAATCCCAGGGATCTTATAGCAGAGCTATCCCACAATGCAAACAAACCCCTTTCCCAATTAGGAATAGTAGCACTTCGAAGAACAAAGGAAATAAAGCAAACAAACGATCTCTGGTATGTGATAACATGCAGATCGTGACATCTAGCGCGCAACAGAGATAGTAAGGCCGGGAATTCCAGTGTTGTAGATTGATGGAACATCTTGTTAACTTAGATATCGTTATTGCCACCGGAAAGACAGCGAACGAAGCTTAATTCCGGACCGCAGTAGGCGCCGTCGTTGAAAGAATTGACCGGGCCGAGCTTCAACCATCCATCCCAGGTACCGCCATGGTCCATACGAAGACAGTGGGTGCCGCAGATTTTGTCGTGCTCCACGTTGGTCATGTACTTCTTGATGGCGCCAGCAATGGTTGCCTGCTGTGCTGTAGTATCGCAGTTCCGGCCGGAAGAGTGGTATGACCACCTGAGGCCCTCGTAGCTGCCACGCATCATGTTGCAGGTTCCTTTGTTGGAGAGCTCCTTGATTGTGGTTCCCAGTGACTTGCACATTGTAATGGCAAAGTTTGTGATCACAACGCAGGCAGCGGTCGTGGCAACGATACGCTCGCAGACTTGGATGGGAGTTCGCTTCACGAGAGCATTGTCGGTGTCCCTCGTGCTGAGACTGGTGTTCCCGGAAATGGTTTCATTGAGAGAGATTTGGTGCCACTTGTCTGGCAGTGACTGCCCTTGGATAGATGAAGGCAAGGTAGAGGCCAGCGACAAAGTTGAAAGACAGCAAAGTGCTGTAATCAGCATTCTCTTCGGAAATAACATAGCGATAGAGGCCGTTGCAAATGATGAGACCAAACAGACAACAGTAACGAGCGAGTTCGAATGTGCGATCAACCAAAGTAGGCATTGCTTGAATATTCTTGGAGAAGACGGAAATTTCTGTTGATTTTATACTGAGGAATTTCGAGTTTGGATTTCTCGAGAGATGAAGAGGTGGATAGATAGGAAAGATGGCCCCCGGTGGGTCCAGGATGGATATATATTAGTTTACCTCCAGAGCTGTCCACGGATGTTTGCGGGATTTGTGTTAGCTGCATAAAATATTGGGCTTGGGATATATGTTGTAGGGCATACATACATGGAATGGATATGGTCTCAGGTTAGTTCACGGCTTCTCGAGTGATGTTGGTAGTTTCTACTTTCTATTTACCTAGGTAGTCATAGATACACAGATCAACTCATCTATGTCTATATCTCTGATCCTTTAAGAATTCCAGTTAATACTCAGTAATTATACCACAGAATTGCAGTTTATACGCTAACCTGGACATCCCACGGATGCAAAGATTAGTGCTGCCGAGAGACTCCACTTCTTTTCAAACCGCCCCCGAGTCTCAGACATCCAAGTTTTAAACTGGGGCATCTTCTAAATCACAAAACTACGCATCACAGTACAACATACATGATACACAAGTTCTGGATCAAATACTGCTTTTAATGCGGATCCTTGTAGTAAACCGCAAGGCTCAGACTGCCTTCTAAGGCAATACGAGATAAGCTTCGAATTTGGCGTCTGGGCATTAACTCCGGCGTATTAACGGTCCAGCGGCTCCTGCCGGAAAATCCCTCAGACCCAGTGCGAACCATACGGAGATGCACCCAGATACAGCATAGAGCCATTACTGCGTATAAGGGACATATCTCACCAATCAGATCAAATACTATTACCCTAGCCTTGTGGATATTCCTGTCTATACCAAGAAACTTGCCCTAAAGCGCCATCCACTATAAGGGACTAACTTCCCATATCACGTTGGAGCATTATTTGCTTGAATAAGCAGACTTTTGGCCCCCGAGCTAGTAGCTAACACTGAAAGAAGGGTTACATCTGGTACTAGCGAGTGGATGTCGTTAGTGTGACACTTGATCCTCGGAACATCGTGGGAATGCCCATCCAATTTGATGCGTTTCTGATGAGACGACAGATGGAGGAAAATCAGTCATGTGTATATGACTATGGGAAGAAACTATCTCTGGAAGCTACATAGTAACTAGTTAGTTAAGTCAACAACACCTAGGTGGTGACCTGAACCCTGAGGCTCTCTCGACAGTTTCCATTGCGGATCAGCTAAATGCACCAACAGAGGAGATCGTCGGTGCGGGGCCTTTGATTATTTGGAGCAGTCAGCGGGATTTACTTGCAGAGCCATCGGGTTGGATTGGGTGTTTAGTATGTGCTCTCATTGCATTAGATTCAGGGTTGGGAAGGTAATTATATGCTATATGGTATGATGGTTTCCATCGCAAGAGGTGGTCCTGGTGTTGTGCTTCCAGAAGGAAGTGGGGATGTTGGTAGCATTGCATCAGCCGATAAACCGGGATTCACGACCGAATGGCGACTTGGTTGGAAACAGATCAGATTACTAGAGTCCTACGTCGAGCCCTGGAGAGGTTTTCAAGTTCAGAGACCACCCAACTATTCCAAGGGCCTTGCAATCGTTATTTAATAATTCGATTGCACCTATGTACATATACTCTGCCGAACTTAGGGTAACTCTACCACTTCATTTTTTAAATGATCTACCACCTCCAGTTCAGACCCATTGAAGTTAAAAGAAACTCAACGCAGCACGATAAAAATAATAATTCCCTTTCGGTCTTATCCTATAAAACCGACAAGAGAGAAGGAGAAGGGGAAAGGATACGTCGTGGAGTGGTGGGCGGGGGATACGAATGAACACCACAATGCGAATGCACCATGAGCAGAATTGATCAACGAGAAGGAAGAAGCTATATACTCGGAAGTTTTTGAAAATCAGGTAAATTCTTTTTGTTCTTTCTGATTTGCCCCCGAGAGTTTGATCCAGCACTATTGTTGGGGTTCAAGTTGGGCAAGTATGGTATCGGAATCGGGATACTTGGATGAGATGAAGTAGGTGGTATAGAAGATGGCGAAGTCACAGGGCGACATGAGGAGAGACGTCACCTCGTCGCATCAAAACGTAAATATGGAAAATGGATGGGGGAATCTAGAAAGCAGATAGAGAGGAGAAAAGGAAACTTCATGCGCTCAATCGTTGGATGAATGACTGTTGGAGGTTGCAATGTTAGTTGGATGCCACGTAGATCGAAAGCGTTAAGAGGGGGGGGGGGGGGGGGGGGGTATAAGGCAGTAGCACATACCGGGAAGAATTGCCGGAACCCTTTCACGTCCAGCTGGCTCATTGCGGTCAGGAACTCTTCAATGAGATCGGCTCCCATGCCCATGCCGGGCAGTTCCTGGCTGCGCAAGTATTCCGCATATTCCATGCCTGTCTTACAGTAGATAGTGCGTTGCAAAGCGCCAGCCTCGGCAAGGACTTGTTTAGCTTGTGCATCTTTGGAGTTGAAGGATGGTGTCGTGGGGAGTGCCCAGCACAAAGGCGAGAACCGGGTGATCATGAATCCACCAAAACCGGGGAGTGCAGCTTGGGTAGGTGCGGCGCCATTAGCAGTGGCAGGGGCGATGTCAGGTCCGCCCCAGCAGCTTGCCATACGGCCCAAGACGGAGAAAGCCATCTTGGCCGTTGTGAAGTCCTCGATATCTTTGGCGAAGTGTTCGATGGTGGTGATCACAGTCTCGAAGATGGACTGGTTCCTCTCGCTAATGATGACATTTCCCAAATCATTGTTCAGCACAGCCAGCAAGAAGTTCAGGTATTCTCGCTTCAACTCGGCAAGCTGGATCTCATCATCAGTGCCGGTTGTCGGATCGGCAATGCCAGAGAAGACTCGCTGCAAGAAAGGAGTCAGGAGCGTGTCGAGGATGTTATAGATCTCACCCTTGAACCCAAAGATAACCTGGTCCAAAAGGCGGAGGAACAGCGCCATCTCGTCGCGCGACGAAGTCTGAGTCAAGAGCCCATCAATCCATCGGGGCAGTTGCGGGAGAATCTGCGCGCCCAGAACACCAATGAGCCGCGAGAACGCAAAGCGAGCAGCAGTCCGGATATTGAATGAGGAACTGAGAGACTCGAGCGCAACCAGGGTCGCTTCAGCCACCTGGGTAAAAGCCGCCGAGACCTCTGGCGCCGGGAGAGCAGAGGGTGAGCTGGTGCCCGGCTGCCAATCAGAGTAACCACGAGCAAGGGTTCCTAGAGCCATGATGTCGTGGTGAATCTGCAGCAGTGCGCGTTCGTCGTTGGCCTTGGCGGCTTCAAGGTTACGTTCCATGTCGCCGAAGACAGGATTCATCACCGACTGGGCGTAAAGAACCTGCTTGTCTGCACCGATACTTGGAGTTGAGGAAATGATTCCAACGGACTCGAAAAGGTACAGCTGACTGTTGAAAACGGCGTCCGCAGAACCCTCGTGGTCCTCGGAAGACATCTCATCACCGTCATCGCCCTCCGAAGGCAGCTCAGCCTGGATAACCAACAAGTCACTCAATGCCTCCACAACAGTCTGTGCCACGTTGCCAATTTGGCTGCGCAGCTGTCTAGCTAGCCGCTGGAACAGATACCACGAACGAGTCTTGACTTTTCGAACAGGGTGATGCACAAGCTGGAGGAAGCTCTCCAGAGCTCCGGGGATGAGATGAGAGTGGTGAGTAAAGAATGAGCTATAACGAACACATATTTCCATGTACTGAAGTTGGGTCGCGGGGTGGGTGAATGATCGGATATCGGACTCTACCATTGCAAGCATCATCTCGATGAGACGGTTCGCAGCCATGTTAGTAGGGGCGCCCTTCAGATAGAGACTGCCGCCCCTGACGGCCAGATCGCCAAACAAGAACATCTCGTGCAGAGCAAGATCTAGGTCACGCCAGTCGAGCTGCCCACCGGATGCTCGCAGCTTTTGGAAAGTTGTTCCCACCACCTCTGAGATTGCATCGATGAAAAGCTGCTCATCGGCCGAGGCGATGATTTGCTGCAAAACACCCAGTCTCTTACGCAGGTCTTGAAACTCTGCCTCATCCGTTTGCTCGTCCTCCTCGCCCCAGTTTGAGGTCTCGTCGTACCGCATTTTCGCAATAATGGCCTTCAAAATCGGAAGCAGGATGGACTTGTTTCGCTCCTCGAAGGATGGGTTCGCCTTGGCGAGTTTCCGGATGTAGGTGAGCATGTCGTTGACGCAAGGAATAACAGTCGAGCAGACTTCGTCGTACTCGTCTGAGAAGAATCGCAGAACGTGCGGCAGGAAGACCTGCAAAAGGTTCTCTGCCTGCTCCTTGACGGGACCAGCATCGTTATCCAATACCCGCACAATATCCATGACTGTGTTGTTGACAAGCTTGGCAACCGTCTCTGCCAAATCAGTATCGTACTTGAATGTGAATCGGCTCTCCCGTAGTGGAGGGCTGTTAGACAGCTGCGTGATGATGGAGTCGAGGTTCAAGAAAGCGATCATCTCAATTTTGTCCGAGGGCTTCATCTTCTTGCCAATAATCTCGGTGAAGACATCCACGGCCGCATCGCGCACCCGCTGTTCTCCCTCCCGAAGCTCCTGTTTCTCGGCCCGTCCAAGCTGCTGGAAGAGCAGGTCCAACATGGTCTGGTTCACAACAAGACCAATATCGATCCAGCTGACCCAGCTACCAACCGCCTTCAAGCACATCTCGACAATAATATCATCACCTTCGCGCCACACCGCCAAAATCTCCTGCCAGGAGCTGGCAATTTTCTGCATGTCCCTCTCACGGATCAGGTCCTTCAGCGCATTCGCCTTATCCTGTTCCCCGCGAGATCTTGAAACCAGCACATCACCAATCTCATCATGAATCGAGCTCAGCACACGCAAGTAAAAAACAACACCGATTTGGCTATCCCGGCCCGCGGATTTGTAGGTCAGGTTCAGTAGATCGTCGATGCAAGTCTCCCAGCCGTTCGCGTAGAGGGAGGAGAAGAGGAAAGTAACGGTCTGTGCAATTTTATTCTGGATATAAGGAGCATCGGGGGTGGCAGTGGCCTCTGGGCCGTAGGTCTGGCGAATGTAGGCAAGCACACTATCTCGAACAACGCCGAGCGAGGCTGGATCGATCAAGCCGACCTGGGCGGCACTATTGACAATCTCCAGACTGACATGCCGTACGACTTCAGGCTGTTGTGGGGTTTTGGTGAAGAGAGAGAGGCAAACCTGCCATCCGGAGGGGTCGGAGCGGAGTTGGTTGAGGTATTCGAAGGCTTGCGATTTTAGGGTTTGCTCGGAGGATGGATTCCAGGCGATCTCAATTGCATTTGCTACCTAGGATGTGTCAATCATATTGTGTCTTAAGGTGAGGAGAAGGTATCGGAGGGGTTGTTTGAAACGGCGGGGGAGGGGCGGTGTTTGGGGTATTGGAATTTTTTTTTGTTTCGAGGGTGTGCTGAACAGAATTGGAAGACTGACCTGTTCTTCCATCTTCCAGTCTCCCTTCGAGGTGTGGGAAGGAGAGAGGGAAATGAAAAGGGGAGGTGTGTGTTGTTTTAAAATTGTTTTTCGGTGGAGGAGATATCACCGGGCATTCAAACTGGATATCGTAATCGGTCCCGTGCACCAGGTTCCGCCTTCGCTTGCCAAGAGAGTGTCAAGTCTACAAATCAAGTATCTAAAATATCTCCAGTAGAGATATGGAGCAGAGTTCGATTGAAATGCGATGTTCTTTGTGTTTTCCTAAATAGGGCAAGGGGCTTGCACACACTTGTTTTTGGGAGCTTTATTGTTGGAACGTCATACTATCTATATGTACTAAACTTGCTATTCTCATTGCTATATAAAGCTTTAAAATAGCTAAAATGATGCTAAAATAATTTTAATCCGATCTTTTTTTATGACAATATTATTTTCAGTTTCCATCTCCATTGGCCTTGTCAGCCTCTTGCTGCAAAACCTGCAGTTCCATCTTCTCAAAGCCCTCGACGGCCTGACCATACTGTTCAAACACCCCCTTTTGGTACCCGTCCGCAATTTTCTCAATGAACTCGTCCTCGTTCCACCGCTGCCCGATCAGGTTCTCAAACGTTTGACCGGGCTGTCGTTCGAGACCCCAAACGGCCTTGTATGCGGCACCTAGGGCGCAAGCATTGTCGCCAACATCGAGCGAATATACACCCTCGACACCGCCGAGGATCTCGCCAGCAATTTTGGCAATTGCCTTGTTCTTAGATCCTCCGCCAACGAGATAAACTCGGCGTGGCTGCGAAGGAAGTCCATTTCCAGGGCTCTGGGTAAGGTCTCGAGACCGCAACCGACATGAAAGCAACTGGCTCTCGACGATGGCGCGGGCTTCGTCCTGTGGTGAGTTCCATCCATCGGTCGTCTCCTGTAGACTTCCGGTGTGGGCATCGTATGTAAAGCGCCATTGGCCCTTACTAATGTTTGGCACGATCTCATGTCGCGGGAAGAACAGACCCATCTTCATCGGGCCCGTTCCGTTTTGTTGGCCCAACGGAGCAGTCTGCAGCGCAACCTTGTCAAAGTTGGCCCAGGGATGCGCAGGGGTATCCTTCAGGCTCTCATTGATAGCGTCTCGGACGAGCTCACGGGCCAGGCCACCGTTCTTATAGCACAGCATGAACATGTACAATCCGGGGGTAGTAGGGTGGTTGAAAAAGTGTGTGGCCGGATCGGGTTTGTAGCTGGGGGTGGACATGAGGAAGGTAGTAGAGGTGCCAAGCGAAACCATTGCATCTGATGGCAGCAGCGGCAGCGCAAGAATGGTCGCCGGGTTGTCGCCAGTTGCTGGAATAACCGTACAATCGGGGCTAAAGCCAAAACGCTCCACGAAGTATGGATGAACGGGGCCTAGGTGCAGGCCTCCATCTTCCGGTACCTCGCCGAGCTTCTGCTTGAGATCCTCAACTCCAAAAACACCCGAGCAGAGCTGAATCAGGCGCTCATCGTACGCCTCTTTCTTGATGTTCCACAAGTTCATCCCGCACACGTCGGAGATGTCCAATGGGGCTACATGGCCGAGGAAAAGCGAGGCCAGGAAAGATGACACCAATGAGATTCTCGAGGTCTTCTCATAAATCTCGGGGTGTTTCCTTGTGAATCGGAGGATTTGAGGACCTGTGAATCTCTAATAACAGTGTCAGCACGCTTGCCCCGCTTATACTTAAGACTTCGAGGGCTTCTTACGTGGTGTGCTTTGCTTCCAGTGGCCTGCGCCAAATCTTCGGGTTTGCCGAGAGCTGCATCAAACTCGTCACATTCGTTCTGAGTGCTCGAGTCTTGCCAATTGGGACTGTATGGGTGGGAGAAAGCGCCTTCCAGCTGTGCCTCGAGGGACTTGCTGGAATCTAAATTGCGGAGAAGCGACTCCGCATTCTGTCCCCAGTATACACTTCCGTGCTGCTGTCCCGCACCACTAATTCCTTTCACGCGGCGGAAATCGAGACCCTGCTTGCGCAGGCTTTCTAGCACACCGTCCAATGCCTGCAGCCACAAAGCGACCGGGGCAAACACTTCATGTTCGGCTTCATTATTCAGAACGCCTTTTTGAATCGGGAACCCTTGCGAGTCAGCATCGAAGTCGAACTTGGCAACATGGACGACTTTAAGATCGGAGTTGACGACTAATCCCTTCAATTGCTGCGTTGAGAGATCAAATCCAATGTAGAGGGGGGTATCTGACGCCATGATGGAAGAGATACAATTCCAAGCAGTAGAGCAACGGAAAAGATAAAGTAAACCTAGTTGGATTCTTCCAGATTTAGGCAAAAATAGTCAAAAGTTCAAGGGATGAATCCGGGAAAAGAAGTGTAAGAAGTGCAAGCGGCAAGATTCCCAGGTGGGATGAACCGATGATGTAAAGGGACTATAACCGGTCTCGGGTCCTATAGTGGGCTTTATGCCATCTACATCCTCTTATGATTCTTTTATAAGTATAGCGGAGTACGGTTGAAAAAGTGGAAAGTGAACACCGAGAACCAATTAGGGTAAGCTTTTAATTCTCCCAGGAATGTCAAGTCAATCCCGAGATGGTTTTGGCCGGGTAAATGGCTTTTTTTTTAGCTGTTGCTCTGCTAAATTCTCGGTAGAATAGAACTGCCCCACTATATACTCTGTGCTATAACTATTCAATGAAATTATGTTGTATGTTATATCCGGTTATATTGTAGACTTGTTTTATATTCAATCTATGCACATAGATCACGCATCCAAGGGTATCATCGCAGAATTCTATCCCTATTGCTTCTTCCGAGTATCTTGGGGTGTCTCTGGGTCACCACTAACATCCCGTGCAACGAATTCATCCGAGAACGTGAGGTCCTGATGCTCCGCCGGAATAAAGCGGACCTTGATGCGCTTCACACCACGAACTCCAGCTCCAACAGCCTGGCGAACGGCCTCTTCGATGTGTCGCGACCGACTAATAGCCCAGGCACCCGGCACAGCCAACTCAATGTCCATTAGGTAGTTTTGACCGGATTTCATGCCCTGCACGTCACGGACAATGACTTCGTGTCCATCCTCAAGATCCTTCAAGGCCTTGGAGGCAGCATCCTCCACAGAGTGTCGGACTTCCTCGTCAACCGTAGTATCCGCCAACTCCAAAAGAGAGATACATGTGTTGCCCCAACCGGCTTTGATGACCATCAAGGAGATCAGGACTCCACCAACTGGATCCAGCCAGGTGGCGTCTTGGAAGACATAGCTTCCTCCAATTGTGAAAAGCGCGACGATACTCGTCAGGGAGTCGATGCGGTGGTGAATGGCGTTGGATGCAAGCACGGAGGACTTGCGCTCTTCGGCAACCTTCATGGCTAGAATATAAAGTTAGTCACCTGATAGATATAAACACCCAGATCCCTGTATCTCTTCACTTACTGGCACGGTAAAGCCACTCCTTGACCACAATCGAGCCTAACGCAATCCACGCCGCGTGGATGCTAGGACCAATGGGCCCATGACTGTGCGAATGACCATGTCCCAAAATCCCGGAGTGAGCTACTGTTTCAGCCACGTCGGGGTAAAACTGAGCCAGCAGGATCTGTCCCGCGTTGAGACCCATGAACACTCCTCCGCAGAGCAGGAGCCCACTAACTCCCAGCGCACCGATGCTCTCGATTTTTCCATATCCATTGGGGAATCGTTCGCTAGGGGGTTTCAGGGACCAGGCGACAGTTCCCAGTGTCAAAAAGTCGGAGACGAGATCGGTGAGCGCGTGGTAGGCGTCGGCGATGAGGGATTGAGAGTTAAAGACATAACCGCCAATGAATTTACCAATTGCCATACACAAGTTTGAGACGAGACCAATCCTTGTAATGCGAACACCAGCGTCGCGTTTGTTTGTGGAGGTTAAATAGGTATTGTCGTGGTGATGGTGGTGACCGTGGCCGTGGCTATGGCCATGATCCCTTGTTTGTGTCATAGCGAAAGATGTTGCCGAACGTGGGATGGAACGAGGTCTGGAGTGAAAAATAAAGGAAGAAGCGTCTTTTAAGAAAGGAGTGGAAGTAAGTATACGCCGCTGGGCAGTAAGAGATCTGAGACTGGAGCGTAAGTGGAGAGGGCGAAGCCTGCATAGGGGCTGCGTCAGCGGCATCGCGTCGAGGGCACGCGAGCACAGAAGGATTGGACAGAATTGGACAGGGTGTTCTTTTCAGGGTCTTTGTGTTGTAAAGACAGGGATTTTTAGTTTTAGTTACATCTAATTCTGAAAGATGAGATGTCTAGACGGTGGGATGTTCATGTCATCCGGCAATTCCCTTGATTTTCCGTTTCCAATCCAATCTGAACGCTTGCATTTCTCTCATGACCATCTCCATGACTCCTATTGATCCCCTTGGAATCGGACAACCCCCCGGAGCCTATCACAGTCCTTCTTTATTAATCCATCATATTACTTTATAATCTTTGATCTTGAATCCTGGATATCTTCTTACGCAGTATCCGCCAAGCCTCCAACTACGCAATCGTTGGAGAACCTCCACTCCCGTTCCGCCAAGACACCCTTGGACGTATGATGGTGCGTCTTCAATGACGACGCCTGCCATTCGGATTCCCTTCACGGGACCATTGCCGCCTGCTATTATAATCCCTCCGGCCGCAACAACACTTGCAGGGGCAATTGATGCTATCAGCACTTTCCTCACTGCGCCACCGTCCTTTAATCTCCGCGGCGTCGATGTGGGGAGACATTCCCAGACGGTACTACTGACTGGCGCAGGTATCTCCGTCGCGTCTGGTCTATCAGATTATCGAGGCGACCAGGGTACCTACCGGCTCAACAAATCCTACCGTCCGATTTACTACCACGAGTTCATCGCCCACCATGAGTCGCGCAAGCGGTATTGGGCACGCAGCTTCGTCGGATGGCCCGGACTCCTGAAAGCAAAGCCGAACTCGACTCATTGGGCAATAAAAGGTCTCCGTGAGAAAGGGTATATCAGTTCCGTGGTGACACAGAATGTCGACTCGTTCCATTCCCTCGCGCATCCCGAATTGCCTACCCTCGAACTACACGGATATCTGCGATCGGTCGTCTGCACTAGCTGTCGAAACCAACTTCCCCGCGCTGACTTTCAAGCGTCGCTGGAGAAACTCAACCCAGCCTGGGCTGAGTTTTTGGCTCGTATAGTTGCAGAGGGCGCGCTTGATACCGATAATCCGGAGGAGCAACGGCGGAAAGGCTTAAAGCTCAACCCGGATGGTGACGTTGATCTCACTGGAGCACAATATTCCACTTTCCGTTATCCTTCATGTCCGACCTGCTTGGAGAACCCTCCCACGCTGAGCGATGGCACGAAGGCGATTGTAGAGGCAGAGAGCGACGGTGCATTATCGCCGGCTTCGAACGCTGGCATTTTGAAGCCGGCAGTGATCATGTTTGGTGAAAATATCGATCCACTGGTGAAGACTGCGGCTGAAGAGGCGATCGATGATGCTGGGCGGCTACTCATCCTGGGTACCAGTCTGGCGACTTTCTCGGCGTGGCGCCTAGTGGAACGAGCACACAAACGAGGCATGCCTATTGGTGTTGTCAATGTTGGTGGCGTGAGGAATGAAGCCGTGCTTTTTGGAGATATTGGACATGAACCCACTGCTCATGTCCGGTGTAGCCATCCATCCCAGTTAGTCCTTCCGACCGTTGTATCCCAACTTCCAGTCAATCTATAGATTTATGAAAATTAAAATGAAAATATACTAGATCGTTATAAAAGAATATACCAATTATAGCAAAATAAAAATAGAAATAAGAGTAGAGAGAATAAGCGCCTGCTACCTCAGGCCAAAAAAAAAAAAGGCTAAGTCTGATAAGTCCCGGGCCGCTCAGCGCGGGGCTCCTCCCTCACGTCTCAGCATGGAGCACTTTAGGGATCCTGCCCACCCTTTGAAGATCGCCTCAAATCTGGTCTCTCCTGGTCACTTCCTCTTCCATACTAAACCAAAACCATCGGGGCCACCGGCTTCCAAAATTCCACAGAAAATGGACAAATCTCAGCAGCCCAGTTCCTTCCAGCAGCTGGAAAAGGTATGCCTTTCTACTTATCGGGTCTTGGATCTTCACTAACTGGTATTCGTCTTATTTCTAGCTCGGTGAAGGCACTTACGCTACAGTATGTCTCGATCTCTCTCGATCTCTCTCCGCTTCTCTCCCCCGCTCCTAGCCTGGTCGCCACTCTCCCCCGTTCACCGCTGATGCAGAATACTATAGGTCTTTAAAGGGCGCAATCGCCAAACCGGTGAAATGGTGGCGCTGAAGGAAATTCACTTAGATTCGGAGGAGGGGACACCATCGACTGCAATCCGTGAGATCTCGCTCATGAAGGAGCTGAAGCATGAGAGTATTGTCTCGCTCTACGATGTCATCCACACGGAAAACAAACTCATGCTTGTTTTTGAGTTTATGGACAGAGATTTGAAGAAATATATGGACACTCGCGGTGATCGTGGACAGCTGGATCCTGCCACGGTCAAGTCCTTCATGCACCAGCTACTCAAGGGTATCGCCTTCTGCCATGACAACCGAGTCCTCCACCGCGATCTGAAGCCACAGAACCTCCTGATCAACAAGAAGGGTCAGCTCAAGCTGGGTGACTTTGGACTGGCTCGCGCATTCGGCATCCCAGTTAATACCTTCTCCAACGAAGTCGTCACTCTATGGTACCGCGCACCGGACGTCCTCCTCGGGAGTCGCACCTACAACACCAGCATTGACATCTGGTCCGCTGGCTGCATCATGGCAGAGATGTACACGGGTCGTCCGCTTTTCCCCGGAACAACCAACGAGGATCAATTGATCAAGATCTTCCGTTTGATGGGCACACCATCCGAACGTACATGGCCCGGCATCTCGCAGCTACCAGAATACAAGTCCGACTTCCAGATCTACGCCACACAGGATCTGTCGCTGATCATCCCGCAAATGGATGCTATCGGGATGGATCTGTTGAACCGTATGCTCCAACTCCGTCCGGAGATGCGCATCAGCGCCAACGAGGCCCTGCAGCACCCGTGGTTCCATGATCTGCCTCAGATCCAGGCTAAATTGCAGCAGCAACACCAGCAGCAGCAGATGGCTGGATATGGAGGCATGGTCCCCCCGCAGCCCGCTTATTAGCGATCTAGACTGCACATGACGAGATGACGAGCTCGATTAGACAATTGGACATGGGAGAATTCGGCGTTATACCCGATGATGAATATTTTTGCTTCCCCCTTTTTTTTCCTTCTTTAAACTTGATATTGCGAATATTGGGCCAGTTTTGTCAATGATGAGGAGCATCTAGCCTGCTAGGAGATGGATTGACTTGGGAACATTGTTCTGTTGTCTCGATGCTCTGGAGCAGCGCTCCAGATGTTATCAGCCTTCTGCCTGTCTTTTAAATAGCTATTTCTCGAGAAATTCATTCTGTGATCCACCTCAAGCTGTATTTATTAACACACGGAGCAAGACATGTGCAACACGCGCTTGGGCCTTGTTCAAATGTCCCCGTTGGAACTGCAATCCTCGGGAATATCTTGGCTTGTTGCTGCAACTGGTTCTTTGTTTACCGGCCAAGGATTTTCGGGACGAATAAGCTCATAGCTGCTGCACTGCGCGTTATTCTTAAGTACCCAACTGTAAGCACTTGGAGCAACCCTTTCGAGCAGGCATTCCGTTGGCGTTTGAATGTATTCATACTTGCCTGTTCGGAGAAATCTTTCAAACATGCAATTACCCGTATTTCAATCTGGTCTTCTGCAACGACTAATGAGCTGTGAAAACATCGGGGGAAACAGTTGTGCCAGTGTCACACACGGGCGAACTAACTTTAGGATTTCACAAGGCCACTACAATATTGTCACCATTGTACCCTTGGCATATTCAGGTTACTTCGCCCGCAAGCACTGTTAGACCCTAACAGCTGTAGGGGATAAAGACTGCACGCCTAAACAATGACTCTAATCATTAGTGCAACCCAAGGGCTATGCCTCTGAGGCTTGTCTATACAGACCAGCACTGCCAATCCCCTACCTATTTCGCAAATTCCGGGAGATTGCACGTTGTGGTACCACCCAAACTGGAATCGTTCGCATGTCTTTCCCTGGGAGAACCGGTTTGAGCCCTGACCCATGCGGTGTTTGAGAAGAGGAAATCATTTAAAAGATATCCTGCTTGCCTCTTACTCTTGTTCTTGGCAGTTGTTGAACCTAATACTGTTGGGGCCGCGCCCTTTGTCGCATGGCCCGGCATAAGGCTGGCATCTTCCTAGCTATAAGCCGATGCGAATAACAGCAATATGCTGATTGGGCTAGTCTTGCCTTATTTGTCATTTGGCTTTTTTTCTCTCTCTTTGTTGCCTATTGCGGATAATAAACAGGTGGTATTGTGCTTTGGTCATATCTACTCAAACTGTTTGCCTGTTTTGAGAGTGAACCATAACCCAAAAAAAGTCCCTCGCTGGTAGATCTACGATCATCTGGATCCTCGATCGGTCACAAGCTAACTTAGCTTTGTTGAACCACGAGAATCGTCTCGGTTCATATCTGCCGTTGGATATAACCTTCAGGAGCTGGAAGCCTTCCCCCCTCGCGGCGACTAGGTCATAGATCATGATACCATGGCGCTGTCAGAACAACAAATATTGGCCATCTCGGCCACAGAGCGTGTTTGCTCGACTATCTCCCTGGTTGGAACTTTTGTTATAGTCGCTACTTTTATCTGGTCCCCCACGTTCCGTAAACCCATCAACCGCTTGGTGTTCTATGCATCATGGGGTAACATCATGGCTAGTATAGCCACCATCATATCCGCAGACGGGATTCATTCTGGGGTTGATAGTTCCCTGTGCCAGTTCCAGGGGTTTTTGATCCAATGGTTCGTATCAAATCGGTAACTAAACACCCTTAGCAGACGACCACTAATAACCAAGGATAGGTTCATGCCCGCAGATGCACTATGGACATTCGCAATGGCATGCAATGTCTACCTAACATTCTTCCACAAATACGACTCCGATCAACTACGCCGGCTCGAATGGAAATACGTGCTCTGCTGCTACGGTGTTCCATTCGTCCCAGCATTCGCATACTTCTTCATCCAGACCCAAGCCCGAGGCCGGATATATGGCTCCGCCATCGTAAGCAGAAACTAAAAGCCTTCCCTTCCACCAGCTTATGCTAATCAAATCACACCCCGACAGCTCTGGTGCTGGATCTCTGTACAGTGGTCCTTCCTCCGCATCGCCATCTTCTACGGACCAGTCTGGCTCATTATCTCATTGACCTTCGCCATATACCTACGAGCAGGGACGGTGATTTACCAGAAACGGCGCCAGCTTCGGAACCTTGGCGGCATCGACTCAGATCTTGTCCCAGAATCTCCCTTTGCTATGTTGACCGGCATCCAAGTTACCAGGGAGATTGCCTGTTCTACCCCAGAGCGTCGGTCCTTGTCGGAGGGCAACACGCGCGGGTTGCCGTCTAATGCGTTCAGAGCATACTCCGTCACGATCGAGGGCGGGAGTACAGGCAATACACTCCAAGCCTCCAGCTCAAAAGTTGGTCTCAGTCCTCTTCAGCAGGAGCATTCTGCCAAGACCGTACGGCCGGATGGAGTGGACTCACGGCGGAGGTCGACGTCCACGGAAGCTAGTTCGGCTACGTGGGCGTATACGAAATACGCTATGCTGTTTTTCATCGCATTGCTTGTTACATGGGTAGGTCTAGTCAAAGCCCGTCATAGTCTGAAAACTGCTGTCGGTTCTTTTCAGGTGTTGATTGTTCGACATTGCAGGTCCCCTCGACGATAAACAGAGTCTATTCCCTGGCTCGTCCTAATGACTTTAATTTCAGTCTCAACTATGCATCTAGCTTCGTCCTTCCGCTGCAGGGCTTTTGGAACAGCCTTATATACGTCTCTATTTCATGGCCCGCATTCAAATTACTTTGGTCCGACCTCCATAGCCGCGTATCCTCGTGGCGCATACCCCGTCCGGTGACAAATATACAATCCTTTCATATACGGAATGGCTCTCAAAGCGCGAGTCCTGCTCCTTTGGTGAAAACCGAGAATGAGGAGAACAGACGCCGGAGTTGGCTGGGCTTAGATCCATCAGGTTAGGGCTAAGACTTGGTTGACAGCTGAATGCCTCGTTTCCATTGCAATACACCATTCATGTAATTGACATGCTCGTATTAGCACTATCTAGCATTTAACAGAGTATGAAAATCAAAAATATTTAAATATCAACGTAATGTACTACCCCCATCAATTCAATCTATAGAAGCACGTGACCGGCGCGTCGCGTTGAATAGAGTCCAACACCCCAGATCCAAATTCCTAAAGAACCACAAACAGCCCTCTACACGCCACTCTCGCCATACCCGCATGCTCTTCGTTGCTTCCCACTCTCCGACTCCATCCCGACAGCAGAGACATCCACCATGGCTGAATCAAATTCCCACCAACCGCCCGCCGCGTCGCCGTCCCCTCCCCCGCCAGCTCCAATCTCCCAATCCCCGGGCCCGCGCGCCTCACGTCTAAACCAAGTTTTCGAGCAGGCTCTGGCACGCACGCTCCGTGCAAACTCGTATGCGAACTTTGCAGGCTGTTTCCCGACACCTGCGCGCCACGTTCCTGCCAGCTTGGAGGGTGTCTGGCGGCAGCTGAACGCGAAGCTGGAAGCGAATGCTAAGGCTGAGTTTGATGATATTGTCGCGGAAAGGGATGCGGTGCCGCATTTGAATGAGCTTGATCGGCTTGTTGGGGATGCGAGGGCTAGGAAGGAGAAGGAGCAGGAGGGGGAGAATGCAGAGGGACAAGAAAGAACAGTGTATGTTGAATGGATTTAGTCGTTTATTCGGACTATGCTTGTTTTTGTGTTTTTGGATCTGATTTCTAACTTTGTTTACTATACAGCGCGCATACACTCGGCGCCGAAGATCTGTACAAGGCGCATCTTACGCCCTATCTGCAGGAGGCGCAGTCGACCCTCAACGCCAGACTCGAGGCTACTCATGCGGAAAACGCGGAGCTTGCGCAGACTGTGCAGGCGCAGAGGCTGGAAATTGAGCGGCTATTGTCGCATCTTGGATTGGTTGTATCGGATATTGAGGGTGCTGCTACAGCGGCCACGCAATTCAGCAGACAACATCACATTCGCCAAGACGCGATCCAAATGGATGAGGAGACGAAAGCCCGTCCGGGTCTGTGAGCGTGTTGCGGAAATTGTTTCTCTATCCGATTCATGGTGAAATCAGGGCACTCAATTCCCTGCCGTCAACCATTCCGTCTTCCACCATATCCTGCGCCACGACTATCACCTGTTGGAGGTCCGTTGACTTTAGCTGCTCGAGCTTTGTGTTCTGGCCTTCGATCGCTGCCGCAATCGCCTCCTTGCAAGTTCCGTCGCGTTCTTCCTCGGCCGCTCCGTCGCGGCGGGCCAGAGCTGTTGCTCCGCGGTAGTATGTCTGAGCGTTGCGCAGGAGCATAGCTCCGTTCTGGTTCGCCATGGCGTGGTTCCAGGGCGCTCGTCCAAGGCGCCATCTGTGCATCTCCGCGTCTCCGCGACCGAGGTGGATCTTGGGCAGGTTTTCGGCATCTGGGAGCTTGGTAGCAGCCGTCAATGCGTCCAGGGCGGTTGAAAGCGACTTCCAACGCAATGCTACAGCGTTCTCAAAGGCCTCGTCATCCTCCGATGGGGGGATGTCCGAAAGCGCCTGGTTCAACGACGTGAGCGCATCTGCTTTCCCACACAGTCCTTCAGGATCCGCGGATACATCCAGCTCTGGACCAAAAACCTGCCAAACCTCCTGCTGGTAGGTTTGGATATCGGTATGTCCACCTCGGTAGAGCAAATCGTTCAAGGCACAGATAAACTTGGCGCGCGCCAAGGCCGCCTCATACTGTCTGTCCGAACCTTCGGCATAAGCAGGCAGTCGCGAATGCACTAGCTCCGACGAGTACTCTTGCACCCAACCAACACCGCCCGCACCGGGGTTAGAAGTCAACAAGTTGCACAGAGTAGTCAAAGTCTCTAGCTGCGCCACCGCTGTGTCCACGAGTGTATTTTTCGTGACGGGCTCCACAATCATCGCCCACTGTTCTTGCTCCTCGCCTGCGGACTCGGCTTGAGGCTGTCCTGCAGCCTGTGGTACAACCTCCGGCTCCGGTGGCACATCCCCGGATTCCATGAGTTCGATCTCCTCTTGCATTTCTGTATACTTCATCTCCTGTATTATCAAGCACCGCTGGAACAGCTCAACCGCCTCTTGCAGGTAGGTGCCTGCTTGCATCTGCTGCTCCTCGTCGGGATGCTTCAGGTTGGACATCAACTCCGCTAGACTGGTCAGCACCTGGCCCGAATTGAACAACACGTCAGCATTGTCCTGTTCCAAGGACAGCGCATCCCGGTGTGACTGCAGCGCAACCTGCAAGATCTCCCCCTGTGGTGCTGGCAACTGGGCCGCTAGTTTGGGGTGCTGGGTGATTTCATATTGGACTCGTGCTCTGGATGGTATGTTAGTAAAAGGTAAACCCAAACCAATACCTCTCAATCATGGATGAAATTAAAAAAATGCAAAACATTGGCTTGTTTCGATATCGGTGTCGACTATACATACTTGTTGTAAGCTAGATCAAATGTGCCGGGATGTTTCTGTAGTCCTTCGTCATAGTTGGCGATGGCCCGCATAAAGAAGCGCATGGACTTGGCCGCGTCTCCGGCCCGCCATTTCTCGCCGGCTTCTTCTAGCTCGACGCCGGCTGGGGAGGTAATTAGTTTTTAGACTGTTGGTATTATTGGCTTATTGGGTTCAAATACGCACCTGCAAGAAAATCATCTGCGGTTACAGGTACCTATATCAAAATGTATGAGATCATGACCAAGTTGTTCTGTGCGGGGTATATTGCTACCGCATACCTGTTTTGAGGCAGCCTTCTTCTTCGTCTTTGTCTCCCTGAGGAAGGATTTTGGCTTCGGCATATCTGCGGGAATGCTGTTGATTAAATTGAATGATGATTGACAGAGATGGCTGTGCACCTTGAAATTGAAGTAAATCCGGCAGAATCTGCGCGGTGTGTGACGCAGTATACTCTATGTTCCAGGGTTGCTTTCACCTCGACTACATCTAGCAATGATAATGATAGTCATTGTTCTAGTGGGTCTGAGACTTAATACTCTTAGTTTAGTGCTAGTGTGAGATTTCTTGAACTATAGAATGTATGGATGAAAGACTCTCAAAGCAGCCTGGTCCTTGGATCTGAATGGATACCAAGACTAGATAACAGTTGGTGTAAGGAAGCAGGTTTGTTTCATGTTGTCTCGAAGGCCATGCCCTGGTGATAATGTTGGGACCTTGTGTTGCAAACGGGGGTCGGGTCTGTATTGCCAGCTCGTTTGTGTAAAAACGATACATATTTAGTCCGAGATACTGTCCCTTGCTGCTATAGTAGCTATAATATAAATGGCAGGTAATCTAACCAAGATGTATCCTCACCTCATTATTACAATATACAAAATGAATACAATAGAGTCTGTAAATTAAAGTATCTGATAGTAGTACATAATCCCCTATATGAAGTACCTAAGTACTTGCCGAGATGATCGGCTCGCGTGGCAGCACGTGGCAAATATATTTCCCGGTTAAAGCTTTCGGTTGACATCAGAGAAGGGAGTTTGGACCCGAGGTTATCATTGATCTGTGATTTTTAATTTGTGTAGAATCATAATACATATCCACCTCGAAGTTTCATTGCAGACTTTCTCTTTAATGCGCATCTTACGATTACGTCGATCTTTCCATAAAAAACCCTTCCACCCCTTTACCGCCACACATTGTGTCTTTCCCCACCACTTTGACCCACCCCGTTTCGTCTTCTCCTTTCTGTGACTCTATTTCTACTCCTGCACTGCATTGGTACCTTTGCGCCTGATTCCAATACATCCCCTTCGACGCAGTACCCAGAGTATGTATCCCTTGGAAGTTCAAGATCGCCAGCCACTAGGCGATAATACACCCGCTAACAGGCCAATTCTGCAGGCTGCATTCCATTCCAGGCCTTCTTATACCTACAATTTGAAACCCTGCCCCTCTTTCGGCGCAAATCCTCCTCTTTATAACCATACCACCTCCCAGAAATGGCCCGTCAACCCTCTCTCGACTCTGAGCGTCCCATCATGGCTCAATCGGTAGGAATTCCTCCCCTTCCCCTCCACCTACTATGCCCACTCTAGGGCCTTTGTATACACATTATTGAGAACCGCGCAAGTCTAACCTGTAACCTGTTACAGAACCGAAACTCAAAGCGATTCTCCACCGTCAGTGGAAGCCCATCGCTGGCTGCCTCCGATCGCACCAACGGCACTCTCCCCAGTGGCGACCCCAGAATCGCCGATATCTTCCAGCTCCACGATGGCTTCGAGCGCCTCGAGAGCAAGCCTCTCAACAAGCAGCGATTTGTCCCCACAGAGGAGAAGTCAAACAACCTGAACAAACTCGCTCTCGGGGCTAAGGTCGAGCGCGCTCTCGGCAGGAGGATGACTGGCCAAGACGCTGTCATGCGCAAGCCTCTCTCCGAGAAGACCGAGGCGCGAACTGACTAGCCCTAATCGTGACGATATATCTAGGAGACAAATGACTTGCCATGTGCTTTGTTCGTTGCATGGTTGACCGTCTCTGATCGTTCGCTTGTTTCTTGTTCCCAATCTCTGCTTTTTTCGTCTCAACATCCGAGCCTCTATCGACACGGCTCTTATGATTGCTGTCTTTTGTTACAGTCACCCTTTCATGTCCTATCATACCCCTCTTTTTTTTTTTTTTTTTCGGATCAGTTTGTGGCGTTTTGACTTGATGAGATTCCCATTATTTCCTTGAGTATGAACTCCCGGATCTGGTATTTTCTCTTTTTTTTTCGTTTCTCTTATTTTTCTTGTCTGACTGTCACGTACCTTGAATTATTATGAAAACTTTCCTCAACTTGATCTATGTTTATCTATATTGATAGAATTCCTAATACTATATCCTATAGTACTAAGTTGTATGAATTCTGCCGGGCGGTGGCCATCCGCCAAGCCCACGCGAAACCCGCACGGAGTCAAAGAGAAGGAAGTTCTTTTCTTCGAAGGCGAATTCCCACAGCTTCATTCCATCTCTTTTTTTGTTTCCCATTTTCTACCTGCTCACCCGCCTCTGTCCATCTTCCAGACCCACATTTTCTCGATTCTCATCTTTCTCTCAAACCCTCCACATCTCCCTCCCCGATCGGAAGAACTCTTCCCTCACTTCAGCTATACTTCCGCTTTTCCGCAATCTCAAAGCGCCTCTCTTCTTTCTATTTCTTTTCTTGCTTTCCTTTTATCCTCTTCAATTGCTTGCATTGGTGCTTGGTCCATTTCGCATCGTGAGTTCCGATCTACCATGTCCAATTTGACCACATGGTCAAGACCTCAAAACTAATGAGCATCAAGTGAAGCGAGGGAAACACGAACAATCTCATTTTTAGACCGTTCATCACTTGCTTGTGTTTTTTTTTTTAAAAAAAAGTCTTTCGGCCGTTATAGTCTCGGTCATCATTTTCGCCGCGCTCGGTTACTTTTAATCTCATTTTCCACCCGAAACCGAAGATAAAACCCCTCAATCCTACACCATGGCCGACATGACCCAGGTTCCCATCAATGGCAACTACGCTGCCCAGCATGGTTACCCCGAATCCTACAACCATGCATCTGTCACCATGAACACTGCTGCCAGCTTCCAGCCTGCGCAGTCCTCCACCCCGACTACAGTCACTCCCACCGACCAGCAGAAGAATGAGATCTCCAAGGATGAGGTGGGCTGGTATTTCGTCGAGCAGTACTACACCACCATGAGCCGCAACCCTGACAAGCTTCACCTGTTCTACTCTCGCCGCTCTCAGCTGGTCTTCGGCACTGAGGCCGAGTCGGTTCCCGTCACCGTTGGTACTAAGGTAAGTTGATTCGATCCCTCAATGTGAATATTGTCTAACCAAGCACCCCCACTTCCATAGGCCATCAACGAGAAGCTTAACTCCTTGAAGTTCCAGGAGTGCAAAGTGCGCGTCCTGAATGTCGATTCTCAGGCGTCTTTCGACAACATCCTGGTCTCAGTCATTGGTGAGATCTCTAACAACTCCGAGCCGTCCCGCAAGTTCGTGCAGACTTTCGTTCTCGCCGAGCAGCCCAATGGCTACTACGTTCTTAACGATATCTTCCGATACATGGCCGAAGAGCCAGAAGAAGAACCCGAGCAGGCCGCCCCTGCTGCGCCTGCTGCTGAGGCCCCTGAGGCCGTTGCCGAGGTTCCCGCTGAGGAGCCCCAGGTGGCTGATGAAGTCGCTGTCTCCCATGTTGATGAGAAGCTTGAGGAGGTCGAGGCCAACGGTGAGGTTGAGGAGCCCAAGGAGGCCGCTCCCCAGACCAACAGCGTCCCCGTTGAGGAGGAGACCCCCGCTCCGGTTCCTGCCGTCGAGGCTGAAATTGTGAAGGAGGAGCCCGCCACCCCTGAGCCCTCTCCCGTTCCCGAGAAGGAGGAGGTTCCTGAGAAGGAGACCTCAGCCACTCCCGCTGCCCCTAAGACCTGGGCTAGCATTGCGACTACCTCTTTTGCTGCTAAGGCTGCTGCTGCCGCCAAGGCTTCGGCCGCCCAGGCTGCTCCTGCTGCTCAGGCTACTCCTGCTGCTCCTAAGGCTGCTGCTCCCGCTGCTCAGGCTGCCCCTACCGCTCAGCCCGCTGCTGCCACCCCCGCTCCCGCGGAGGCTGCCCGTTCCCAGGAGGCCCCTTCCACCGAAGCCGGATGGCAGACCGCCGGCGACGGCCACAAGAAGTCGCAGCCCCGTGTTGAGGAGACCGTCCTCGCCTATATCAAGAACGTCAACGACAAGGTCGATGCCAGCCTGCTTAAGCAGACTCTGGCTCGTTTCGGCAAGCTGAAGTACTTCGATGTCAGCCGCCCCAAAAACTGCGCCTTTGTTGAATTCAACGAGCCCTCCGGTTACACCGCTGCCGTTGCCGCCAACCCCCACCAGATTGGCAGCGAGCAGATCCTCGTTGAGGAGCGCCGCCCCCGTGGCAACGCCTACGGCAGCAGCGCCTTCCCCGCCGGCCGTGGTGGTGGTGCAGGTCGTGGTCGCGGTGACCGCGCTGGCAGCCAGGGCCGTGGTGGCTTCCAGCGTGAGGGCCGTGGCAGCTTCACTCCTCGTGGCCGCGGTGGCAATGTTGCCGCCAAGGGTCGCCCCAGCCAGCCCCAAGCTGCTTAAACACTTGACGTGATTTTGATGATCCTCTACGTTCTTCTTCCCCGTCGGTATTACATCTCTCGCAATTCCTGTGAGCATTCCTCCGGCGGATGATCTTCTCAGGATCTGTATTACTCTGATTTTGATTCTCTTTTTTCTTTTGCCCCGTCTCTTCCTAATGACATGTGTTACGTGACTATTGCCTCCCCCCTTTTTTCTGTCACAGTGCATATTAGCGGTTGGTCCGGGTTGGCTGGAAAAGTTGCGTCTCTTTCCTTCCCTCTGGGCACTTGTGTTTTAACCTGACCTTTTTTTTTCTATTTTTTTTCCTGGGATCGGGTCTTGTCTTTGACATTCACGATTCTCTTTTTTTTTGCACCATATTTCTTTCTTTCAGTGTCTTCTGCCATGATCTGTTCCTTGCTCCTTTTTTGCAAGACGTTATATCGCATCTTTCTTTAACTAGCATAGCAAACTCCAGGGTTTTACGGTGGTGCGCCATCCCGGTCTTTCTTGTATTTTGCTTTTTTGATTTTCTTGGCTATGAGGATCCGTTCTCTTTGTGATGTGTAAATGAGATATTCTCAGGGGGAATTACAACTGTATCATGGGATGATGAGCCTACCAAATATGGATTAGAGAATAATGAATCTCCAAGTTGCTATATATCGAATTGCTACTCCATACATATGCCCACTGCCAAGATTGATACTCGGGAACCCTTGGGGCTTACCTAATGTGATTCGAGTCGACGAGTCATCTGGGGAAGATTCTAGATATTGGATGCCTGAGGCACCCACAGCTTGGCCACTTCAAATATAGAGAAAGAGAGAGGTAAGAGCTACAAACTGGGGAAATTAGAGTAAATAGTTTAAAATAACAAAAAAAAGTAAAAGCAGAAGAATCTAGAATATAATACCAAGAAAGCTGCAGGGTTGCCTGAACGACGTGGAAGTTGCTGGATCACCGTAGAAACTCTCCACCAGAAATTTTTGGAAACACAAAAGGAACTGGCCCGCCTCTTCGACTCTTTCTCTTCATCTCTCCCCTTTGCTTTGGTTCCTCCCCCCACCCAGAGCTTCTTTCTTTTTAATTACTTTGCTTTATTGTAAGATATCCCCTTTCCCATTTCTCTCGTCACCGCTTCCAACTTCAACCCCCACCCCCCACCGCTTGATCAGACTCTGCATCTGCACCTCTCTGCATATCCGTCAATTGCTATAAATTCATCATTTTCTAACTGTCTTTCAGAATCACAATCCGCCATCATGTCTGAGACCTTCGAGTTCCAGGCTGAGATCTCTCAGCTGCTCTCGCTGATCATTAACACCGTCTACTCTAACAAGGAAATTTTCCTTCGTGAGTTGATCTCCAACGCCTCCGATGCTCTCGACAAGATCCGCTACGAGGCTCTCTCCGACCCCTCTAAGCTCGATTCCAACAAGGATCTGCGCATCGACATCATCCCCGACTTGGTGAACAAGACCCTCACCATCCGCGATACCGGTATTGGTATGACCAAGGCTGTAAGTTTCTGCCCTGCCCTGAGAGTTGCCTCAAATCACACTCTCTCCCATCTCTATTTGACCACCAATACTCATATTCATCTCTTATAGGACCTGATCAACAACCTCGGAACAATTGCCCGCTCCGGTACCAAGCAGTTCATGGAGGCTCTGTCCGCCGGTGCTGATATTTCCATGATCGGCCAGTTCGGTGTCGGTTTCTACTCTGCCTACCTGGTTGCTGACCGTGTCACCTTTGTGTCCAAGCACAACGATGACGAGCAGTACATCTGGGAGTCCGCCGCCGGTGGCACTTTCACCCTTAAGGAGGACACCGAGGGCGAGCAGCTCGGCCGCGGTTCCAAGATCATCCTTCACCTGAAGGATGAGCAGATGGACTACCTCAACGAGGCCCGCATCAAGGAGGTTGTTCGCAAGCACTCCGAGTTCATCTCCTACCCCATCTACCTTCACGTCCTGAAGGAGACCGAGACCGAGGTCCCCGATGAGGAGGCTGAGGAGGCCAAGGAGGAGGATGATGAGAAGAAGCCCAAGGTCGAGGAGGTCGATGAGGAGGAGGAGAAGAAGGAGAAGAAGACCAAGACCGTCAAGGAGTCCAAGATCGAGGAGGAGGAGCTTAACAAGACCAAGCCCATCTGGACCCGCAACCCCGCCGACATCACCACTGAGGAGTACGCCTCCTTCTACAAGTCCCTCTCCAACGACTGGGAGGACCACCTCGGTGTCAAGCACTTCTCCGTTGAGGGTCAGCTTGAGTTCCGCGCTATTCTCTTCGTTCCCAAGCGCGCTCCCTTCGACCTCTTCGAGACCAAGAAGACCAAGAACAACATCAAGCTCTACGTTCGCCGTGTCTTCATCACTGATGATGCTACCGATCTCATCCCCGAGTGGCTCAGCTTCGTCAAGGGTGTCGTCGACTCCGAGGACCTTCCCCTCAACCTTTCCCGTGAGACTCTCCAGCAGAACAAGATCATGAAGGTCATCAAGAAGAACATCGTCAAGAAGACCCTTGAGCTCTTCGTCGAGATCTCCGAGGACCGTGAGCAGTTCGACAAGTTCTACCAGGCCTTCAGCAAGAACATCAAGCTCGGTATCCACGAGGACGCCCAGAACCGCCCCACTCTGGCCAAGCTCCTCCGCTACCAGTCCACCAAGTCCGGTGACGAGCAGACCTCGCTCGCTGACTACATCACCCGCATGCCCGAGCACCAGAAGAACATGTACTACATCACCGGCGAGTCCATCAAGGCCGTTGCCAACTCTCCCTTCCTGGACACCCTCAAGCAGAAGAACTTCGAGGTTTTGTTCCTGGTTGACCCCATTGATGAGTACGCCTTCACCCAGCTGAAGGAGTACGACGGCAAGAAGCTCGTCGACATCACCAAGGACTTCGAGCTCGAGGAGACCGATGAGGAGAAGACCGAGCGCGAGACTGAGGAGAAGGAGTTCGAGGAGCTTGCCAAGGCCCTCAAGAACGTTCTCGGCGACAAGGTCGAGAAGGTTGTTGTCTCCTCCAAGCTGGTTGGCTCCCCCTGCGCCATCCGTACCGGCCAGTTCGGTTGGTCTGCCAACATGGAGCGTATCATGAAGGCCCAGGCCCTCCGTGACACCTCCATGTCCTCTTACATGTCTTCCAAGAAGACCTTCGAGATCTCCCCCAAGTCTCCCATCATCAAGGAGCTTAAGAAGAAGGTTGAGGCCGATGGCGAGAACGACCGCACCGTCAAGTCCATCACCCAGCTGCTCTTCGAGACCTCCCTGCTGGTCTCTGGCTTCACCATCGAGGAGCCCGCCAGCTTCTCCGAGCGCATCCACAAGCTCGTCTCCCTCGGCCTGAACATCGACGAGGACGAGGTCGCTCCCGCCACTGAGGCCGCTGCTCCCGCCGAGGCTACCGGCGAGAGCACCATGGAGGAGGTTGATTAGATGAATTCAGTCGACTCTTTCGTTTTTGCTAATTTTTAAGTCTTACGGGAAATGGGAAACGGGATACGACCCTCTGTGATGTTTTTTATCTTTTCATTTTATGTGTTCTACAATAAGAACCGGCATCTTTTTATATTTCTATTCAGTATTCAAGACGAAGTAAACTGTAGTGTAGTGTCTTATTGTAGTTGAGGCCATGGTAGACTTTGATCGTACCCCCGAGACACCTGAGCACTCGATCTCAATACATGCAATCATAGATGACATCTCAGCTCTCAACTCTTACCTTCCAATTTACAAACTTCATCTCATTATCACCCATCTCCCTCTCTAAATCCTCTTGTGTCACTGCCCATTTTAGCAAACGATACCTTTACCTCGCGCAATACTCCGAGTTTCCAAGGTCGCTGTTTACAATGACTCAGCTAAGCAAAAAAACCTTGGAAACAAATTTCCAACCCCAACTCCGTCAGACCAAACCCAGTGAACACTGATCCTCCTGGATACATACTTCGTTCCAAATGCAGCCTATAATCTTCCCCGCTATGTATCTTGGAACCCCTCATAATAGCATCAATTGGGCGCGTAACTCAGTTGGTAGAGTGTTCGCTTTGCATGCGAAAAGTCCAGCGTTCGAATCGCTGCCCGTCCATTTCTTTTTTTTCTTTTTCATTTTTTGATCCTAGAGCCCAACACGAAATCGATAATTTTGCTTATGACCACTATTCTATCTATTTATTTTGGGTCAATTACATAGTTTCTATGCTTTTTTTTTAGGGGGTGAGCCCTGGGATTTAAATTGATCCGATTATTTACTAGGAATCGGGAAATCGGGATTGACAACCCTGCTGAGATATATATATCAGACATGGGAATCATGTTAAATAGTACAGCGAGAACTAGCCTGCGCAACAAAGTGGAATTAAGGAATCTTCTGCAAAGAAATGAAATTGAAATGACTCCCTGCGATAACATGATACAAGTTATACAGAAACTAGTGATGTAGATGTTAAACTGCATCGACAACGCTAATCTCGATTTCGTAGGAGATTGGGATCCTTGACATGCAAGAATTGCATACAAGCATAATGACTCATAGTGTATAAAGCACATTGAAGTAGGGTTAGCGTTGGAATCCCAATTCCATGTTAATTACTGAGAATTAACTAGGATTCTCAAAAAATCAACCACTTCGAAAAGATGTGATAGAGCCGTGTCCGAGAAGCATGTCCTTTTACTAAGTTATCTGGTACCAGCAGGCCGTACTTTATACCCTCAACAATGTAACCATTACCATTATAAATGACCGTTAAGAGTATTCTCATCCTCCCCAAGCATCTCCTTCACACACACACACAACCTTGCTATCCTCGTAGGCTGAGTCGTAGCATTCCCCCCCCCCCCCCAGCTCTCTATCTCCCTCTCCTCACGTGCATCTCGTATAGAATCCCATATATCCCTAAGAAGTTGAAACCGGCTTAATATCCTCAGGCCGATAGTCGGGGTCTTCTGCGTAGGTCCACGCAGGCATGAAGTGCACGGATCCACATCCTCCGCTCATAGGATGGCCGAAGATTTCGGTTTGCTGTCGAAGTTTCGTATACCCAGGTGCAGGTGTCCTTGAACTTATCTCCAAGGAAAGTAGTGTATCACACCTCTCCCTACCATACTCGCTTACCACCAACCATTCACAGTCTATCATTCTTCCTCATACACAATATAAGACATACGACCATAGGGTGTGGAAAACAGGGCTTCCCGTCCGCTCAGCCGTACTTAAGCCACACGCCGGTGAGTTAGTAGTTGGGTGGGTGACCACCAGCGAATCCTCACTGTTGTATGTTTTTGCTTTTTTTTGCCACATGCTTTCTCTCCCTCTCTCTCTCTCTGCACGACAATTCTCAATATGCACGCCGTCAGCACTTAAGCGGCATTTTAGGGTGAGTGCGGGCTAGGCGAAAGTTTGGACCGGCCCGATGATCTTCACCGAGAATGATAAGGATCATTGACAGCTAATGTCTGTTCCCAAGTATTAATGTCCTTGCATTCGACCTTGCCGTGATCTGCACTAAGAACGGTCTTCGTAGGGTCGGACTTGCTGCTATTGAAGGCTATGACCTAGTAGACCTATAGATATCGCACAGGTGTCAGTGCGAGGAAACTTCATTATGGACAGCCTTTAATATGAACTCGCCAAGCAAGTCTCCTATAGAGTCCCTGGATACTTCTCGGCCGTCGTGGATGTGTCGCACTATTGAAGATTCGTCAATATCTATAGTGCTATTGTTAGGCGACAAACGTGGACCCCGTTATAGAATATCACATACCCCGTTCGCAATGGTTTCAAATTGGTTCATGCAAAAGGTCCGTATCACGGAGGCCGTTTCCTCTAGGTGGCCAGGTCTCCATCCCCGTGCAAGACCCACTGGCAGAGTTGGCGCCAAGCCATAGCTTGTCCGTGCCACCGTTAATATCATAGCTCCCACTTATCCCGAGAGCCTTGCCCCTGCCATCTTTAGTCTGTATAGTGCCTGTGCTGATAAGACTAGTGAGTACCGTATTGTAGAGCTTCGAATTACTGCAGAATTCCTTGATCTTTGCATCTGCGTCGGACACAGAGAAGGCCAATACACCACCTGGGGCTGAATCTTCCGATTTGGCGCACATGGGATCCGGGGTATGGAGGTATTTGCTCCAGACTCGCATTTGGCTGTTGAATGTGTCAGGGTAATCGGGCTCAGGTGTAATCTTGTCATCGTCGGAGTATTCAAGCATGATGACTTCGTCATCATCGACATCATAGGCTGTGTAGCTTCCATCGTCACTTGTGTTAAATCCGTCTGCAGATAGTGCAGCTGCATTGACTCCAAATCCTCCGCTCTTATCGTAGACTAAGAGAGCTTCGTTTTTCTTCCAATTCACTACTTCCCTATCAGCTAGGGGCAACCACGAATACTGGTTATTTAGCTTTTTCTGGATATATTTTGGTAGCACGATTAAAGATGAGAAAGGAAGAGGTCGAAGCAGCTTATGGATGACTCAAACAAGGGAGCTAATTTTCTTGGGACTTTGCCCATTAGAAATTGAGATGGGGGTGTTATTTAAAAGCCAGAAGAGGTGGAATACGGATCGGCCATGCAACATTTACTGCCGAAGTGAAGGCCTTGAAGCGAGGAGCAGATATGAGTCTGCATTCGTTAGTTGGGGTAGCTAGCCTATTTCATTGTATACTCTTTCTTATACCAACTAACCAGCCAACACCGTTCATTAACAATGGATATAGGTATTAAAAATAGTAAAAAAAGATCCAACAGTGATTCGCTGGTAGTCACCCACCCAACTAGTTTAGTCGATCTAACGAAAGATCTGCGTCGGTCAAACCGAAGAAGGCTAATATTTTGCCGAAATAACCCCGATTAGCTGCACACTTACTACATCGTCAGAGGACATCACGTGGAGGTAGAGAAAAAAATTAGGCAGCGCAAGGGGATAGAAATAAAATCCATATTTCCACTTTTAATGCTTTAATGAGACAACAGAAAAGCCACATATGTATAGACCGACCTCGAGAAATGAATGGTGGCTGTGTATCGTGTTGTTCACGCAGGCTATCTTGACCATTGCCCTTGAGATGTACGCTCTCCCTATCCTCGTCTGAGCTACCCTAACCAGAACAGCTATATACTCGTGGAATGGCAGCTATGGGTTACTCCCACCATTGTCCAGGTGCCAGTCTCCTACATGATCCCAATCAATCTAGGGATTTTAATATTCGCCGCGGTCTACGAGTTCATCCTTGCCCTGGATGCGATCCATCACAAGAATAATGTTCTTCTTTTTTCAATCTGCATCTGCAATGTCTGCAGTTTTGTGTACTCTGTTATGCAGTACACTTCGATGAAAGAAACCACCACGAGGTTGTATGACCAGCGTCATGGGTTTCCGACTCTGGTAGATCCCACTCACAACGTTTGGCCCCAGATCAAGCCAGCGGAGATCCTAGTGTCAATTATTACAGGATTGTGCACTCTACTTCTATCTTCGTTTGTATACTTTTTGCATAGGGAGTATTCATGGGTCATCTACAAGTCTGTTCATGGCAGCTCGAAAACACGAATGCGTTATCTGTTCTACGAGGTAATATCTACCACCTACGGCTCCACTAGCCTTTAACAAATCTTGAGTATACGTGCTAACAAAAGACGAGCACAGATCTTCCTGGTCCTGATAAAACTTCTCTTTTATTTCCTATTGGGTTTCATCATCCAATACAACCTGGTGTATGTCCACTTTGCTGAACCGGAGTACACTCTCACAATGCTCCTCATTCCGGTCGCTTTCATCATTATGCTACTTGGTATTTGGGTTGTCCAACACGAACGAATCATTGGTGTGGTTGGTATCATTGTGAGTTTTCTTGCTTCCTCCCTGCCTGTCAGACCCCAAGGAGAACTACTACTGACCCTTTGCAAGATATGCTACCTCGGTCTACTCGCATATCTCATCAGCCGCATCATTTTCCTCGGTGGGGCTCGCACCTCTGGGAAGGACATGATGTTGTTCTTTGCCTCGGTATCTGTGGTGCTGACTTCTGCAACGATTTTCTGCGCCATTATTTGCGTCAAAAACTTTGATCGAGGCTTTAAAGTCATCAATCAATCGAAGAACGGCCATGCACAAGAGTCATATTCCACACCCACCGGATATTCCCTAGCAGAGCCGTCTCGTTCCCTTTCGCGTCCTTCCTCACGGCTCACACTTGATTAATATTACGTTTCAAAATTAGCTGATTTAGCAAAGCGATACAACCAAATACCAAGAGATTCCCCCACAGGTTACTCCCTCCGCTCCTGCAACAGTCACACAATGGGTCCACGGCCACCCTTCTTGACATAGAACACACTGAACCTCTAACATCACAGTCTGTTGAATGACTGAGGAATCAGACACCACATGGGACAGATCCCGTTTGTATTAGATAGCTAGATAGATATGTCTTTCCCCCCTCTCATCTTCTTCTCTCGGTACCTTTGCCCCCATTCGATTCATACCGCATTGTTTCTCCATTTCGGATCTCGACTGTAGTAGATTCTCATCACAGTCCCGACTACCTGTATTATAGCGGCCTCGATATTTTTAGTTCGGTCTGATATCATGCCGTCCTCGGTAGAATTAGTCCAATGGCGATGTGAACGCTAGGACGGCTCCCACTGTGAGGCAAGGGTAGACCGAAAGAAGTGGATCACCCAGACACAAGGCACGAGGACCATGAGCGATGAAGTGAGTCATATATCCGCTAGTTCTCACTGCAGGTCTATTTGCTGTTAGAGACGATGTTGAGGGGGTTTTGAAGAAACATGATAAGTTTGGTCCTCTTGGGAGCTTGGTAGATTCTCCTGAAATTCCTGCGAAAAAAAGGTTCAAGACTCATTCGCTGAAGGGGGGTTGAATAACCCTTTAACTGAATTGGAAATAGAGGATGATGATAGATGGGAATTCGCCTGAGAATTGGGTTATGGAAAGTTATCAGTCATCCTTTGAGGAGGTTGATTGTTGATAGATTTCTTCGTTCTTGGTTATCGTGTTTTTGTTTTTGGTCTGAACGACGTTGTCTCCCTGGGTAACCTAAAGATAACCTAAACAAGCGTTGTTAACTAATTGAAACCAGCCTATTAAAAGTCTGTAGCTAACTAAATCCCTCCAGGCAGACTAATTATACAAGGCAGCAGGCTTGTTCCCCCCCCTCCCCCCCTCTATTTCGGGCTTGGCAGAGCCGTCAAAGCACCGGCTTAATAAAGACCTTGGCTTCTGCATCCCCACAAACCTCATATTTAATTTTTATACTATAAAGCCAAGAAAAGAAACATCAAAGTGAAAATGTGCCAAAGAATGTGTTCCGCCAACACACACCCGCTCTCTAGAGCTCGCAAGACACAGGCCCTTATCTCGGTGATTTCGTGGCCGTGCGCTCTCGCCGCCGTCTTTACGAGTCGCCAGGGCCCTCACGCATGGATTCAGCTCGTTATAGTGAGTCCTCCTCTCTTACTATGATAGAAGACTATCTAACAATTCGAAGATCACGGTTTCTAGCACCATGTCTATATTCATGCTCTCCAGGTATCGCAAATCCTCAAGCCAATCTTATTCGCTCCTCGAAATCGCTATTGATGGCTTGGTCGCCTTACTCCTGGTCGGGGTATACATTTTCGGAATGATCCTCCTTTCTACTCAACATATTAGCGAATGGGAGTCTCCCTGGGACTACAAGCTTGCCCGTGGTATTCCCCAGATTTACTCTAACCTCTCATGTATCATCCTCGGGTAAGTCGGTCAAGCAATTAAATATCACCTAGTCTTTCAAATATACTAATACCCCTAGTCTGTTATATTTGCGCACCTTTTCTCGAGGGTTCTTCCACAAATTTATCATACCTATGCTCAAGGCCCGCTGTCTTAACTACACCCTTTGCCCAGCCTGTGACCGATCTGTGGATGCTCCAATTACCAAGAGTCAGGATATGACCGCGAGCGCGGCGGGACAGGAAAGACCCTTTGTCTCGACTGATTGTCTTCGGGGTTTTTACACTGATGATGTTGAGTCCCAGCTGTTACTACCCGAGAGCTCCTTAGTCGTGATGGGTAATCAGACTACTGGCATTGTGACCAATGACTGAAGCTTTTGGGATGCCAAGAACAAAGCTCTAATATGGATGCAAGGGTCGGTTTGTACGACCTTGCAAGGGCCCAATCTTTGACTTGATGCAGTTTTTCTAATGTTTCGGTCAATAAGATTGAAGATAGCGATTATGTGACAGAGAATCGTCAAAGATTGCCAAGAAAGTTGTTGGGGATTGATGCCTGGATGCGTGGATTGACAGGCCTCACCTAGCTATTTAGTTAGCTAGCTTCCTGTTTGTGTGTAGAGAATGAATCCTTCTTCTCTCCCCTCTCGGCTCCTAGCAACCAGGTCAAAAGTACAAACAGCCTCATTGCCTAAATCTTGGGGCTCTTAGTTGGCCCCTGGTTTTCGCTTAAAAATGATCAGTAGCACCCTTATGATGAGCTTTTTCACGGAAACGCCTCCCCAATAACGCGTTTGGTCATGTCTAGGACAGGCGTTCAATTCTATATATTTGCTTAGGACGGGCTAAGTGAGTTAGCCACTATCACCCCTAGGTGAGAATTGTCACCCTATTCTCACCTCTCTCACCCCGGTCTCTAGGCTTCTCACCTATATTCCCGCACTCACCCTAGAGTACCGCTTAGTTACTAAGGGCGCATTGAGTATTGACCGTGCAGAATAATAGGCTTATATACAGTTATTAGTCGGGTGGGTGTCGCCTAGGTGAGAAATGGGTGAGCGCCGCTTTACGGTCGCGCGACTAGGGGTGAGAAGGGTGAGTGCGCTATAGATAGGGTGAGAATTAGGGTGAGAACTACCCGGGTTGGTCAAAATTACCTGTCGCGAGAGCAGCTCCAGATGTCTTCAAATGGCAGTCCAAAGGCGAAATCGCGCACGCGTGGTTCTCCAAGAAATTCCCGAGCTTCAGTTGCCCCACAAGACCCATCGTTGGACTGCAAATTCCCCGGTCGGTTCCGCCACCAAAGTCATGGTTTGTAGAATACTCTCCTGCTGTCTATTGGTCAAGGATGCCTTAGCCCGGTGCAGCTTGAATGCCTAGCACGTTCGGGGGTTCATTGTTATGACAATGTGCACCGGCATCGCACCTCAAATACTGCATTATCATGTACATTAGCTCTAGGCTTCTTAAGATCAGGCCATGCTAGAGAGATTCACGTTTATTTGTGCTTGCCACAACTTTACTTTCTGTTGCTTTTGCTATCATCGACTGAAATTGCCGCGGGAAAGATGAAGAGAACAGTTAATTTGGAATCTTGGGACAGCACGCTACACGTGGGACAAAGACGTATGCCGTTAAAATATAATCATTACGTCAAAACTCTGCTGTCCTCTTAATTCTATTAAGATACAACGGTGACGTAGGGCACCGACAGCAACCTATAAAAGACATCCTCCTGCCTAAATATTCCAGGAGCATCAAGCTCCAGAATCCTCCAATTTCATTGACAATGTCTTCTGCTTTGGTTACGGGCGCCACTGGTATCTCTTGCGTCTTTTGAAATTGAATCTGCGAAACTAACAATATAAACAGGCATCACCGGAAGCGCCATTATTCACCGTCTCATCAAAGATTCTTCTTATAACAAAATCTACTCATTCTCTCGGCGCAATCCTGGTTACCAGCACCCCAAGGTTCAACATGTTACCATGGACCTTCAGGGCTCTGTGGAGGACATGGCACCCAACCTCAGTGGAGTCTCTGCGGAATATATCTACTTCTGTGCTTATCTGGTCCCTGAGAATCCGGCAGAATTGTTGCGTGTAAACGTGACGCTCCTGAGAAACTTTATTCAAGCCCTCAAAACTACTGGAGCCGACAAAAAGATCAAGCGCTTTATTCTCACTTGTGGCACCAAGCAGTACGGCGTCCACCTCGGACAGGGCAAACAGCCTTTCCTGGAAGATGACCCCCTGTTGGAGAATATAGGAGGGGTCAGTTGGCCTCCCATCTTCTACTATGATCAACAAAGAGCCCTTGCTGAAGCCGCTGCCGAAGGCGGCTGGGAATGGATCGCCACGCTTCCCCAGGACGTGCTCGGGTATGCACGGGGAAACTTCATGAACGAGGCCACCTCTCTTGGGCTATACTGCGCTGTGTGCAAAGCTCTGCCAGGGTCTGAGTTGCCTTTCCCAGGCAGTAAGTCCAATTACTTGACATTCAACTGCTGGACATCGGCAAATCTACACGCCAATTTCTGCCTATGGGCCGCGAGGGCCCCGGGCGCAGGCAACAACATCTTCAACGTGGTGAACGGCGACACAGAATCCTTTCATAATCTGTGGCCTCGTCTGGCTGCCCGATTTGGTTGCAAGATCCCGGATCCAATGTTCCCTAATGGTGGCATACCGAATACCAAGGGGTACCAGACATACGAGTCGTTGACGATCCCACTACAGAACAGGCCGCCTCTCCAGGCGGTCGCATCATCTCTGGGTCTTTCGTCAGATACTTTGGTGAAAGACTCTCCCAAACTCTTCCTTCAGGTGGATCCTGAAAAGTGGGCGCGTCGAGCGGATGTGAATGAGGCCTGGGCCGGGCTGAGAGAAAAGTATCATCTTGACCAACAGGCCTGGGACAAGGCAACCTGGGATTTTTTAGTTTTGACCATGGGCCGGGACTGGAGCTGTGTAGCGAGTATGAGTAAGGCGCGGAAGCTGGGATGGACGGGGTATGCGGATACGTGGGAAGAGCTGGAAGAAACCTTCCGAGTACTGGAAGAAGGTGGGGTATTACCGCCAGTGGATCAGCTCCGTCGGGACTTTTAGTTCGTTTTCTATAGCTTTCTTCGTCGTCCAAAAAAAGAAAATTTGTACTTTCTTTGATTGTCCATCTCAAGCCAAAAATTTAGCAATCTCATCAATAATACCAGTATTACACCAATAAATGACAAGTTGCATAGGATCATGCCTCCTGATCAACACGATATTACCTATAGGTAGTTTTGTACGGATCGCGGCGCAACCAATAACATTAGAAGCCGAAGTGCTTGATGTAATGCCAGCATAATCCACTTATTCTTGATCGATCGACTCCCGACACATTTCCGCTGGCCAGAGCGTCTTCGAACAAATAAACGCGTCATTTGCCGACCGTTAAGTCCCCCGATGATTTTGTTGTTATATATACGGAGCCATAATCCAATCCCTAAGCATAAGGGGTAATGATTTGGTGAAACGTTCTCAACAATCTTCATTTATCTGCTACTCGCAATGTCAAGTGCTGAAAAGAGCCCACACGTCTTACTGACGGGAGCCAATGGCTTCGTAGCCTCTCACATCTTGGCTATCCTGATAAATGTGGGCTAATTTCGTCCATTTTCCTGGATACCGACTGGGGACTGATCATCCAGTAGCGCGGATACGCCGTGACTGCGACAGTGCGCTCCCAAGAAAAAGCGGATGATATTATCAAAACACATCCAGATTGGAAAAGCAAGGTGGTATTTGCAATCGTCGCTGATTTTACTTCGGCAAAACCTTTCGACCATCTCTTCGAGAGCCCAAAGACGCCTTTTACTTATGTGATCCACACGGCATCACCTGTGACATTTCAAGTGTCTGATATCCAAAAAGAGATGATCGAGCCTGCAGAAAAGGGGTAAGATGGCCGTCAGCATGTTCCAATATGAGTTGCAGCTCACACAATTCAAGAACCACCGAGATCCTGAAGGCTGCTCATCAGCACGGTGGTACCGCGTTAAAGCGTTTCGTTCTCCTCGGAAGTGCCGTATCCGTGCTTAACTCATTCGAGGATATGTCCAGGGAAGGCAATCCGTACACAGAGAAAGATTGGAACCCGGTAAAGATTGCTAGCGTCTACTCTATTGATATACTCTTTTTATCTGACATGGCAAAGGTGACGGCTGAGCAAGCCATTGACAGAAATGATCCCGTTTTGGGATATAACGTGTCCAAGACAAGGGCCGAGGCTGCTGCGTGGGGTTTTATGAAGCAGAATGCAACCTCCTTTGATCTGGCCGTAATCAACCCGGACATCATCATTGGTCCAATGACCCAACCAATCTCAGGCCCTAAGTCTATCAATGAGACCAATCATTTTGCCATAGCGAGCTTTATTGATGGAACTCACAATGATATTGACGGCGTCACCTTCCCTTTCTACCATTTCGTAAGTTGTCCGCCAGGGCTTACGTTCTAGCCGGCTGGCAAGATGCAACCTGAAAACCGAGAGAAGTCGGCTCATTTGCTTACTTATATTCAGGTGGATGTTCGAGACGTGGCCCGGAGTCATGTAGATGCGCTAGAAAACCCCTCAGCGGCAAACCAGCGGGTTCTCCTCATCTCAGGTCTCATATCACCCCAACTGGTGGTCAACATCATCCGCAAGAATTTCCCTGGCCTTGCTAACCGGGTCCCCAAGGGCAATCCCTCTCAGGTCTTACCTCCTGGAGTTCATCCCACGGGATGGGATATGCGCGTGAGTCTGGGGATCCTCGCCGACGGTACCAAGGAGGGCAAGTGGGAGTACATTGACCTGGAAACTAGTGTCATTGATACTGTTGAGTCGATGATGAAGAAAAATGTCCTTTAGTAATTCTGTATTGGCGTTGATTATGCAATCTACCGGCCTGAGAAATCGGAACATGAAAACAAGTACATGTGAACGCGTCTAAGACTACTGGTCCGAGCGGCGGGGGTTACAGTTATAGAGAATGTCAATGTGAAACTACGTAACTTATAGTAAAACAACAGCTTCGCCTATACTATGGTTAGATGGGAGAGATCGTCAAGCTCGCAGTACAGTTGGATGATAAATATATCGTTGATCTCATTCAGTCCGACCCCTCTTGTCCATCGCTCGCGACATACAATGCTAGAATCTTCCAAGGAATTGTAGTGTAACCCTTCTCAATTTGCCATTGCTGATAGTGGTGCTGATGACTTGAACTAGCAGCGGGATAATGGTTAAATTCCTGCCAAGCTCTAGAGAGACTTTTCCTAGACCTAGTCTGCATTATTCGGGTACAAATCTGCGATATTTGCTGGGTAATAGTAGGCAAGGAAAAGTTGACAAAAGAAGATATAGTGTAGCTGGGGCAAGTCATCGTATTTTAAGCTGTCTGCAAGAGCGGTAACGAGATATGTTCTAGATGACCCTTGCTTGAGTGAGTAATTATCACACGACAATAGTCATTACGTTGTGACTGTGCGTGAGAAAATCGTCCTTAACCGAGTATCACCCGCACTCACCCTAAAGTGCCGCTTAGCTGACGGCATATTGAGAATTGTCGTGCAGAGGGAGAGAAAGCATGTGGCAAAAAAAGCAAAAACATACAACAGTGAGGATTCGCTGGTGGTCACCCACCCAACTACTAACTCACCGGCGTGTGGCTTAAGTACGGCTGAGCGGACGGGAAGCCCTGTTTTCCACACCCTATGGTCGTATGTACTTTGCTGTGCTATAACGCCAATCATATCCCATGTTAGCTTTTCGCTGCCGTACCATTCTCATTCTAGCGATTCAACTAGCTTCTTTTAGTTTACCAACAGGATCTAGTGACCCGTCTGGTATATGGAATTCCCCAATGACCGTGGTGGGATGGTTAGTCAACTAACTATGGACCTTACTATGACCCGAATGAAAACTACAACGATTGGCCACGAACAATCTGATAGAACGTTTCCTTGCACGCAAGTTCCCATTCCCTTTCGTCTCACTATGTATCATAAAGCCCTAGTCGATTGGATTCCGCATTATCGTTACCCAGCACACAGACCGAATTTATTCGATTACCCCAAGGCCCAGTCAAGAAGGCGCGAGAGTATGAAATGCCATAAAGCTCCGGTACGTCTGGAAGGTCAAGTCATCCAAACGACTTGGACAGGGCAAGCGTGTTTGACTATTTGGCCTTATAGACACACCCTTTGCTGCAATATCATTCTCAGGGTCGAACAGTTCAGGATAAGTCCCAAAGAACGATGGGTCGAGCTTATATTGAGAAACCCCGTGGTCCATATTCAAAAGTTTGAATACCGCTTGAGCACACTCAGGGACAGAGAACAGAAATGCCATATCTGCAGCTGGAAGTACGGTGGATGGGTCGACATTTTTATTGCCCATAACAGCTGCTCCTTCGGCAATATCAGTCACCCGTACATACACGTTTGTTGGAGGGGCGCCGAAGACCAAATCTGCCAGACAGGCTTCTACCACATAGCTGCTCACGATATCCACGAATATTTGGTCGATTTGGGGGTTTGCAGCGTGCAGTCGAATTAATCGATCCCTTAGCGCTGGGAATGGGGCCCAGTCGATAATACTCGGATACTGGTGCTGTAACTGTAGCATTGTTGGTTTATATTGTGTGTGTACCTTTGACAGCATTTCTGGGCATGGGTTAAGCTGCCAAACGGTCAAATCGACGATGTGGTAGAATTTCGTTTTCGCATACCACGCCATGGCTGCTGGGCGCGTGAGGCTGTTAAAGAGTGCAAGTACTCCCAAAACTTGTCGATACGGTCTGCTAGATTATTAGAGATCATCTCAGGAATCGTACTTTTTGGAGAAATTACCTTTCTTGCTGTTCGGATTGCATCTCGGTCTGGCCAATACTTGTTCTCATCAAGTCGCGGAGTGTTGATATGTGATCCGAAAATGGAGAATTCGTTTCAACCCAAGGCTTGCCCAATATAAGGCTCGAAGTTGCACTATGGGATAGAGCTTTCATGTATGGCTGGAGGCCCATCTGGTACTCATGGCTCCAGATATGTGGTATCTGAGGTACTATGCAGTTGATGTCACCGGGAAGGGTTTGCCAGTCAAACGCTTCGCACGGCGCTTCCAAGTGAGGAGGAGGTTGATATACTTGCGAGGCAGAGCCAGTGGGTATCAGTGTATCAAGTGTTGATAGCTGCTCAGGTACCTCAGATAAGGAGCAAACCGCAGAATCCAGCAGTTCGGCCTCGAGAAACGTATCTTGGGATAAGCCCCCTTTCAAGCCTTCCAATGATTCAAATCCAGCCTCGCTCTCAGGGCCTGCAGTTGAAGGTTTATGCAAAACGTTTGAAACCGAGCCAGTCAAGGATTGCAACGTTTCTGTGAGCTTAGTCAATGTCGATTGTACATCGACAAGCTGCTTGCGAAGATGATAATTTTCGTTACGTATCCTTTCAAATGCTTCGTTTTGTGTTACACTTCCTGCTTCAGCAGATCTTTGAAGTTCCCTCACTTTTTCAGATTGCCTGAGACGGTATGTCCGTTGTGATAACCGATTTCTAGCTCTTCTATTAGATGGTCAGCGAATGGTGGGTGGCCTGCATATCAGTCAAAGCTTGGAATTACCTCTTAACCGGATCTTCGCCACGTGTGTTTCGTCCATTATTGCCGCTTATCATGGTCGAAGCGTTCAGTTTCCATAGACCATTGCAGAACTAGAGTCTGCCGTGGGCGGATGTCAAAGAGTCAGGAGACGAGCCAGGTTGCGTGATTAAGGTTTGACATCTCGGGTTCTGATTGGCCCATTCCAGCATCGGTGCGCCCTTGGGCAATTTATCTGTACCATGGTATTGTCGTATTTCTGATACTCAGGATATCTCCGACAATGACTATTCACTATTGAAACTATAACTTATTTCACAATCATATAGCTGATAATAGCGCCGTGCTTTAAGAGAAACTCTCAAGGAGTTTGAAAAGCCGGGTTCCGAAAATATCAAGTCACGGTAGGCCTGGAGTTGTCCATGTAAACGCAGTTGAATAGTTACAAGTGTATGCTATAAATAGGAACAAAAGCTAGGTGTCTATTGTTGAGTGTATAGAGGGACATCTCTATAATCACTTTCAAGGAAACCTTGCATAGCCTCCAGGCCAGCTTCCAGCTGCCTTGTATCACCTCCAAAGCCAAGACGAACGTAACCAGGAAAATTAACATCATCTCCGAAGCATTTCTGCCCGGGTACAAGAAGAACTCCTTTCTTTTCCAGGAGTTTATTGCAAAAATCCAGATCATCAACGGGTTGAGCGGATCTTGTGAACTTGATGAATCCTATCGGCGCTCCCGTGGGCTTGACCCATTCACAGATTGTGCTATTCCTGTCAATAAAGGTCTGAACAATGTCAACGTTGCGTTTTGCCAGGGAGCGATTCTTATCTATCAATCTGTCTGCATAAAGAGGGTTCAGTATAAAAGACGCAAAATGTTCGTCGATCTGGCTAGCAGTGATGAGGGCATATGAGCGTGCATTGACACATAAATCGATGATTTCGTGGTTATGGGACGCGATCCATCCAATGCGCAGCCCGGCTACAGAATATGCTTTGGATAGGGAGCTCGTGGCGATTACGTTTTCGTAACCCATTGATAAGATCGAGGGTGGGTATTCCGGATCTGCTGGGGAGATCGAGTGGAAAAGTGGGCGGTAGACTTCGTCGCTGAAGAGAATTATAGAATGACTTCTTGCAATTTGCACAATCTCTTCGAGTTTTTGTTTTCCGATGATTGCACCTGTCGGGTTTTGTGGATTGCTAGCGATATCAGCTTAGTATTAGGCTGTATTTGAAAAAAGGGTAAATCATAATCGACTCACCTGATGATGATCATTTTCGTATTCGGTCGAATCAAGCTCTTAAGATCAGGCAAATCAAGTCTCCAGTCATCATCCTCTTTTGATTTCCAAAAGCTCAGATCCGCCCCGAAGGATTTCGGGAGGGAGTATAGTTGTTGATATGTAGGGTATTGCACGATGGCATGATCGCCTGGGCCTAGCAAAGAAAACAAAACAAGAAAGTTTGCCAATGATGCGCCAGGTGTAGTGACAATATTTTCCATCGCCAGTTGACCAAATGATTCACTCGAGTAAAAATGCGAGATCTTTGATCGTAAATCTTCACATCCTTTCATAGGGCCATAGTCCAATGATTTTGAGAGAATAGGAGACAAGATGTCCACGTCTGTATTAGAGTTGAATTCATCCCGTATACCATCGATTGATCTAGGAAGACAGTAGGAATGTGCAAGGTTGTGCTCGACAGCTGTGCTGCGAGTTAAGATCCACTACGACAGATTCGATCAGTATAGAGCTGGTAGACTCAGTGTAGGGGATGATACGAACATGATCAACTTCAAACTTTTCGATCTTCACCATTGTGGTTGATGTGGTTTTTAATGGTGAAGAATTTACCTACGTACTTCCAAGGTTGTCATTCAGTTTATATAGATTATAGGAAATGAGTCATATCGGCAGCTCCAAACCTTGCAATAGTTTCAGAGTTAGTTTGGATCTGTTGGTCAGTTACGTGAAATCTAATTATGTGAGCGGTTATGTGAGCGAACGGTTACATCAGCGAAAAGTAGCGGGGCGGGCGTAACTTGTCCACTTGAAAGCTTTGGTTATTGCAGTTAATTGGGAGCCGAAGGTAAGGTTTGCGGACTTAAACTCCTTACCCCCGAATATATCTCCGATTTTGAACATCAGAATACTTAGGTATTTGTATGAATTCCGGACGTCTAGGGTGTTGGTCTATGTTGGTTGGTGTATATAAGTCACAAGTATTTTCGCTACACCCTCTCATTGAAAATTTAGCACAAGCAACTTCTCCTGAAGTGCCAACATCCCAACCTACTATCACCGCCGCTATCATGGTTAAGCCCTTGAAACTTCTCCGAGGAGGGACCGTGCTCATCCCTGTAGAGAGTGACAGTGATCATATATCTCCTCGAGTTGCCGATATACTGATTGATGGAGACCGCATTTCCAAGATTGAGAGCACCATCCCACCACCCACTGGATGCGACATCATAGACTGCATGGACAAGATTATCTCGCCTGGCTTTATTGATACCCACCACCACGTGTGGCAGTCACCGCTCAAGGGATTTTTCGGAAATACAGCCCTCTTCCCGTACTTGGCTATCGGTTAGTAAATCTAGCCACTTAATATGAGGCAGATGTTGACTTACACCTCATAGTGCAGGCAGCGGGATTGAAGCTCACGGCTGAAGATATGTTCTGGGCTAACTTGGCTGGAAGTATGGAGGCTATCGATGCTGGAACAACCACTACTTTGGATCATGCTCACATGAACTGGTCAAAAGAGCATAGTAAGTTCAAAATCCTGCTTAGCAGTCGATACAGTTTGGAAGTCCAAACTGACAGCCATAACTTAGGTCAATTTGCGATTGCAGGCACTATATCTTCGGGTATACGATCGATATTTGGGTATACACCTGTGTCGCTTGTGAAAAGTACCGATCCAAAAATCGAATTTGAAGCCGAGCCTCTACCAGCCTGGGTTATGGAGACCTTCGAGAAGCTTGCTACCTCATACCCACTGAATGACTCCGAATCTCGTGTTCAGCTAGGCTTTGGCTTTGATTTCTACCACCTTCCTAAGAATATCGTTCTAGACGTGTTTGAAAAGGTCAAGTCCCTAGGTGTGAAGGTCGTCACGTCGCATTTTATTCAAAATTTTGTCCGCGGTGCCGAAAGCCTTCCTGTGTTGTTGAAGTCATACGGCCTTTTGCAAAAAGGAATAGTTCTTTCCCACGCAGGTGGCGCGACCGCCCAGGACGTCAGACTGATCCACGACGCAAACTGCTTTGTCTCCGCCACACCGAATACGGAACTTGCCATGGCCGTGGGGCCACCCGTCTGTTTTCGGCCCGACCTTCCTGGAATTGATCAAGTTTGCTCCCTCGGAGTTGATTGTCATTCTGCTACAAGTGGTAGCATGGTAAATGAGATGCGCATGGCTCTGCAAACTAGTCGAGGTAAGGAAAGCGAGACTCACGTGCGGAATGGTTACTGGCCAAGAGGTGTCTCGTACACGACTGCCAATGCATTCAAGATGGGTACCATTCAAGGCGCTCGTGCACTCGGTATGGAGAAGGATATTGGGAGCATTCAGGTGGGCAAAAAGGCAGACCTGGTTGTGTTTGATGCTCTCAGTCCGGCTATGGCGTGTGTGGCCCAACACGATCCAGTCATGGCTATTGTTCTGCACTCGACCATCCGGGATATTGAGACTGTGCTTGTGGATGGTGAGGTGAGGAAGCAACATAGCAAGCTATGTCCGGTTAGTGCAACTCAGTGGCATGGCGTGGAGGGGTTTTCGAAAACGGGGAATATTGTGCATTGGCGAGAAGTGGCAGAGAATATCCTTGATATACAAAGGAAGCTTGAGTCCAGCATGCCACATCCGCTGCTGCTAAAGCTCGAGGATCATGTTCGTGTGTTGTTCGGTCATGAAAAGACTCCTACCAAGTTGTAGTAATACCTAGGTAGTAAATCAAGATTGATGTATTTTCTTTCAGAATCACCAGTCATCCTTACCAAATATGTTTCTAGGTTTTCCGGAACAAAAAAACAAACCGCTACCTATAATAAAAAAATATGACCTTTGAAACTGCGTGGCTGGAAAAAGCCGATTTAAAGGCAATACCTGGGTACTTAGGTATATTGAGAGTCAGGTTCAAGTATATACCTAGGTATGGGCCACTGTATCCGGCACTCCTTGGAAGCTCAAACTGTCCTCGCCCGGGGGGCTTAAAATCAACATGAGGACTAATATGGTAATTGCTAACGCAGTGAGCAATTACCTCAACTTTTTTCCATCTTTTACTATGTGTTAACTCTGGTCCCAGTGCCTAGACCCTCTTTGCATCCATCTACTATCGTCCGGCGTTGGGCGGTAGTGCTCTCTTGTTTAGGGCTATATAATTTTTGTCACGTCAGGTGAAGCACATACTAGCGTAGAGTGCGAAAAGTTTGTCTTCTCTTCTTTTCAGCTAGTCTCTAAAGAGACTGAGGCGTAGTAATCATTTCATTCAGATAGATACATTGTCGCTTCCTAAAGCCTCTCTGCCCACCGTTCTAGCAAATCATCCCGTATCCTTGTGCATTTTTTAGTCGTAATTTTAAGTATTTACTTTGCAACTAAAGCCTTTATTAAATCGAATTTTGTTTAGTAAGAGGGTAAAAGAAAAACGTTTATTAGTAATTTATATACTAGTTAATGGTATTTAAATATATCATCTTCCCGGCTCTTACGTGTCCGCCCTAATACCTATATCTATATATAGTTTAGTAGCAATAATAGTGAGTCTAGACTATTATATTTAGTAGTAGGTAAGGAAGCCTCTAGTTTATCCCCTAGTTTATCCCCCTACTCCTGTATATCACTAATTAGATTGATATTAACCTTATTAAGCTTCTCTTCCCTCTCTTCGTAGTATTCTGGATTATCGGTCGTCGCACGATAAAGGAAACAATACTCCCGAGAATGGATAGGATATATGACAAGGTCCAATGTGTCGAAATATATTTACTGATCAAAGTAAGAAAGGAAACATATTAGGAGACATTACCTCGAGAAATCATATGATCTATATAGATGTTAAATTGAATAGAATACTACTACCACCAGACCTCCAGGTCTCCTAGACAGGATGTACCTCACTCGAGCCAACCTTGACCAGATATCAGGATCCACGCTCTAGATATTGCAAAGAATAGCCAGATTCGGGGGTTGAGCCTGATAATCCAGCACGATACAAACCTTGGAATTGGTTTACGAGAGCGAACAGAATCTGCGGATGTTCAAAGATGGTGTCTTCTGTTACCAACAAGACTAATTCTTGAAAGAATTACTGGAGACTGGATATTGCTCAGTCTTTATCCCTTTACATGATGGCATGATAAGTAGTGTATCTATAGGGACATTCATTGTTCCTGATCCCATGATGACCTCAAGGGAATCCTTTCCCCTTTATTTTTGAGTCCGCGATATGAATGAGCAAATAGAGACAGTGCCAAACAAAAAGAACAAAACAAAAAACATACAACAGTGAGGATTCGCTGGTGGTCACCCACCCAACTACTAACTCACCGGCGTGTGGCTTAAGTACGGCTGAGCGGACGGGAAGCCCTGTTTTCCACACCCTATGGTCGTATGTACGATGTTAGGTCTGGGAGGCAATTATAGACCGTAAGGCCGGGGTGGTGAGTAAGTGGTGGGATAGTAAGAGCTGCTTCAGCGTCGACTAAGGCGAGCACAGTGCGTAAAATTATAGGTTCGTGGACTATTGGCTTATAGTTACTGCATAATGGTGGAACCGTACACAATTAGTCGAACAGTTTATTTTTTTTTTTTTTCTTGCAGATTCATTCAAATGCTAATTAAAACCTTGGAAAGATGCGAACGAAGTACGGAGTAGAGTTGACCAAATTGAGCCTATAATTAACTTATTTATTCTACTGATCTAACCCCTTTGGGAAAAGCCTACCGAGAATGCCTTTTATGTCCGTCGACCACTGGATTACCAAGTATAAGGGGTGGTCCCATCGAGGCGCTCGCCCTACATATGTATATCCTGGACGAGCAAGGAATGGCAAGTAAGTCCGGCTGAATCCACAAATGAAAGTTCCTTGGTGCTGCTTTATGGAATAGGGTGGTATTATACCGACTACGTTGGATGTGTCTGTAATAGAAGTTTTAAGTGTCCTTGAGTGTCTTACATGAATGTTCATAGGTGCCCATGGTTTCCCCTTCGGGACCCCGGGAGTACTAAGTAAAAGTTTCTCGGGTGTCAACACCTGGAAGCTTCTGCTAATCAATCCCTGGTTGTACATAGAAAAGTCGTCTGCACAAAGTATACTTTTTACCGCCTTCGTATATACCTAAGAAGACATCAAAAAAAGACATCAAAAAAAGCATATCAGAGGGTTCTTACATATAACATCCCTAATACCATCTTGGTCCAAATAGATCAGATCAGTAAAGTCCTAGGTCGTCAAGGATAGAGGCTGCATAAGTGACTGAATATTCCTGTTCTCTTGATCAAAAACCAATTATGAAATTATTATACAGTGACGTACACTAATTAACATAAACATCACCTCCTCTGTACAATCGGCAAGCTGCTCTCCCCTGTCAAGTCAAAATTCTGCGCCAACAACATATAGGGGAACCCAATTTTCTTCGCCCTACCGATCCACTCTGTCGCATTGAGTGTCTCCGTCATCTCTACTTGAGATAGCTCGTCTTGGTGCTCCACGAAATACGCCTCCCATTCGTCCAACTGCAATTTCATATCAGCATGATGGTTCAGGTATCGCACCAAAGCGGACCGCCCATCCGCGTGCTCGGGCTCTTTCCCGGTGCTCCTGATGATACAGTCGCTTAGCACATCAGCCAGCCCCGTTAGTTCAAGAAGGTCAATCTCCCCCTTGATGTTGCCTTTGGGGATATGGACTCGAAGTTCGTGGGCAACACGCATGAACTCGGCAAATACAGTGTCCTTCGAGAGGCGGCCCTGCTGCTGTACTTGTTCCCGTACTGGCCCTGGACGGTGAATGTATATAGGCAGTCCAAAAGTGACTCGATGCACTTTCGAAGAGCTTCTCTGCCGCCCACTTCGAGGCTAGATAGCCGTCTTTGCCGTCCGCTGGTGGGGGGTATGTTGCTCGGGCCTCGGGATAGTCTTCCTTGCCGCTAAAGAGATGAACAGCGGCAGAGGACATGAAGTGGATGGGGACCTTTCGGGGGGTGGCCAGGTTGATACGCGTGTGCGCTGACGATACGTTGGCCGGTCTCATAACCTGGTGGTTGTCCCAGAAAGAGCGGTTTGCGGCGGCATGGAAGATGACGTCTATATCGCTGGCGAGGAAATTGAATTGCTCTTCTGGCAAGCCGAGTCGCTCCTCGAGGAGGTCTCCTGGGAACCGGATGATCTTCTCCGATGCATTTGACACTTTGTTCGTAGATCGAATAGCGATGCAGTAGATCTTGGAGATCCGCTCATCGTTTACCAATTTCTCCAAAACATACCTCGCTGAGTGGCCTGTGGCCCCGGTGTAGAGAACACGGAGATCCTTGCCGTATATCCTCTCTGGAGTGATGGCCCCTTCATCGCTTTGTGTAGACGGTACTAGGCTCTCGGGGTGGAAAGCTGTCTCAGCTTCCCAGTCGATCAACTTTTCAGACGCAGTCTGCTCTATGCGAGCCGCCATTTTCCGAATAGTATGTGCCTCTGCAAAGTCCACCATGGCCAAAGATGCATGGAAATTGTCCTTGATCATATACTGTAGAGGAATGAGAAGCAAGGAGTTGCCTCCCACGTGAAAGAAGCTCAAGTCAGGCGATGAAACCGTGCCCAAGTCTTTGGAGATCACCATCTCCCAGACCCCCACAGTGCCGATTCCAGGTGCGTTAATTGTGATGCAGCCTCAATCCTGCGACCGAGATCCGTCGTCGGCAGAGGCATGGCCGCGATGGCCGTGCGATCTATCTTGATGTGGCTGGTCAAAGGCATGCAATCGATGGTATAATTATCGCGGGGACCATGTATTGCGGGAGGGGTAGCTTGTTCAAGAGCTGGATAAGATAGCCATGTCGGTATTCACCGACAATGCCATGGTCTTGGTGTTGAGACAAGACCGCATGGGCAACCAGAAACTCCTCGGAACCATCGCCTTCACCTCGCACGGAGACCACGACCTCATCAATCGCAGGCGCGGCAGCTTTCAGGATGGCGTGTTCCACCTCACCGAGTTCGATCCGTAGACCGCGTACCTTGATCTGCGTACTACCCTCCATTCGCCCATCGAATAGAAAAGCACCGTCCGACGCTCGGAGTCTGCCACGATCGCCAGTAAGATACATCCGGTTCCAGCCCTTGGTAACCCAGTCAGAGGGTGCAAAGGGGTTCGGCACGAATTGCTCTTTCGTTAGGGCATTGCAGAATAACGATCGGATTTCATAATCTATTTCTTTTTAGTGCTAGAAAAACGGCGATACATCCTTGCAAATGATATCCACGACCAAAATCTAAATAATTTTGATCTATGTGCACACTGTTTAGTCCGAGAATCCAGGGTTTGAGAAGCGGGGCTAAGGATGTTTGGTAGCTGATTGATGTTTTTGAACTGGTCGCACTGGCTTCTTGGTTGTCTATGTTAGCGTATCTAAGCTAGACATTACAAAATGGAGAGGCATTGACTCACCTTGGGCTCTGATTTGACAAGTGCCCGGCATCGGAAGCCACTTGGAGACTTCTTGACGGAGAATATATCCCATCTGACAAGGAATGTGAAGGTGGATGTTGCTTTCTTATCCGTTGAACGTCATTAACGAATGATAAAACACCCTCCGAAAGCATTTCACGGGCGTGATGAATGGTAGAATCCAATTCAGTTGGCCTCGGTGGGTATTTCAACACGTTGTGATTTCGAAGGACTGCTGTACGGATATTTTCGGGGATGTTGAGTTCATGGGGAGAGTCGATGGATATGTAAGTGCTCATCATAGTTTCCCACTGTTTTCCTAAGTGCCTTGTGTTCGGTGTCATCTTTTGCTCCCTAATAGAGGGCTCCGAGGCAAGATAAGATCCACTGTAATATTTGGCTTCGGATAGAAAGTCAAGTGTTTCTATGCAATGATTGTGCGACAGAAATTCGACCAGTGACTCAAAATCATAGGGTGCGACCGCAAAACCAGAGATGATTTTTTCGAAGCTAGGTCGTAAGATTGAAGAAAACCGCCCTGTTGGAGGCTGTATGGTGGTCTGATACTCCGCTGTCGACGCATCAGTCATTGTGCGATCGGTCTTTTCAGTCTAGTGTATGTTCTCGAACACAAATATCTCGTGGGGAGGTGGTTTGGTAGAAGCGTGGCATAGTAGTTGAAAGGATGTAGTATTCAGTCAAATTGTTCTCTTTTAACGACGTATTCGCCCCACCATACAATGGTTAAAAGTCAAAAGTCTTCCTTGCATGTTTGATGGCTGAGAATATATATCCTATCAAGAGCTTTCTGTATCCACGGTATGTCTAAAGTAACTCATACGTCATACAGAATTTGATTGGTTAATCAGGCCATGGTTGAACATTTCCACAATTGTACAATTGTATCAACCTATAAATTTCCGCAATAGCGAGTTAATCCAAAAATCATCTCCTGAAGATTAGGACAATGGTGAATGATATCGAATGTTTCTGAGTCTCCAGATTAAGGCTTCCGCACATAAGATCATTTAGATGAGCTGGGTGTGATATCAGTTTCTTAAAAATCCCCTCTCGGTGTCTGAAATGAAGCGCTAGATGGCGTGGCTTGTTTGAACCACCGCATCGACAGGCATATCACCATTATTATCGGACTAGGGCGCAAGGAGCAAGGCAGATTTTGCTCTCGCTGGGTTCCTAACATTATTCTTTGTAGCACTCGATATCTGAAGGCATCTTTTCCCAGTCTACCTCATAAACACCGACTTTTGTGACATTTTCTGGATGCGAAGTTTGAGGGCACGAATTCATTGAATTCATATTAAGGGACTATATCTTTCTAACGCTCTTCCTGCGGCTAGTCAGATCCTGTGAAGATGGAAAGGAGCTGACATCATCGTTATCGTGGGCGATGGAAGGCAGTTCCTGGTTAAGATTGAACGAGCCTCTCGCAACCGACACCAATTTCCCTAGGATGGCGTACTCCAACTTCAACTTGATACTGTACGCGACGGGCTTGAACATCACCTGCACAGCGTAGTATCCTATGTACTCGATAACGACGACCGCGACGTCTAAGATGAGAATTACTATGTTGATTATGAGGAGTTGGCTTAAGATCCCCTGTGGTCGACCTTGGGGCCGGAGTCGGAGCAGTTTGATTGTTTCCCAAACGTAGATGCCCGATATCACTAGCTCCTGGATGCAGAAGCCGATGACCTGGATGCGTTCCATGATATTATAGCCGCGGGCAAAGACGCTAGTGGGAACTGCCACTGTGCCGTATAAGAGGACTGTCGTTGGGATGTGGAATAGCACGGCGTCAATGATGATCATCCATAACACCGCCCATAGCAATTTGGTGTTATTTAGAACTAGGTGCAGCCGCGACCATAGAACTAACGACTGGCCTGTGACCATTCCATACCAGCTGAATAGAATGAGAGTCACGCATACATAGGGCGTAACTCCGGTCGGGAAGAAGAGGAGGATAAAGCCTAGACAGTGGGTGATGATACAAGCCGAGGAAATCAGCAAGCTCCAGAAGTAGCAGCCGTGCCAGCGCCTAAAGGAGACCAAGCATAAGATAACGAGCTCGATCGCGTTGTACCAAGCGATAGCGGAGAATGTGGCGAAGACGATGGTTCGCACTACGTTGTCCGATGAGTAGTGGATCAACGCAGTCGCAATACTCGAGGGGGTATTATTCGCCATAGAAAGAGTAGAGCTATTGCTCGATGCGCGGTCAGAGCATCAGCATATATGAGCGCTGGAAGACGAGAATAAGCGCAGAAGAGCTTTTTTTTTGCTTCGTGACAGCTCAGATGTCTTCCCTGGTACTGTCAGGCTAGGGCCAGCGCCAGTGCTCTTCCGGGGTTTCGTGCCATGGATCGCCGAACTTTATATGCGCTAGTGAAGTTATGGACCAATCATATAGCAATGCCAAAACTTTCTTCCAAGGTTGCTTATGACCAGTGGGAATTAAGGTTGATACACTTAACTCTATCTCCGGTGTCTTACGCACTGGTCTCATGAGAAACAATTCGTGTCCTAGGTTGTAAGTGACTTTGGACAGCGAGAGAAACGCGTTTTTACATGTCAATTATCACCGTTGTATCGAATGTGAAAATTGAAATACATCGGGCGAGAATCAGAGAAGTTATGGTGGTCGATTTAGTTGCATTAGCAAAGAGGTAGAGAGACGATCTGTAGATATTAATAATTTCAGATGCGGAAGGGAGATATATGAAACCATGCACGGGTACGCACAAAGACGCGTCGGGCCAATTCAGGGCATCCAAGATTTCGCCAATTCTCACATCCAATGTCCAAAATGGTGTACGTGGCAGTGATGATGGAAGGGCCACGATATGGAAAAATCGTGGTGTTCTTACCTAGGCATTGACCCGCGGGTTAGAACACGGGTTTTGCACTAAATGCGGACTTCCACTCTACCCGACGGTATTTTTCTTCCTAGCAACTTGACTGTGCTAATTGTGAACAGCAGCAAGTTTGTCATGAAGTTCTGCTTAGGATTGTATGTAGAAGATGGTGACGTTAGTATCAAACTGCATCAACCGCGCTAGTTTCGATTTCGTAGGAGTTCGGGGTTGTTAGCATGATAGAAATGCATACTCCGTAGAGGGTCATGGTGCCACGTTAGGATCAGCTTTGAAGCGGATCCCTAATCCCGTATTAATTACTAATGATTTAACTGGAACTCTCAACACGCATTAGGGTAGACACCTGGCAGGGATATATCCCCGCTAGTGCACCGGACAAGTGTTGGACTTTTGGCCCGACTCCGATACCAGTTGCAGCCAGGGGTCGATAACCCTTGGAATCGCCCTTCACTGAACAGCCTGCGGAAATGTACTGCCTGATTTTCTTCCCCGACCACACAGGAGAGCAGCATAGATCAGCAGGAGCCACACTCGGCCCAAGAGCGAGATGAATCAAGCAAACCCCGAAACCAAGACAGCCAACAAAGCGAAGGGAGCGATGCGGAGAAATCACAAAAATTACAACAGGGCCAAAGAAGCTTGGGGAGCGAGGAAAGCCAGGATCCCTCTGGGCTTCGCGCAGCCACAGCCATCTCCCCTCTACGGCTTAACATTATAGTCTTTGGGTACGTATTCACTTTGTTTCAGGTAGACGGCTCAGTTTACTCATTCTTCGCAGCCTCTGAATTTCACTCTTTCTCGCGGCACTGGACAGCACGATTATCTCGACTGCGCTCTTTAATATTTCCAACAGCTTTAACAGCACCAGTCAGTCAGCCTGGATTGTGACATCGTATCTGTTAACGTATAATAGTAACAGCCCCACTATCTACAACTTAAGAACACATTCTTGACTCTCGCTACAGCGTTCGTTCTCCTCCTCGCAAAGCTTAGCGATCTCGTGGAACTCAAGCCTCTCCTCCTCATTTCGAATGTCATTTTTCTCGTCTTTTCCATTACTTGTGGTGTATCCAGGAGCATAGAGCAACTGTGAGAACCCCCGCGTGCCTTGGTCGTTTTGCGAATCTAGCTGACTAGCAGCAAAAGAATCATCTTTCGCGCTTTCCAGGGTATAGGAGCATCGGGTCTTTACTGCCTAGTTTTTGTCGCGATCCTACGATTGATCTCCCTCGAAAAGGCCGGTCTATACTCCGGTGCTATAAGCTCAGTCTTCGCGCTGTCCAACCTCTTAGGCCCGATACTGGGAGGTGTGATCGTGGACAATACAACGTGGCGGTGGATATTCTATATCAAGTACGTACCTAACGTAGTCACATATGGAGAAACCCACACCAGCTGATCAAGACAGTATCCCCCTCGCGTCCATTGCGGCATTGATCTTAGCATGCGCGATTCCCGCGTCGAACGATAGCAAGTTCAACCGTCAAATCTTCAAGAAACTTTGTACATTTTCGCCTGGATGAACAATGAGACGAATTGGCATCTTTCAGACCTTGCATCCATTATTTTTCTTTGCGCGAAAGAGTGATTCTCGCTGTTACTTGGCTTCTCCCCAGCATGCTACACATTCGCCTCTCTCGCCCATATATCATTCATTGCACCCATAATACTAAAATGTGTTGCCATGGTATCATTCTTTCCCGCACGTAACCTGATACATACGACCATAGGGTGTGGAAAACAGGGCTTCCCGTCCGCTCAGCCGTACTTAAGCCACACGCCGGTGAGTTAGTAGTTGGGTGGGTGACCACCAGCGAATCCTCACTGTTGTATGTTTTTGCTTTTTTCTCCTTAGATATCAAGGCCGATAATATCATGTGTATCAATCAATAACTAATGGGCCGATTATTCAGTCTTTGGTAGTTAAGGTTTGGAGGCTATTTAACTGTATTTTTTCTCCACCCTCAGTTTTATAGCTAGACTGCAGAAAAAGGCAAGAAAGGCTTAAAATTTGCAGCCGACTTTTCAATATATAATCAAGGCAAAGACTAAGTCAAGCCTCCGTAAAAACTTTGACCTAGAGGATCGTAAACCTTGCCCCATTGCATCGGGGCTCCGCCATGGTGCGCCCATACGCTGGGTTACCCTTCATCAAATACTAGTAATTACCTACATCTAGACTTCCGCAAAGCCCACAAATGGGCCCCCACCCCAGGCCCAAAGCCCAACCCGCACTGGGCTTTGGGCCCTACCTTCAAAACCCAACCCATTTGCGGGTTGGGTTGGGTTGGGCTCTGGGCTTTATGGGCCGGTGCGTAAGTCTACCTACATCCCACACGTCTCTGCTTTCTGTTGAGACATACTCGACCACGCCCCCCAAATGGAATTGCCAGAAGGGGTGTTATTGAAACAGAGGAAATACTGCTAGCTCAGCTAGGCGAGTTAAACGACACTAAATAAGGGAACTTGATAACTAGCGTTCTTGTGTAGAAACTAATTCTTGGCGAAGGGAACTTCTCAGTGGGAAATACATGTTACTTCATCCCCGAACTGAGCATGTAATAGTCATAGTTCTTCAGGGCTATCCTACTTCCGAGACCCTTTCTACCTAGTAAATAAGGAAACTAAGGTAATTACGTATATAAACCTTCAAAGCAACAACGGGTTCCTGAGGGATAACCGCCCGAGAGCCTCAGGTTGTCAAGGATAAAACACATAATCTATCTACATGATAGGCACATATGTAGGCTTTGTGGAGCAATTGCTGGATTTTAAATGAGTCGCCTAGAGTTTAGGAGTACCTCAATAGCTCCGGCTTTAATTTTTAATTTAGCTATGTTAAACCCTTGCGAATGATATTTTTCATAGTTCATTTATGTCTTGATAGGGCCAGATTCCCTGAAGCCATGCAAGAGTGGATGGATTTCTGTATGATTCGGAAACATCCATCTGTCTTTCCAGTTTCCCCTCTCGTAGCAGATCAGCACGCTGGATCAGCCCAAGCAAAGGCGTTTCGAGTTCACCAGCAGTGCCGAGGAGACATTGTCTCCACAGGGAAGTTGTTCTGGTCACCACCTCACAAGCACGATCTGTTTCAGGACTTGGTGGGCGAGCGCGTAACTCGTCGAGGATGTAAGAAATGGTCTCCTTTTGCTTGTAACTGCTACAGAGCCAGCTCCATTGTGCGGTAACATAATTGGTCTGTAGGAAATGTGCGAATTCGACAAGTTCAACGGCAGTGAGAAACACCAAGTCCATGTATTGTGATTGCTGCTCACCTGAGCCTGAGGATGAATGTTGTGAATGTGTCGAGACCCATGATTTCGATAGGTGAAGGCGAGTGATTGTGGCCAATACCCAATGCATTGGAATTCCCAGGTTGAAATGGTTGAGATATTGTTCGTGGAGAGCTTTCCCCACGAACTTGATCCGATTCTCGCGGTCTTCTAACGAGGTGGCTGGATCCAGGAGCTGTGGCGATAATTGCACTTCATTGATCATGAGACTTGTTATAATGCAAGGAGTGATGTCTGTGAAGCCATTTTTCTCAGGCGGAAGCTCGGGCATGAGCGGTTCAAGCTCGTCTGCGACTGTGCAAGACGGATGACTACGGCAGACTCGGCCCAAACAAGCCTTGTATCTCCATCTACGCGTGCGCAGAGGAGATAGAGCACAGAAGCTTGGAGGGTCAATATCCTAGGAGATTTGACAAAGTCGGCGCGGCTCAGCGCTTGGTCTAACGCGATCTCGTAGGCTTGTTTTGCCTTGTGGTATTCCAGACCCAACTCTGACTGAAGTTGATCTGAATCTAGACTAACCACGGCAGCAAAACAGACAGAGAGCAAAAGTGCTTCGCTAGCAGGACCAATGTCTAGGCCTTTTGACGCATCCTGCACAATTCGGGCCGGGGTGTCCAGATGAAGAACTGCAATCAAAGGCGCAACACGTTTACAATATACACGCCATAGAGCCTCGATCTGCAACGGCTGAAGATAGTATTGTCGAAATGAATCATCGGACCACGAGAGATTGTTGTGCCCAAGGAATCCTCCCCTTGGTAAATCAAAGGGACCTGGGTCAATTTGTGACAAAAGAACATTTCGAGTATCCCTCAAACTGGATGGATTGCTGGACTGCTCTTCATCTTCATCCGATCCATGATGCTTTGGCCGAAGCTGTTGGACTTCTGCCTCAAGATCCGTCAAACGTGCAAGCAGTTCGCTTACCGGGGGTCGATTAATGATCCGGGGCGCGCGTCTAGGGCCTGGAAAGATACACAGATCTCCTGCCTTGACGCATGCAGCACAAGGGCTGTTTCGATCGCATCGTGCCTTTCTCTTATTGCATCGTTTGCAGCTTCGTTTGTTGCGCGTGACTGCAGATTTCGTTTGGATTCCGTCTGCCATAGCGGAAACATGGCTCAAGCACGGAGCCAATCTGAGACCAGGCGCTTATTACCAAATATTGCCATCGAAAAACAGAAGATGCGAGAAACGTGAGGTGAGGTCACCATTGTAGTAGTGGCGGACCAATCATTGTGGTTGATGTGGAGAGCGCGGGATTGATATGAACGCCGATGCTTAACTGTGATCGCATCGATTATCAATCTCCGAAGAACATTGTCTGGAGCTTATCTCACTTGAATCAGTATTAAATAACTGATCATATCTCCAAATAGTTTTCGTAAAAGTACTCTACCTTTGCGGATTAACCTGACGTTGCAAATATCTTCGCTACCAACGATATATATTGCTTCAACATAGCGACATGTCGAGAACCGTTCTGATCACTGGTGCGACCGGCAAGCAAGGTGGAAGTGTTGTCGCAGCTCTTCTCAAAGCAAAGTCAGACTTCGAAATCCTTGCCGTCACTCGCGACGCGTCCTCTGGTGGAGCGCAGAAACTCCAAGCAAAGTCCTCGAACATCAAACTAGTCGAAGGTAATTTAGATGAGCCCGAGAAGATCTTCGACAATGCCCACAAGGCCACTTCTCAGCCTATTTGGGGCGTTTACAGCGTCCAAGTGAGTTGTTAGCGACTAAATTTGTGCATCAGAGCTAATCACATCTTAGGTCCCGGTCGCTGGTGGATCAAACCAGGAAGCCGAAGAGAGACAGGGCAAGGGTCTTGTCGACGCAGCTCTAAAGAACAATGTCAAGCACTTCGTCTATTCATCCGTTGATCGCGGTGGCGACGCTTCCTTTGATAGTCCGACGCCTATCCCCCATTTCATCAGCAAGCATAAGATCGAGCACCATTTGGTCGAAAAGGCCAAAGGCACCGAAATGACCTGGACCATCCTACGCCCTGTTGCATTCCTCGAGAACTTCACCCCTGATTTCTTCGGCAAGGTTTTCGCCACCTGCTGGAAGAACACGGTTAAGGACAAGCCGCTCCAACTTATCTCGGTCGGCGACATCGGCTTCTTCGGAGCGCAGGCCTTCATATACCCTAATCAGTACCAAAACAGAGGCATCTCTCTGGCTGGTGATGAGCTCACCTATGATGAGATGACTGAAATATTCAAGAACAAGACTGGAAAGTCTGTCCCAACTACATTCGGGTTTGTTGCTAAGGGTCTAATGGCAATGATGAAGGACTTGGGCTGCATGTTCCAGTGGTTCTATGATGTGGGTTATGGAGCAAATATTCCGGAGCTGAGAAAGGTGCATCCTGAGTTGAAGGATTTTGGCACTTGGCTTGAGAATGATAGCGGGTTTGACAAGAAATAAGGGCTGGGTCTCTCAAATTGTACACTAATTATTATCCGTCGACTTTTTGCGCTTCGTGTATAGGGTCATTAGTAGTTTGATAGCAAATGGGCAAATTGATGTTACATTAGTCCAAGGAGAACACTAAATGTAATTGCAACAAGAATAGGGTGAATCATAGGACACCTCAGGAAGAGGATGGTGCCTGAGGTAGGTATCAACGTGCACTAGCCCATTCTAGATATATGCTTTTCTCCTGCTCCTTCGCTTTCTTCTCTTTTTCTCTTCATTTCTTCCCCTGTCAACACAACATCGAGGACCCCATCGGTATGTCTTCCTCTACCACCAACTGAATGAGGGACAAGCACTAGCTCCAGCTCCAGAACCTCTCCGCCAGACCTCACGAAGTCCACAAGCTGAGTCACAGATATCCACGATGTGAAGACCATCGGGATTTGCTTTGGTGTGGTCTTGATATAGACCACTACCCTGGTTTTCATAGAATAGGACAAGTCCTGGGCAAATAATGGTCTGGAGAAAGCCAGGTAAGATTGAATCATTCCCTGCAGGAGGAGTCGTAGAATACTACTCATCAGTCCTTGGATATCAGACGGATACTAACATATACTATAGGCGCCGCGGGTCCTGCCCCAAATGTGGCCTCAAGAAACATGCTGCTTGAGGATGCTGAGAAGAAGCTCGAGGCCACTAAGAAAGAACTCGAGGAGGCAAAAAAGCGCGCCGGTAAAGGAAAAGAACACGCCTACCAAGCTGGAAAAGGTGCTTGGGGCATTGCAGAAGCCCAAGCCAAGAATGCCCTCGAGTTGCCTTCGGGCGAACACTTGCCGTCCACTGCCTCTGCCTCTACTTCAACCTCCCACAAGCCCTCAATCCACCAGTGTCCAAAAAGATCTTCCTCTACCATTGCTTCCTCACTGCGAAACAGGGTTCAGCCATTGGCCACAAGGTGTGGAAATCCTCCAGGGGCCCTATAACGGGAAATCCAAGGCACGAGAACAGAAGCAGCTCGGAATTTCGGCTGCTACTCAACATTTGCTCCGCCCTCATGCTCTTCCTCGCGCAGGCCGTCACCACTGAGCGCACGCTACCCCGGGGTATGTCCGGGATGGGCTGTCAACAATTTCATGTCAGGTTGTCCTGATCTACTTTCTATCCATGATTGTATTGATGCATCATGTCGTTTTGACTATTACCTACATGTTTCTACTTATGAAGCCCTATAAGGCATGTGTGCAAAGAAGTACAACGTGTTTTTGAGGTTAAGTCTGAATGTTAGCTTTTCTCCCATGAGCTTCGCCATCATCCTTGTTTCAGCCTCCAAGAATATTCCTACAACTGCATACATTCACGCTGCAAATCAATTTCGTATCTTAATTACATCCTTGATTGGACGCATTCCATTCTACGTTAACAACATGTAAAAAACAGTTATCCAGAACAACAATAAACCTGGATGATGAGGCCAGATGACGCCATGGGTTGCAAGTGAGCGTCACGTGATAATATCGCAGACCGATAAGCGGCTTCAGCCTGACCCCGCGCTCCTCTGGTCGATATTTGATATCCATGTGATGAGTGTTTAATCTTTATCCTTCGAAAATATTTAATTGAATCCACCTGTCGCCATGGGTATCCTGGGCCACCACAATCTCGACCCTGTCGCCGAGCCTATCGCCATATTTGAACAATTTGTCGCGAAGGAGCCGCAGACATTAGTCCTAAGAGAAAAGGTGCTCTCCGTCTCTGGGGATAGCTTCGAAATCAAACTAGCAAATGGTGAGACATTTCTAAAAGTGCAAGGAGCCTGGGTATCACTTTCTGGTCGCAAGAAGGTCGAGGATGCCCATGGCAAGCACCTGTTTGATATTGTCAAGGAGCTTTTACATATCCATTCGACCTACGCAATCGAAGACACCCATCACAAGAAGATTTGTGAGGTCAAGAGTAATCTCAGATGTAAGTACCGTCTTTTAGGACCCAAGACCATTCAGCAAAGTAGACTCCATATGTTATACACATTACTAACTGCACTAGTGCTCGGCTCCAAAGCCACTGCCAGTTTCACTGATAGTAACGGCAAGGCAGTGACTCTCAGTATGAAAGGAGGCTGGTTCGATCGTACTGCCGATATTGTCGACAATAAAAGCGGCCAAACTGTGGCTCGCATTGACCGGAAGCTGCTTAGCGGCCGCGACCTTGTGTTTGGCCAGCAGACCTACGCCGTTGTTGTGGCACCTGGTGTGGACGCAGCACTGATCGCCGCCTTGTGTATTTGTTTTGATGAGAAGAACAATGAGGAACGAGGCGAATAGTAACACTGGCATCCGGTCAAAGGGTTATACCTGAGGCATTAGAATATGGCCTAAGGCACCCACGGAGTTAGTTAACTGTCATTTTCCTGAATCCTGAACTAAAAGGTTGAGCTGCCTGATTGTAAAAGAGGTATTACCTTGATCGAAAAAATATATATTCCAATTTGAAAAAAATCGTATCGACACTCAAGTTCAAGCGAGATTTCAATGAAGTCGACATGGACGAGATTTCTGCGGCTCTTTACTCGTCCTGGTGCACCCATGTAATCTGGAGTCTTCTTTTACTCAGCTGCGTATACTTTCAAAGTGAAGAATGTGGTATGAGAGACCCCTGCATTTGGTTCTCAACTGAAAAGGGACGTGGAATACGCTGGATTAATTATGCGTTGAAATTTTGGTATCAATGGTGGAATATAGTTGATTTGAAAACTTTTGAGCATTCCACATGCTATGATCTTGTGTACTGTTTCTTCACTGCATGCATGATGAATTATTTCTAGTCGTTGTATCTCCACAAATTCAATATCATAGTAATGCAGTGTCTTCATGCTCTTCTACTACCGTTTATCTTTTGGATGATGCAATTTTTCTAGGTATGGATTTAACCCGCCTACTTAGCTCAGCATACAGCATCAATGCGAAAATCTATACCCGCGTAAAACACTTTTGCGTAGTCGGAATCTCCAGTATAGCATCCACGGAACTGGTTATTGCTCATCGAAGATTGTCGCGGATCAGTGAAGCAACACTCCACATGTTGAATCTCTTCTGTGCCATGCATCTGTTTTCTCTCCGGGGGTGGCAGAGCTGTATATGAAGCACATGAAGGTAATATGCAGGCAGTTGCTTCCCGAGGTCAGACAGTGCAGTTACTTATACACCGAGAATGTAGATCTACCCATGGACTCTCCCCCGGCCTCGGGCACCACTTTTTGGTCAGCTTTCAACTACAACAATGAGACTAGTATCCACACCTTGTGGTCCTCGTTGTTCAGTACTGTTGAATGTTTTTTTTGGCTCTTTGATTTTGTCAGCACACCAGTCAGCACACCAGTCAGCACACAATTTCACATTTTTGCTATTGGTCTATTCAGAGTTAATAGTGTAGATACGTTTCTTTGTCTGATAGGAAGCTGCAAGCCCCTTACCTCTGACCGCCCCCAAAGCCGTGTATAAGTGAATAAAACCCCGTTTCGAAGATTCAGCCATCTTCATCTTCATCTTCAGCCAATTCTTTTGAATAGACTCTTCTCTTAGCTATCGTTTTGTTTCCCTCTCAAGAATGGCATCCGTTTCATCTTTCCGGTACTCAACTGGCGAGATCGCCACCGCCGAGGCGGCTAAGTCCTTTTCATGGGAGGCACCTGTACCGGTGAATAGTTTCTGGGACAGTTTCAGTTACCCCACTGCCCGAAACTTCCTGGGCAACTTTTCAGATCCCGAACTGGAACAGCTCGCCATCGACTCGGTGGGAATAGACCCCAATAACACCGCAGACCAGCAAACAAAGCTTCAGCTTCTCCTTCAACTACTCCGGAACAAGTTAGCAAAAGAAGAAGCGGCCACTTCGCCACCTCAGTCACTCCATGAAGTCGATTACAAGCGGTGGAATGGACTGTGGCAGGGAATATATACCCTGGAGAATGAGTTAGGCCTCCCGCAGGCCGAGGAAACTGTCCGCATGCTAGTGGAGAAAAGGCCGGACGAGTCGAACGTTGTCCCTCCCCACATGCTAGCGGAGCACCTCGTTAAGGTTGGCAAATATAAGGAAGCGGAGGAAATTGCGCGGCCGGTTTGCGAGTGGATGGATGCTCGTCCACACCTTGGTAAGGCCTCTCCGCAAGCTCTCAGCGCTCGCAGGATTATCGCAAGAGCTTTATGGGGCCAGGGTCCTTCACGACGATCCGAGGCTGAAGCTTTAGTTGCTGAGATTGGTGAACTTGTTGCTGGAATGGGTGGAAGCAGGTTTGACATTTACCAAGAAGAGGAGGCGAGGCTTAAGAAGGAATTGGTGGCTGATCTCCAGGGCTGAAGCTCGAGATTTAGCTTCATCGTTGTCTGAATCTCACAAGCTAGGAACTGCTTGTTTGCTTGCGGGGTTCCCCCTCTCTCACTTTATTCCATCTATAGTTGTCTGTTAGCTTGCAATATTATTGATGAAATTGATGAAATTGATGAAATGTTGATGGTGACGCCGACTGAATGCCCTGTAGCACCTCGATTTGAGGATTTTGAGCCGCATTTTCCACGTCAAACAGCCCCATTTTTAACGACTGACCCACCCAGATCCTCGGTTGAACCCTCCGAATTCAAGTCAAGGCTAACGACTTGACTAACTTAACCCGCTCGCCATTGTTCGATGATTCAAATGGTCTATATTCAGTCCGTTTGGTATTGAACTGGCAATGTGATACGAGAGTTGCCTATTTTATGAACTAGACTCAGTCAACTATTTGACATTGCACTGCTTAAGCTTTTATCGTTGATCTATTTCATTTATATAGTTTAAAGTTAAAATAAACCCAAATCAAAATATCATTGTTTTTTATTCCTAGAAAGGCTCATCTTAAATTATGAACATTGTATGTATCGGCTCAACCCATCATTAATCAGGCATATAATCCCCCTCCTCGCCGTTGCTACTACCGCTAATTCCTATGGCTGCATTCAGGTCCGCACCCTCTCGCACTAGCAACCGTATCACTGGCTCACACTCGGCATCAGCCGCAGCATGTAATGGGCTCCTACCCTCATTATCACGAGCTTCTAGGTCCGCGCCCGCTACAAGTAACTCTGCAGCGATATTGATGTGTGCACCGCGTGCTGCATAGTGTAGTGCCGTGCGCCCCGAGTCATCCCTCCGATTGACGTCGACCCCGTAGAGCAGCAAGAAACGCACGATTCCCACATTGCCACGCTCGACGCTGATGTGTAGTGCTGTTTTCCCTTCGTGTTCGGCGATATAAACGCTTCGCGGGCTCTCAGGGATTCCCAGTGGCGGCGTCGGCGACCGTATAGTGGACACATTGGTCGCCGTGATCCTTTCAGTGGATAAAGCCATCACTGCGAGAGAGTTTTGGGTCACAGTGGATTTCTGCTGCTGAAACTGGCTGGAATGTTGCAGATTCTCCTCTGGCGCCTCTTCTTGGTGTGTCTCTAGATCATTGGAGGCTCTGAGGGGAGCAGGCAAAGAGCAAATCCCGGGCTCCGGGTCCAGTACAAAGTTCGGCATTTCTTCCATCATGGCATCAAAGAAATTGAGATTATTTAGTTTCGGGATGGAACTTGTAATGCCAGTACCCTCCTTTTGGTTTGTCAACTCCTTGGGCTGGATGGCAACGTAGCGCCCGTAATCCACAGCTTCAGATTGGGATATGTCTGATTCAAAACAGGCAGGAGCTGGTATATTCCCCTCGAACTGGGAGCTTTCCGGTTTATTCGGTGCATTATCCGAGTTTCGCGTCTGGGAATCGTGGTAATCACCATCAGAAGGCGCACAGGCATTGCCATTTCTTTGCTGCTGGCTTCCCTTCATTTGTTTTTCTAGCTCTTCCAGTCGCTGTCGCTGAAGCTCTGCTTGCCATTTGCCTTAGAGTGCATAGCATTAGGGAAGCCGAGATCACACGGGTGAGTACCTGAAAGGTAGGGATCTTGATGACTTACGACGGTTTCTCTGAGCAATGCGGTTTTGAAGTCTTCTTCGCTGTAAGGCTTCAATGGCAGCCTGGGCATCTTGCTGAGTATCCATTATCTCTGGCCTGAAGGCAAGACAGGAGTAGCGCTATTCAAGCTGTGACTCTCATATTGTGATAAAACGAGAATGTTAGCGCCATGAACCAGTTAGGAGAAGATCGCATGTGCACAAATAATGTGTAAATAGCACTCAAAATGAGAGAAAGGAAAAGAGGGAAAAGGAGCCCGCAGTAGGCTTATCAACTGTTGACCGAATAGCACAGACCCTTGCTAGTGGTACATGGATATTTCCGGGGATAGCATTCCAGATAGGCTACCATGACAAATAAGCACCCAACAGAAGCCTAACAACGGACATAACCCTGAATATATCGGTGGTCGAATAAGTCATAATGAATACCCGAAAGTCAAGGGTCCACGACTGATATTATATATGGCTAGCCTCTCCAGCCATGGCCCCAGGTTAAATAGGAGGTCTGACTAGATCATGAGGCTCGAATGGTGAGGGAGGGCATGCCGTAGCTAAACAAGGCTTAGGGTCAAGGTTGACCAATCTGCTGGGTCAAAGCAGACTCCCAAGCCTAACATCAATCATTATAGTTAGCGATGGTGTAATACTCTAGCCATATCCTATCTAGCGCCAGGGACTACTGATTGGCCAAGTTCTACACTCGCAACAGGAAGAGTAAAATGCGAGAAAGAGGGCATCTCTCAACCTGGCCCCAAAATGGTCCGATTCCAGTCCCAACGTTTGTAACTGCAAGTTAGAACCTGAGTTCAACACAAATATTAACGGGGAGAAAGAGAGAAAGAGAGGATATAGGCGGTGAAACAACAGAGGTCGTCAAATCCGCGAAATCTCGCCCTAAGGTCCGACGGATTTCCGGAGTCCAGGGTTTCCGATTGGTGACGTCCTTGCCCTCGTTCTCTGCTGTCTTCTCGGGCCTATGTTGTAGACGCCTTCAAAAATATCGGGAAATATCGGGAAACTCTGATGTTTTTGTCTTGCTTCATGGCAAGGTGCGCCGGACTTTTGCGGCCGGCATGGTTCTTAGTCTCAGTCCGCGTACAAGGGTAAAATTGAAACCAAAAATAAACACAAACACAAAACAAGTAAAATCGTATATATATACTTGTCAACAAAAAATACATCATGACAGCCATTATTGTGTTATATCATATCATTGAGAGGGTTTCTTGACCTCGCCTAGGCTTCTCTCATTCAATACCGCGAATAATTCTTTTCGTCGGATCGGTTTCGATAAAAAGAGGTCCATTCCTGACCCATAAGCTTCGTTTTGGGCACTAGCACTGGCAAGGCCGGTCATAGCGACAATAGTCGCAGGTTTGAATGATTCTTTCGCTGAAATATCGAGCGTGTTCTGATATTCTCGCTCGGCCTTGCGAATAAGCCGAGTAGATTCGAACCCATTCATTATAGGCATGGAGATATCTGTACTTGTCAGAATAGTGCTTCATATACAAGAAGCAGGGAACTTACCCATCAGGACCACTCCGAACTTTCTAGGGTGGGCCTTGAAGGTGTTGAAAGCCTCCAAACCATCGCGGGCAATCGTGTACCTGTATCCTTCTTTCTTCATATGTGCAACCAATATCTGCAAATTAATATCATTGTCTTCAACCAACAAGACTGTGAGCGTCGGCTCCTCTGTCTTGGGCAATCCTTCTCGGATTGGCAAAGTAATGGCATCACTTTCAGTTTGAGAAACATAAGTGTCCTCAGGTTGTCGTGAGTCTTCCATTTCGTCCAACTTGCGATATTCATCATCTATCGCCTTTTTTCCTGCTTTGTGTTTTTGGAAATCAATCTCATCGTCTTCACGTTGTGTTCCGATATCCTCCTTGGAAACCGGAGATGAGTTCGTCAACTGGAACGCTTTCTTTCCCCGAGGTTGATGAATATTAGAGTCACCTCCAGTCGGAGGTTCCTGACCTTGTTGTCGCTTGATGCAAATGTCAAATGCTTTGGCCAACTTGCGCGGGCCACATGGCTGGCTGATAAATTCGACAACAGCCTCTTGGTTCGATTGATTTGCTGCAACAAACATAAGATGTGCTGCCTCTGGCGACCGACAAATCACCACAATCGGAATTCTTCGATTCCTGACATTGCCATGGGAATGGTTCTGGGTTTTTGACAACCACGATTCCCAAGTGTTCACTGAATCGGCATCAGTCTGCACTGCAACATAAAAATCGCATGAGGGGGAAGAAGCGTCCGTTGGAGTCAGGATATGTACATCCATGTCAAACCAGTTCTTGCACAATTTCTCCAAAGAGGTACAGAGAATTGCATCGCGATCGGATATGTCAGGTGATCCCAGCTCCAAGAGTCCCAGGGTCGCGCCATGTGTAATGTGTTTCATTTTCAAAATGGGCTCTGGTTCGGAGGGACTCAATTTGGCACTTTGAGCGGGCACGTGGGTAAGAGTAACTTCAATAGAGACTTCAGTACCACGACCCCGGAGTGAACTGACTTCGATATGACCACCCATGGACAAAACCGCATGGTGAACAATGCTGAACCCGAGTCCGTTTCCAGGGGCAAGGGGGTCTTCTTGTGTGAATGGAGTGAACAAACTATTCTGCAGATACTCCATGCTCATCCCGATACCCGTGTCCTTGACCGTCAGGGTCACCTTGAAATCAGAAGGACCTCCGGGCACGGCGTCTTTGGTAGGAGTGACGGGTGATGCCGTTAACTTCACTAAGATAAAGCCAGTGTTGGTGTACTTTAGGGCGTTGCCGAAAATGTTCATCATGATGCGGCGCCAGGCACCTATTTGGGTGGAGAATCTCCACTCCGCAGCTTCGTCGATATCCAGGATGATGCTGACCTGACTCGGTTGCTGGACAGTCCCCAATACGTCGAGTGCCATGGGGTTCGGACGGTCTATCGTCATTGATCTTTGTGGGGTGTGGTAGAAACTATAGCCCGCAAAGACACTTTCCATTACCTCTTCCAGAACGGCATCCAGCTGAATATCAGACTTCAGACTAATCATCCCACTATGCCGTGTCCGTCGTGAAGGCTTCATACTATGAGGTGATGGGTCCGTGGTTTTGTGTCGTCTTGTAGGGATTTTCCGTTTTTGGATGCCTTTGTTGCCTCCTTCCTTTCGGAAATTGTTTATCTTCGAAAAGTCCAGCAAATGGTTGATCGTATCCAACAATGTCCGCCCACACGATTCAATAGTGTGTACCAATCCGTGTTGAAGTGCGTTCATCGCCGTGTCTCGAAGTATTTCTGACGTGCCAAGAATGCCATGGAGAGGACTTCGTAACTCGTGCGAGATGCTGCTGACCAGATTTGTTTTCGCATTTTCCGACATCTCGACATCCAGACGATGCACCTCCGCCATGATACTATTTCCAAAGGCCGACAGGTACGTGAGCTCAGTCTCGGACGTGAAGACGCGTCGAGGTGTGTTTGTCCATACTAGAGCGCCTGAGAACCATCGAGCTCGGTGGGAATCCCACATCGGCAGGAGAGCGATACTGCGAGCTCCCGGGAAGAGTCGAATGAGGATATTTCCATCCTCTTTGAGCGTGGCGCTGCGCGTCTTTTTCCGGCTTCCTCTTGTTCTTTTACCAATGAGGTCGGCGTTGACAATATTTGAACCCTCACGGTCTAACGAGCTATTCCAGGGTCCATCACTGCTTTCATCCGAGGACATCGATCCCTCTTCACTGAAGTTGAAAATCTTGCCCTGTGGATAACGCCGCAGAAGCGTCTTCAACAATACTTCCCGGAGGGCAAGTCTTCCTTTTGATTCATCATTGATACTGGATGTGGCCGAAGTCGAGAAGCCTAAGATTTCACACAAGGTTGTATTCTCTGGGATAGTGTCCTTCCCGGATGATGCGGTAGAGCTTTTCTGAGAATCAGATCCGGTGCTATCGTCGCTGCTGCCCATGGAGCTTTCCAAAGTACCGCTATCTGAGGCTGGGCCCTTTCGCTTCGTGTCGCTGACGAGACCACCATAAGACCCGATGCTCGCGTCGAAGAACGCGACACCTTCGACTTCTATCGACTCCCGGATGATGTTAGCTGCTCGCGAAAAGACTTGTCGAACTCCGGTAGACAGCATGTCGTCTTGTAGATTTTCGGTCGATGCCGTGCTTCGGATGGAGAAACTAGTTTGTGTTTCGGCTTTGTTGAGATTTGATATCTGATCGATACTGGCGTCTGAACCCTTGTCGGACTGGGTTGTTGACGAGGAAAATGGTCCCGGGGAGAGGCTCGGCGAGGGTACACTAGACAAGTCGGGGGATACCAATTGCTCAGAACCATTTCGTGGAGATGCTTGTGACTGCAGCGGCGGGGATGACGGGCGAGTATGGACAGTTGTGAGCAGACCGGATTTGATTTGTGCATTTTGCTGCAGGATATTCAGATGGCCTTCGTCATGTTGCTGACCATTCAGGTGTAGTCCAGTGTCCTGTACCCATTCCTTGCGAAGCGTAGCCTTACCCTCCACAAAACTTCCGAACCCCACAATCATTCTCTCCGCACGATGATGTTCCGCTTTGCATCGGGCCATCTCCAAGTGCGTCATGACAGTCGATGCCATATTTTGCAGGAACTTTATCGACGGGGCGTCCAATCCGGATCGTGGCTCGTCATCGATAATGCAGTAGGATCCGATGGTGATCCCTTTGGGACTGATGATGGGGGCGCCTGCGTAGAACCTTGCTTTGGGAGACCCGGTGACCATATTCAACTGGTTAAACCGATCATACTGGCGCAGATCGGGTACCATGTATATGCCGCCTTCCACCACATGTTTGTCTTCCTCTGATTTCGATCGCGGTAGGGAAGCGACTTGTTGACATATTCCATCCCCCGAGGGGACAGCGCAGCAACCCAACCATAAGGCATCTCGATCATTCTCCACCGTATGATCTTGAAGACTGAGTGTTTGAGTGGCCTCTGCCAGGACATAATGTTGGTCCCGACCGAAGAGCGAAATCAAGGCACGTTGAGCCTTCAACCTTAGAACCCCTAACTGGGCGAAGGCTGTCAAGGCGGTATCTGGCGAGCATCGGGGAACATAGGCAGTATGTTGATTCTGTGCATCCTCAGGTGTTGGGACGCTTGGGCCAGGTTGAAAAACTTCGTTGGGGTTAAGATATCTTTTTTTAATCAAAGGGTTTTAGTTTGCATTCAAGTTGGGGAATAGTGGAACCCCACACACATACTTGTATAGTTCCCTCTCTTGTGCTAGTTTGAACTTGGGTGGTCCGTCTTGTGCTGGCTCTGACGATGACATGAGATGTATGTAGTGAGTTCTTCCTGATGATGATGTTCACCTGGACAGGACAGCTTAGTTGTTAGAAGAGGGCTGTGGCAGAAAACAAGGAAATGCTAAATTTCAAGGTGGGTACGGAGGTTCCAAAAGGTTAGTCCATATCGAGATAGGCCAATATGAATGGGCCGATCGCACAATCATGTTGCTCTCTGGTTGTTCCCAGTTGGCTCGATCAGGAGAGTGGGGGGGTCATGTTCACACCGCCTACGTCTACGACCACCAATTGCGCCACTTCATAGCCCGGGAGGTATTTTCCCCGTCAATTTTGACCGCCCGGCTCACCGGCTTTTTATCAATGTCTATCCGTCTACGGAGTAGTTAACTATATAATAAACTATGAAGCTTTATAGCATAGAGTACTTTATAGCATAGAGTATCTAAAGTATGCGTAATTCAGATATTGGGAATTAACTGCACCTCCATATCACACCACTACACCTTCTTATTCTCCGCCTACTTCTCCTGGTTTAGCTCGGAGCGTCTGCATTCTCGTGGACATACCAAGACCAAGGTACGAAAATCAGGTGCTGTGTCTTTCTAAACTGATTCTAACGAGATGTAGGGCCATGGTTCGATAAAATGATACCTACAAATAGTAGCTCACTAAATTATGTCACGTGTGACTGGGATGATAAAGGTTACTGGGGCATTTGTCATTTTGGTTGTGATCGATAAGGGTTGGAAACTACAAGCAGGATTTAATATAGTATAATCCTAGATCATCAGGCAGGTCTATATCGAGCACTCGAGTCAATGTGATACTTTTTTTATAGGGCAGACCCGTGGGAACCTCCCAAGGTCAGCCGAAATATTACAGGAATTTTATTGAGTAGTAGGGCATGCGTGAATCTCACGGAGCCCGTAGTTTGCACGCATTATATGAACAAGTCTCCCGATGGAAGTCTATTTGGTTATTGTAAAATGAGATCAATAATATACAAGACTTTTAGCCCCTGCTAGCTAGCCAGATGGTGCCTCCATTAATCATTGCTGCATCATTTTTACCCGCATCACTGGACCCTTGTAGACTCTCCGGGCATAAATCGCATAATAACTGAGTGAAACCATAACAACGCCCCCAAAGATAGCAACACTCCAATTCATGGTAGTCGGGTCCACCTCCTTGGTCAGAGGGAAGAAGCTAAAGATCCATATCACCAGCAAAACCATAATGGAAATGGTGTCACAGATGGGGGTGAACTTCCCCATGCTCCAACGTGCCGGTGGCAGGGGCTGATTGCGCCAGCGTCGAAGACGAACGCAGGTGATAGAAATGATGTAGGAAGACAGAAGGGCGGCTGTACCGAGGGACATAATGGCATTGAAAGCCACAGAAGACCCAATGTTGATTAGGGAGAGGAGAGAGACGATAACGAGACTGACGCAAAGAGCATTCAGTGGAACGGTGAAGGTTGGGTTAACCTGTTTTTCCCCATTTTAGTCAGAGAGATGGATGGGGGCGTGTTGAAGAACTCACCTGTGCCAAGAAATTGGAAAAAGGAAGACCCTTATCTCGGGCAAAAGAGTAGATCTGACGGGAGGTTGTGGCAACGTTACTGATTGCCGCGCAAAATTGCATGATCATAATCACAACTGTCATGCCTGTCGTGGCGCTGACTGATCCCGTGGCATTGAGGAAGACCTGAATGAATGGGAAACCTGTTTCAGACTTGAGCACTTCATCAATGTCGCCCACACAGAACGCAAAAGTGATTATCATGACCAAGCCGGTGGAGCCGTTGAGGATCAGTGTCCACACCATGCCCATGGGGAGCACCCGGGATGCGTCTCGAATTTCCTCCGCTGTATTACGGTATTAGTCATTTCCCCTACATATATCGGGGAGGAACAGGATACATACCCATATGAACCGCTGAGTCAGGGCCTTTTCCGGATATATTGTTAGCAACGGCCAAAATAAGATCCATCAACGCAGGGACATACCAATCAATGCATAGATGGGTCCAACCAGCCCAGCCATACACGAGAGTCCATTGTTACCCCAACCACCTCGGTCCTCGATTGAACCAAATACCTCGGAAGCAGGAACCTTGGGGGACAACACCCAAAGAGGAATCAAAATTCCAAAGAAACCGAAGCAGTGCACAATCAAGATAATACCTTCGATCAAGGGGAGCTTCTGGGCCAGGAATGTGTTAAACATCAAGGCTACCAGGGCCACCGCAATGACGAGCAGTGTAACGTGCCATGCCTTATAGACATACGTGTCAGGGTAGTTTATGGCAATCACGCCAACCATCATGTTAGCGACGGTATAGCAGCATCCTGCGATACCGGTGTGCCAGCCCAACACGCAAATCCATCCAGTGATGTAACTCAATAGGGCCTGGGAACTGGGGGGTGCAAACTCCGACACCCAATGATACTGGCCACCGGACAACGGGGCCCTAGAAATATCGGAAAATAAGAATCAGCGATCTCATCATCGAGACATGTGAACTGTGCTTACATAGAAGCCATCTCAGCCATTGACAGGATCACAAAGCTGAACCCTGCCAGGCCTCCCAGGTAAGTATAGATCATACCTCCCTTGCCACCATTAGTCAATCCATAAGATGAACCACTAATGCAATAGTTCAGCGCACGATTCAATATAATATAATGAAGTCGATTATCTTGGTGGATATATCGACCAATTTACTTAGACTTACAAGAGAACTGCTTCCCATGTGCACATAAGCACAGCCGTAAACCCAAGAACGGAAAGAAACCGAAAGTTTCTCTGCAAGGGGTGTCATTTTTTGTTTCTTCATTTCTTTTTGTGGCTTTGGTGATTTGGAAGGGGGACAGAAGAGTTGAATAGAGTTGCGTACGTTTAGTTCCTGATCTCGTCCGGCACGCCACATATCCTGCTTGTCCTGCGCCGTCCCCGCCTTTTGGGAGGGGACATCCAAGGAGGATGTCTCCGGCGTGGAGTGTTGAACGTTCAACATGATTCCGTCCTCGCGCCCCATGGTGAATAATGATCACTTCAATTTCAGTGATCGGGGAGATAAATGAACAAGGTCTGAAGAGAAAACCAGTGAAAGGAAGGAAAGAAAGAGCAGGCAGCAAGTAGATAATAAAAATTGAGAATATGAACTCAATGATAGTGCAACTGCATTCGGCTAGAAAATTACAACGGAGGCGCAGGGGTAGATACCGTGACGATAAAAACCAGGGTGGTAATAATATATTTTATATATCTTGTGAACCCCTGTCAGAAAGCAAAGGTTGTGGTTGGCAGCGGCCAAAGTACGATGCATTAGGGCACCAAGAGGAGCGCGCCGCTCGTGAGAAATAAACACTACAGTACATATGTACATACTCCATCCGGACACAAGCCGAGTGGTTTTTTTACTAGGGGTTCTCCGTACACTAGGCTCTTTTGCGTGATTTATTATTATTCAAGGAGGCAAGAACTCTTCCTTCGGGCGTGGGTGGAATTTTTTCAAACACAAATGCCATCCTGTGGTCTGTCTTTAGGTATCCCACCGAAGTCTGGCCCCATTCAGGATCCAAATCCCAGCTATGTTGTATGTACACACTTTATTAGGATCATCCGATTGGATGAAATGTTAAATTGATCCGCAATTCCTCCGGGATTAGCTTTGTACTCCGTACATATTCCGACCTCCGTGCTCTAGTTATACATATGCGTAGCCAACTCTGGAGATCCCGCCCCCACGATTCGCTACCCACATACAACATTGTCCGCCATCCAGAGCTTGTATTTTGTATTGTATGTAACAAGATTATATATATGGGGCCGCCAAGCCCATGCTAATTTTCGCATGGTCCGGGACATACAATGTAACATGTACTAGTTAACTAACTAGTTAGTACTCCGAACTCCGTGCTAAATACATAATTTTTATTACCGAGGCAATTTAGATCTTTTATGTTATACCAGTTTTTCCTAAATTCGGATTAACCCATAAAGCCATTGTTATCTCCTTTGCATCCTAACCTCACTAACAGAGCAATAATTACTTGTAATCAGTCCGTTCTATTTGAGAATTGAGGTTGATCCAAAAAAGAGAGGTTTATAGAGGTTCCTATAATTGATTAATCTGGTGTGAACAGCTCTCTAAAAATAAAATACTTCTATAAAATGATCTGTAGGGCCCACATACGTGCATCGTACACAAACTTCTTACGGCAGATACTACCGTCGCATGCATAATATATCGAGTCTAGCAGAACCCCTGTCATTCATCTGATCCTTCGATTCATGCATTCGCCGCAAATATGGCCCCAGTATTTCTCAAATGTTATAACCATGATCCATCGCGAAATCTCTGCTTTCGAGTCCCCGTCGCATCTCGCCTGCCTCGACTCCCCTCATGGAGTCCGTCTCCCCTTATGCGGTCTCTGCGACGAATCGAAGTGGCTTGATTGTCATCGTTGAAACCCTGTTTATGACGTGGATGATCATAGTGGGTTTGATTCGGCTGTACATGCGTCTGGCGATCAATGGGCCAGTCAAGCTTGATGATGTGGTAGTGTTTACTGGCAGTGTAAGTTCCTATTTGTTATGATTCCCCTCCGCCAACCTTCCCTCTTTTTCCCCCTAATCCCATCACCCCTTGGATGTTATCAACGTATCTCTAATATTGATCGGGTTGGACTTGCTAGGCAATGGCCATCGCCCATGTCGGAACAATCATGGATGCAATTTCCCATGGTCTGGGCCGATCAGAGGACGAAAGCTCGCTGCCGAACTTAATACGCGCTGCAAAGGTCGCCTTCCATCCCCCCGAACCCCCGAAACCGGCCTTCAATGCCACTTGAAGAAAAGGAAGAGAAAACCTAAGAAAACGGAACTGACGGATGTTGATTCAGGGCGTCTATGCAGCAAACCTCTTATTCCTAGCTGGACACGGCGCGGCCAAGATTTCCATATGCTTGCTTCTCAAACAACTAGGCCGGCAAAAAGGCTACTTACTCTGTGCCAAAGTTCTTCTGGGCATAGTCATGGCATGGACGTTTGCTTCGATTATTGCGGTTGCCCTTAGTTGCTTCCCACAAAACCAATTTACCATGGCCCAGCATTGTGGTAATATTGTGCGTTATACTTACTCACATGGAGTGGCCCAACTGACAAGAGAGAGCAGGGTATTGCCTGGAAAATGATCACTGCGTTTGATGTGATTACGGATGTCCTGACCTTTGGACTGTGTATTTTACTGGTCTGGGGGGTTCAGATGGGGTGGAAGCAAAAGTCGGCAGTAGTTTTTGCGTTTGGAACGAGGGCTCCGTGAGTGTCTGATATCGCAAAGATGAAGGTAATCAAGAACAAGAACTGCAATGGCTAATCAGTTTCTGCGATATTTAGGGTTGTCATCTTAATTATACTTCGCCAGACCTATCTGAACCACTCGCTTTTCCATCCCGACGCACCTCTGCATCTGTCGAATTCAATGGTCGTTACCGCCATTCTCCTCCACTGCAGCATTATGGTATCAACCGTGCCATGTCTGAAGCCGTTTGTCATTTCATTCAACACAGGATGGGGGCAGGGCGTCACAAACAGCAACGGCCAAAATTCATATTTCACACCTACTGGGAAGAGCGCATCGACCAACCAATCTCACGTCTACTCAATGAACAGAGGAGAGGGGGACGAGGTTGATCTGACTGCTTCCCGGCAGTCGCAGGATAGCCAGCACTCGCAACGTCTGATTATTCACCAGACGCGGGAGTGGAAGGTGGAGGAGGAGGAGTATGAGATGCACTCTATACAAGATCGAATTTAGGCTATAATGTGGATAGCCTCTTTAGAAAAACGCACCTGATTGGGATATGTAAAATACCACATTTCATTTGTAGGGAATGATAATTTAATATTCTGTCGAGCCCTTGCTGTGAAAAAAGTTTCTCAGTGGTTGCTCTTGGGATATATCTGTCAAATTTAGATAAGGAAACTCTTTCCCAGTGAGATTACGAGGGGTATAAAGCAGGCGACACCGATCTCGCGCTCCAGTAACCAAATTGCAATCCCCAACTCTATGATAGATGCCCATGCCTCATGCAGGTTCTTCAAATTAGCCACTATTCGTTCCACGTCAGTTCCCATTAATGTGGTAGCCGCGGAATCAGCGAGATCAGCCGCAGTCATGCCGATAGTCTGGTCATAGATCATAGAGATCAGACCAGACCGCATCATGGTGAGTAGACGATATGTTTGACGCCAGTATACGGCTTGGGAAACCTTTTGCAGTCGTTAGAAACATGCTGTGTTGGCAATACTGAATGAATACCTACCGCCAACCCAAGATATACCAGAACATATGCGCCAATGAGTCCAGTTCCATAATTCTTAAGCTCTGACTCTGATGAGCCTGCGATATAATTCAAAGTTGCTGTAATCAGAAAAGGCTGTACGAAGGTAAAGCAACTGTAGGCCAGGCGTGGGGGGATCGCGGAGACACAAGCCCATCCGTATGCACGAAACACAGCTTTGATTAAGCGATGATGACCGTGTGTGCTTGCAGAATTCCACGACTTTCGAAGCTTGCCGCCCGAGCATTGTCCTTGAAGATTCGTGTCAACCTCCGGAACATCCTCGACCTCCAGAGCTTCCCGATACCCTGTCTGTAGGGATGGCAATACCCAGATAAAAAGGCTTCGGCTCCAAAGACCGCTCTTTCCATCCGTAGCACCACAATAGTGATAGTGCAGAATCTTGGTTTTGGAACCGACTCAAGGGCCATAATTGCTACCGTCAAAAGGAAGCTAGCTAGCGAGAGATATCGACATACTCCAACGGATGGGATTAGCCATAGTGAGCGCAGCTGAGGCAGTCTGCAAAGGCTAGACGCTGAGAAATAGAGGATGAGGAGATCGGAGGGTTTCACAGATCGCTGGTCCTCCACCAACGAGGCGTATGATGCTGCAAAGGTTGCTATGATGTTGAGTATGGCTGCAGGCAAGGAAGCTCGCGTACGAAGGGCGGATTCCCTGGCTTGAAATGCCACAAAAAGAACTTGGAGAGCAAATAACACGGGGAGAAGGCACTTCTTGAGATCAGCCACAGTCGGGGGAGGTATAAGTCGGGACGTTTACTAGCTTGCAGACCACTAATCTGTGTGAATTGACTTTCACCGGCTCGTGACGGAGATAACAAAACCTTATAGGTAAAATCAATAAAAAAGCTGCGGCCGGCAGGGATGTGAAAAATATATCCTCAAATAAAAGAGTAAAGTCAAAGGCACGACATTCGATGTGGACACGAGGGCCGAAGCGATTGTCGTTCCAGTGACCAGCACAAGCTGGTTGCCATTGGTAGATACTTTGCGAGGTATACTAAATTTCAAAGGAAATTGGGTTGCATATAAAGATAGTGGCTTAATTCCATGCGATACTGCGTTGAATTATCTATCCCAAGATATAAAGCTACCTCGAGGGCTAACTCGGAGCAACCGCGACCTATTGCCTATTTAGGAAATACCAATTGTTGAACTCCGAAGATGCATAGTCTCTTCGTTCCGATCAAATATTTGTATCCATGTATTCATAGCCGCCCTTCTGCCATATGCAGCTATGTACATAATGCTCAAGCAGTTCGAGAAAGTGCACCCGTTATATACAGGATTATCCCCCCACGAAATCCGCACGAATAGCAGTCAATCGTTACACATAGAAAAGTCGTCGGCACAATTTATGCTTTTCATCGGCTTCGTGTACACCTTCTCAGTACACCCGAGAAGACATCAGAAATGACATATAAAAAGAACACCCAAACAACCCATCGGAGGGTTCTTACATATAACATCCCTAATTCTGACGTGCGACATCTATTCGAACAAGGTCGGCCCTTTGTACTGCATCTCAGAGGTATATACTGGATGTAATGAATTCAGGTGAAGTTTAACAAAGGGTCCTGCGTCCAGTGGATGTTGTCAAACCACGCCATAAGATCAAGATTACCGTTCAAATCACAACTGTCGAGCCAATTTTCAGACATATCAAGATCTGGAGTCAACGGAGCCAGTTGGGGAGATTCAGGTGAGAGAATTCGATCGAGCACCCGACGAATAAATCTCGCCCCTTGTTGAGCAATCTCATAACTCCCTTCGTGCGGCCGTACCAGGTATATCAGATGAAAGACAAAAGTATTGAGCTTTTGGATAGTAAGTGAACGAAAGTTGGCAGGTAGTGGCGCTGGTGACGGGTTCGATATCTGAGAGTTATGCTCCGATAGCAGTTTCGATGTCAGGATGCCTGCAGCAGGAAGACCAATATGGCATAACTAGAAGACGATGGGCTTATGAGAGAATTTCCATGGAGGTTTTGATGGGGGCCAGAGCAGTCTTACATCCCATGACATATTCGCCACTGAGTGAGCAGACTGGGTCAGCATGACAATAATGTCTAATAGCGTGGTAACTATTTCCAAGGAGCTTTCAATGAGACCTTGTGAGTTTATCCCAAGGCGCTTCAGCAAGATCCGATGTAGCAGAAACTCTTGGTACGTAAATTCCATGTGAGTGAAGGCGCGGCCCTCGTCTCGTGCAGATCTGTAAGTACCCGCTGCAGCTTGCTCGAGAGACCAGTGTAAGAACGACGGAAGGTCTTGTTGCGTCCGGCGAGATTCCTGGATCAACATTCTGTACAGTTTATTCGGGTCAGTCCCCGATATCAACATAATGTGAATCCATAATGGGCACGAACTCAACTCTGGCTGGAATATTCTCAGTTGTAGGGCTCAAAGACAATTCTAGGATACTTTCTCGCAACAAGCTCGTCAGTAGCACGACGCGAAGCCTGACTCCAACGGTCAGATTTCCTTCGGTGTTCCAACCATTTGCGTCGAGATTCTGCAGTGCCTTCTCTCCTTCGCTTCGTGAGAGAACCATCTTCTCACAACTTATATCCAAGGGAAGCGGAATAGTACAGTATCGGGAGCAGATCCGTGGCGGACGCCCCAGAGAGGTCGCTATCTGCTTATCTATTGCGTATGCACACACCATGGCTCGCTTTCGTACCTCCACCAAGAAGAACGGAAGGTTTTCTTCGATGTCTTCGCCGGATTGATGCAAGCCAAATGCGTAAACAATAGTAGATAGATCTCCGAGCTTTTGCCAGACCCTATAGTCTATGCGAACTTCAGCCATTTTCACTCTTTTCCAGTGGGTAATATTAAAGGGTGGTTACCGCTATTGCCAAACGTGGAAGTCAATACAACCAACTGCTGGGTTGTGAGCCAGCAAAAAGGATCACTAGTCGTTCCAGCGCCATTACAAAATTGGCAGCAAATATCCCCAATAGTGATGGCGATATTTCTGAGCTGGCTCTTTTCAAGTTTCCATGGGTTGCGGTGTGTGAATATCGGGTCATCGTCGGGTGTATGGAATAATGCTGTCCCCAACAGCGCGAAGAAAAGTCCAATTGTCTCCCATCTTGCCGTTATTGAATCAAAATACTCAGATAAACTCATTGTTGGATGCGTCCGGATATCTTTGGATGTGTTGACAAATATTTGACGGGACAAGCTGGCTAGTGTTGCATGGGTATCCTGAGAGTTGCGGACTGCACAATCATACATTTGCTCCATAGAATTGCACAAGGCGCGAGTCACGGGAGGACCCAAAAACCATCCTGGGAATATCTTGTTCTTCAATTCAATGATCTCATGGAACCAGCGGATCTTCTGCAGATGTGATAGGATCTGGGCCCCTAGCAACACCTGGTTGGAGTCGCTCGGTAAATAAGTTGTTGTAGGTACTGTCCCTGTTGGTAGGCTACCTGGTTCTTCGACCCGCAGGGTATCTTCATACTCACTGAAAATATCTTTGGGGTAGACCAGTCCTAGAAGTCCTGGTGCCAGAGTCCGTTTCTCCTTCGCAGTCCATCGCGCGATATGCTGGTCGCATAATGTATTTCCCTCATCTGTAACCAGTGGTAAACCTGACGAAGGACTGGGCGTGACTGTGCTGGAGATTCCGTGATCCAAACGAAAAACTAACTGATTGTCCGGGCGTTGCTGCCTCCTGGGTCTCCGCGATATCACCCTGGAGGCGCGTGCGCGCGGCTGGGTTAGTGGAGCAGGATGGTAGAAACAGCGTTCAGTCTGCCCGCTACTGAGACATCGACCGCAGATGGGACTTTGGTGGTCACATCGTAGTTTGGACTTCCGGCAAGGCTCGCACGATGACAGCTGTCCATTTCGACGAGGGGTTGTCATTTTCACCGAATCTATTGAGAGCAGGGAATTTGATCTTATCCGGTGTCGTGATACTGAGAAGAAACAATCAACCATGGAAGGCTTCGAGGTCAAGAGGTGAAATGCCTACTAAATATGGCCTCAGCATCGGACCTCGGCATCGGATCTCATTAAATTTCCTATTCGGGGAATTCCAGCACGAACTCCGAATGGACTGTAAAACAGCACTAGTGTTAGCGGTCATGGATCACTAAGCCCTGCAAATCAGCAACACCAACATTACCATTACTTCACAGATCAAAGTCTACTAGTAGCCTTGACAACTACGTAGTCTCGTACTCATCTTGTGTATTAACCTCGAATTTCTAGTACTTATCCTTCTCATCTCATGCAGCGGATGGGAAGCCCTGTTTTCCAGGCCCTATGGTCGTATGTGCTTGATGTTTAATATGACCCTATGTGATTATGCAAGCCCTCTTCCCCTGCATATCCCGCCTATGCCAATAAACTATATCTAAATATTATAAGTTACCCGGGCAAGAAATAGGCATCACTACTACAGTAGCTCTTCATATCATGCATATTTTCGTAGGGGTGGATATGAATTCGTACCTCCAAATATTTCTATATATTGCCCCGGCCGCTTCAGACCATACACATTTCGTAGGAACAGACGTGAATTGCACCTAAAAATGTCTATGGGTTGCCCGGGCAAGATATGTCCGCCAGTACTACAATACCGGTCCAAATAATGCGTATAATGGACATGAATTGCCCCCAAATATTTCTATGAGTTGCCCGAGCAAGTCACATATATCCCTGCTGCAGTGGCACTTTAGGTTACGCGTGTTATCTTTTTGTGGGGGACATAAATTGTCCTGGTGCTTCTGTTCAAGAAACTTCATTTTTCCTACCACAAATCTACCTTAGTATGGGCTCGGAAGTATGTTCAAGGGTCGGCTTTTCTTTGCTCAACTAACCAAGGGTAGATAGATCAAGGTATACGCTCAAGTCTTTTTAACATTAGTCGACTGGTCCGCGAAGCTGGCGATACAGTGAGGTCCTCTCATGACATGTCCTCAGATCTGATACTAAAAGTCCTGGGAAATTCCACATCTCATTAACAGCATTATAAAATCCCCCGATCAAATTGATGCTCTCCGTGAAGCATTTAGCAGCAAGTTAAAGCGCACGAGGAAAAGATCAGATTCTGAACTGGTCTTGAACGAACGTCGAAATCAAGCGGTCTGTCTTAAAAATTGGGTTTCCTTGGACGCATGAGCCCGGCCGATGAGCGGAGCACCTCCACGTGCGACGAAAACAAATGGAATTTCGTGTATGCCAAAGGCGCTGGGTCTTCGGGGTTCCAGCTCGGAGGTGTCCATTACTGTCGAAATCCACGGGGAACTTCTTAGCTGCTGCACTAAGATGCTTGGATGCCATGTAGGCGTTTTCATAGAGCTTTGTTCCATTTGGAGGACCCAGTTGCCATTATCCGTAAACCAGTCAGAGCAAACGTGGGCAAATGACAAATGGATTGTCGCAAAGCTTGGTTATAGCGACATTTTCAACGCTTATTACTGCCAAAGCCAAGAATCCCAAACTAATCCCATCATTTTCCCCTTTTACATCATTTGGTTACTATAGCATCAAGCATAGCAACAAATAAACATTGTCACCTCACCTACCTCTCACTTTCACACCTATTTAACAAATTCACGCACTCACACTTTTCTTCCTTTTACAACCACTCAATCATCCCAACTTTTGCAACACACCTGACTTCTCTTTCACAACGCACCTAACTTCATTCTTTACTACTACGCATACTACAAGCGAGAGGAACGTTAAATGGGAAAGCGCATCACAAAGAATTGGGATTGAGTCCCCCCCTTCTCTTCCTTCTCTTCCTCGGTCCCCAGTTCTATTTGAACCGATACTACTCCACCATAGCAGAGTAAGATGTTACTCCTTATCCACTTATAAAGGAGTTATACTAACGATTCCAGCAATCGCCTAATTCCAACCCCCTAAATTCGACGCGGGGCCACCCAACTTCCCCTAGGGCACTGGGCCCGGCTTGCCCGCACTCCCCCGTGGCCCGTTGCTTATCGCGGAGATCTCATTTTGTCGCCACTACTCTAACTTTTTGACCAACAGCCCGTCCGCCGGGAGTTGGTGATCCGCGAAAACCTCGACTAGACTGGTATGGACATAACTAAGAGCATTGCGGCTTCGCAGGGTTGGAGCTGTTTTTATTTTTACGATAGGGGATATTTGCCTTGTCCGATACACCTACTGCCTGTAAGGGAGCGGCCCGTTCCCTTTCTGCATCGTTAATCGGCAACCCGGCGCACGCCCGGACTGCAGTAACTGTTGGTGGGCCTACGGGCGTAACCGCCAATGCTCACTTACTCGGCGAGGGGCATATACGTATGCGGCCTAGGTGGTGCCTCGTGGCCTGACCCCAGCTACCCGTGAGAATAACGACCAACTAGGCCCAATCAACCAGCAGCTTGAGGCCCCACGGGTGTTTAGCTAGGAAGGGCTAGCACCCATTCGGGAGAATTTCAAGGCTCTTAAGGGGGTTATCGAGTCCCTGACACGGGAGATCGGCTTAGCTGAGAAAGACACACAATGCGTATTCTATCTCCCCCCCATGTGGGAGCTACATGGATTATGCCGGGACTTTTTGCCCAAAGGAGCACTTGAGCCGAACATAACAAATGAAGAACTTCCATCAATCATTTTAAGGATTCCCGAGATAGATGTAAATATAGTCTAAACCCGCCAACGCTTATAGAAGACTCGCGAAAAGGCGCGTTCCAAGAGAAGAATATGAGGTGGGTTACCATCGGATTGAGGCTTACATCTCCACGCTCCAGCTCCCATGGCTGTATAGGTGGAAATTCGGCTTGGTTTTCGTGCTCTCGCATATAGCAATTCAACGCTAACCCTAACTTGGGCTTCCGGACACAAACATGGATTCAAGGTATTCCAATTTAGGCCAATCCATTTATAATACCTTCTCGAGGAAAATACGCTTATTTGAATATGAATGCCAGTTTGTCTTCTTTCTCTAAGATGTAACGCAATTGAAGGGTTGGAAAGTGGGCCCATGAATATGGACTTAGACGGTTACATTTCATACACCTGTTTCTATTACTTCCACGATATTATTAGCATCTAGAATTAGTTTCCGTTCATGTAGCCATATTCTCATTCATCCTCCATCGTTCTTGGTAAGATGGCCGAGTTGGTCTAAGGCGCCAGGTTAAGGTATACCTTGACTCCATAACTAGAAATAGTTTCCTGGTCTCGCAAGAGGCGTGGGTTCGAATCCCACTCTTATCATAACTTTTTGCTTTTTCTCAGCCCATCTCAATACAAGGCTTTTTCTTAACTCACTTGGGTGATTTTTTGATGTTTGGGTGGAAGTGGGTGGTGGATTGAAATTTTCGAGGTTGTGCTGTAGATCTTGAGATCGGAGTCTACGAACTTGGTTCTGTCTGTAAGTTGGCCATAAGTGAAATTTTTTTTTTATAGATCCCACCTATATTTTGTCTACTATCTCACACTGGCTCTCACTTATAATTTTACATTTGTTCTCCTTCTGGTTTATTCTGTCCGTTATATATTATATGTTGTTTGATTTTTATAGATACAGCACTCTACTCGAAGAGGTGATATATCTTGTTTGACTACCACGACTGTGACTGACCCGACTGACCACTGGACTAAAACCAAAAAAAATGGAAGCCATGTAAATCTAGTATGGCCTGGAAAAAAAAGCAAAAAAGATATGATAAGAGTGGGATTTGAACCCACGCCTCTTGCGAGACACGGAGACAGTTGTGTACCATCGGGATCAGGTGGACCTGAACCGTGCGCCTTAGACCAACTCGGCCATCTTACCAATCGATAGAAGATCGATTAGATTCTGGCTGCATGAAGGGAAATTATTCTACGCATAAGCTTTGTGCTTTTCGAGTCCATAATGTTGTCGAGGCTTAGACCTCGGCATATAATAAGGCGGCTCATATAATCAATTATTAGTTAAGGAGCGATGAAATCACTCTAACGTAGTATATAAGATAGCAGACTATGATCAATTATTCTATATATAGCATTTTCATCAAGCATCTGCAGGGTACTTGTTCGTATAGAGCCTCCCCGGGGCCCGCCTTTAAATTCATCAACATTCCAACATCAGCCTTTTCAGTAGTCTCTCACTTTCTACGCAATATATGTGTATTACGCCCGGTTCTCGATCGTTTACTTTGTGTCGCATTTTACCTTCTTGATTTTTGATCACAATACAGCAGGAATAAATGGCCGCCCAACCCGAACCCGATATCGTTTTGTACGACTTGGCCTGCACCAATAACGTCAGCTTCTCACCCGTTGTCTAGCGCATTCGCCTCATGCTCAACTATAGGAATATCCCTTACAAGGCCGTCTTCCTCGGGGTTCCAGATATTGAGCCCACGCCAAAAGTACTGTGTGTTACATTTACTTTCTTTTTCATTTCCTTCTTTACATCTATTCTCCTTGGCTTCCTTTTCCTTCATTTCTATATCTAGACACGCAGCTTCAACACCTTATATCACACATGCTAACCCTGGATCCTCAAGTGGCCTAGTCCCGGGGCAATCCGCATCAGGATCCAAATACACTGTCCCCGCAGTCCATCATGTGCCAACCAACACATAAATTATGGACTCACTCCCGATCGCGCAGTTCCCAGAGTCAACCTACCCAGACCCACCCGTACCACTAACATCGGAACTTAGTCGCGAGATCGAGACCAAGGCACGCAGTGTGCTCGGCAAGGCCATCTACTCCTCAGCGATGCCACACAAAATCCGCATCTTGTCGCCGCGCTCGCAGGAGTATTTCCGGTGCATGCGCCAAGTCTCCCTTAGACATCGTCTTGGGTATCTGCTTGATGGGGACAAATAGGACCAGGTCTGGAACGATGTTAGCGACGTTATGGGCGTTGTTGGTGAGCTAGTGCGGACGCACAAGGCAGAGGGACCGTTTGCGCTTAGTTCCCGGCCAAGCCACACTGATTTCTTCATTTCCGGGTCCCTTCATTCTACTAGAGTGGCTGATGAGGGGGTGTTTCAGATGATGATCAGATAATGCCACTCCTGGGTTTGGTTATATATATTGGTCTTACCACACGACAGTCCCTCGACTTACGTATATCGTGTTGAAAATCCAGGTTAACCCTCAGTAATTAACATGAAGATGTCAACTCTAACCCCAATTCAATGTGCTTTATGCACTACGAACCACTATGTAATTCTCGTATACCAAGGATTTCAAACTCCTATAGAATCGAGCTTAGCGCCGGCGATGTAGTTTGCCATCTACAACACCAATTCCTGTATACAACCACCGTTCCGTTATATTATAGGAAGTCATTCCAATTCAGGCCACGTTTAATCAATAGAACCCGGGAGAATCTAGCACTCAGTGCTATCACCCACTTATTTAGCTCTTTCTTTTTAATTCCACCACTCTATTTCTATCATAAATTCATCAATTAAGGGATTCTAGGGGAAAGAAGGAGAAGAAGCAGCCTATAAATGTAGGATTCTTTCTATATATAAAGAGATTAGACGGTTTTATAATTCCTTTTTTTTTTTTTAATACTTCCTAGTATTACACTTTATAAGAGGTACTCCTTTTTCTACATGCTATATGTTTCCTCTATAATCTATCTTAATAGGTTATAAGCCTAGTCTAGCTCTATCAGCCGGGATTTTTGTAACGAATAAGATCCTTACAAATGGAATACCCAAGAACAGGTGATATGGGTGGTCCATTGGTGGATCGATATCGATGATTTCCTGAATATGTACGCTGCCAACTGATTTTCTGATACAGACCTTGATAAGTGCTTCCCATTATTATATGCACATGGACCCGCAAGTTAAGGAGTAGGAGTGGCAGCATGATCTGGTACGGAAAGCCCTAATTTGGGTTTCCCTTCGTGTAGCCATATTCTCATCGGTCTTCCATCGATTGGTAAGATGGCCGAGTTGGTCTAAGGCGCACGGTTCAGGTCCACCTGATCCCGATGGTATACAACTGTCTCCGTGTCTCGCAAGAGGCGTGGGTTCAAATCCCACTCTTATCATATCTTTTTACTTTTTTTCGTTCCTAACTCACAATAATAATGGAACGGAGATGCTATGTTGTGGGTATTCTTTTTGTTGGATATGTAGGTATAGTAGTGTGATTGATGTACGGACGCAGAGCAACAACACAATGCAAATGGATGCAGAATACACTAATAACCTTGGAAAATTAAATATGAAAGGAGGACTGTAAGCAGGTAAGAGAGGAAGAAAAAGAAAGCGAAAAGCAGTGTATGAAAAATGAAATAGCTAATTGAGTATATATGCACATCTATAGTCTAGTCCTGCAAGGAAGACGCGAGGAAGATGCGAGGAAGAAAACCAGAACAAGAGAGCCCCTCCCCAAGCCATGAATGACCCAAAGGTAGTAGCACACCAGAAATCAATCAGAATGTTCAATATACTACAATGTACAGACTGGTTCTATGTACAGTTCCTGAACCGAGCCCGCGAAGAGTTGCCAAATGCCAGAGTGAGAACACGATAGAAAACAAGAATGAATAAGAATAAGTGTTGGAGCCACTACAGCTTAGCCTTGGGAGCAGACTGCTCCTCGACGGCCTGCTCGTAGAGCTGATCCAAAAGGGAACGGTAGAGCTTGACGGCGGGGGGACGCTTGAGCTTGAGACTATAGAAGGGAGAGAATGTTAGCAATGCAGCGATTACGGAGGTGGAAATAGAAACTTACGTCGGGGTCAGCAAGTTGTTCTCAACGGTGAACGGCTCCACCTTGAGAGAGACATTGCGGACTCTCTCATAGCCAGCAAACTTGTGCTTCTTAGCCACGCGCTCGAGGTCACGGAGTACAGCACGACGGATCTTGTCATCGCCCAGAGACTCCTTGACCGCTTCGAGGTCCGTCGGGGCAATGGTCCTGCCCAGAACCTTGCTGGCAAACGGAGCGAAGAGGTCAGGCGCGACACCGAAGATGCCAACCAGGAAGGTCTGCATGCTATCGCCGTGGATATAAGCTTGGGCGATGTAGCCGAGCTCGGCAAGGACAACACCCTCCAGACGCTCGGGGGAGATGTACTCGCCCTGGGCGAGCTTGAGCACGTTCTTGCGGCGGTCGATGATGATGAAGCGGCCTTTTTCATCGATTGTGCAGACATCGCCGGTGCGGAACCAGCCATCCTCGGTGATGGCATTGCGGGTCTCTTCCTCGTTCTTGTAGTACTCGCGGAACATGTTGTTGCCGCGCAGCAAGAGCTCACCACGGGGGAACGGCTTGTCATCCACAGAGTACTCCATGTCTGGCAGGGAGATCAGGCATGCCTCGGTACAGGGTGCGAGGCTACCGCAATTGCCGGCGGTCAGATCGTAAGTCGGCTGGGCGGTGGCTGAGGCGTAGGACTCGGTCAAGCCGTAACCCTGAAGGATGTCCATGCCGGTAGCAACACGCAGGAAGTTGTGTAGGGTCGGGTCCAAGGGCGCGGAGCCAGACACCATGTATCTGGCTCGCTCCAAACCAAGAGCGGCAGTCACCTTCTTAGCCCAGAGGCGATCGTATACAGCGTGCCTGACTGTCGCCTTGGAGGGATCGGGGTTCTTCATGTTCGCGGTTTTGGTCGCAATGATGTGTCGCGAAAGAGCGCCCTTGAAGCCAGGCTGCTCGACTGTCGCGGAACGGATTGCGCTACCAAATCGACTGTAAAGACGAGGAACGGACATGAAACCAGTGGGCTTCAGCAACTTCAAATCGTCGACCAACTCTACGATGTTTCCGTGGAAATAACCAATCCGTGCACCACCCCAGAAAGCAGTGTGCTCTGCCAGACGGGCATAGATATGGGCCAGTGGCAGATAAGAGGCTGCCGTATCACCTCGGGCTTGGCCGATAGTGATCAGACCGCAGGATGTGGCGGCCACAGCATTGCCGTGCGTCAGAACGACACCCTTGGGGGGACCGGTCGTTCCGGAAGTGTAGTTGATAGTTACAATGTCCGAAGCAGAAGGAGGATTGTATCCGCGCTTCGAGGCCAAGCCCAGCTCCTCAACCTGATCGATAGTGTAGATCGCCAGGCCCTGACCGGCGGCCATGGACTCGAGAATGGCACGCTTGGAGTGACCGTCCTGCTCACCACCATCCAACGGGTCCAAACTGATGATGATCTTCAGGTTTGGGAGAGAAGGCTTGAGCTTGAGCAGAGTTGGGATATGGGGTAGAGAGGTGACAACACAGCTTAGCTCAGCGTGGTTGATAATATATTCGGTAGCGTCTGGGGACAGGACATCGTAGATCGAGACGGAGTAAAGAGATTGGGACACGCAAGCCAGATCTGTACATAGTTTCGAGTTAGCGTCTTATCTTTCAAATTCTTCGCCCTCACGACCTAACTCACCAGTGATCTGCCATTCTGGCCGGTTCTGGGACCAGAGACCGACACCATACTGGCCAGAGCGATGGCAGTCGTGCTTGTGGTGGAGCTCTACCAGACCAGCACCGAATGCGGCGCGTCTCTTCTGCACAGTCTCGTAAGTGAGCCACTGGTATTCATCGAAGGACTTGGTCGTGGAGTTATACGGACGCCAACCAAGGCAGTGGTTCTTGGGCTGGCGGTTGGCGGTCGACTCGAACATATCATGGGCCGTGGTGACCTAAATTCAGTAAGTATTAATATATTTTGGTATTCGCGCGCGAGCCTCTGTACCTGGGGGTCCAGTGTCGTCAAAAGTTCCTTCTGCGCATTCCATGCTCGGTATACCCGACTGCGGCCGGGCTGTTCAGTGCCGGGAATGGCGACAGAGTAAGCTACACCCTTTGGAGGTGCTTGCTTGAGCTCCTCGGCCTTAGCCAAATGGGGAGGTTGTGAGAAGAACATGTCTGTAGGGATAGCGATCTATGGGTCAGCGAGGGAATGAGAATAAACAATAGGACGACGAACCAGAATCTATATGAATAAGAAAAAAGAAAGAGAAAGACAGGCCCGAGTGATCCGGATATTAAAGGGGGGACAAAGTGTGGGGGAGAAAACTGGAGTTGCATGAAAACCGGAGCAACCGACTCTTTTCGGACACGAAAGACATGAGCCGACAGGGGGACCTCGGCTGTTTTGGGGGTACTTGCCACAGAGTGGTGTCTCACATACTGGCTCAGGTACCGGTAATTGTGGAGCCTGCTTACATATCCCACGTCATTTGCTGGACAACTCACATGCACTAATTTATTTTCACATGGACCGAGATACATATACATACATGAAATGCGTTGGGATTTAATAAGATATATAAGATATATAAGAAATATATTGTAGAAGTATATATGCGTTAGAAAAAAAAGATAACACCTATAGCATATGCAAAGAAAATAAAATATATACAGTGAGATCGGCAGTCTCTAATTACCCGCAAATCCACTTCCATGCCTTGCCATACCATGTAGTTGGCTCAATGGTCTCCCATGTCTCGTTATCAGCAGTGGTACGGCCGGTATCCAGGTCGGCCTCAATGGGCTTGACAAAGGCGGGGCGGTAGATGATCTTGTGTCCCGCATATAACACCACGAACAAAATCAAGCTCAGGTAGTTGATGAAGAACTCCTTGACTTGGAAGTGCGGGATGAAGGCAGTGAATCCCTGGGTGAGGATGATCAGACAATTGAAAAACAGACCATACCACGAGAACCAGGGCTGCCAGAGGGCTTTGTAGGGCAGGATATCCCGAGAGATGTTGCGAGCCCTAAGCGCCCGCTGGAAGGCAAGGTGACAGGCGTTCAGCGAACACCAGGTGATGAAACCAGCCACACCCGAGATCTGGAGCAACCAAGTGAACACCGTGCTGCCTGCATCAGAGACGTTCAAGAATCCGAGCAGACCAAAGGCCGCCGTGAAGAGCACACTGTAATAAGGGACACCACGCTTGCTGGTAATCTTGAACCAATGAGGAGCGAAACCTTCCTGGGCCAGACCGACCAGGATACGGCTCCCGCTGTAGACGTTGGAGTTGGCAGCCGAAAGCACAACGGTCAGAAGAACGGCGTTGATGATACCGGGGAGAGCTGTGACGCCGGCACGGTTGGCGGCAATAACGAACGGCGAAGCGTTGGCGTTCTGGGCAGAAGCACCACCTCCCTGACTAGCCAATAGACCGGGGTCATCGGAGGGCACGACAATTCCGAGGAAGAAGATGGTCAAAATGAAGAAGAAGACGATACGGAAAAATGTTTTGCGGATTGCAGATGGGACGGTCTTGCGGGGGTTCTCGGTCTCACCGGCCGCAATACCAACCAGTTCGGTTCCTTGGTAGGAAAATCCGGCCTGAATGAGCGTCGACCAGAATCCAACAAACTTGGCCAACGAATCGTTGCCTTTAATCAAGTAAGGGAAGAACGGACCAGGGTCCACCCAGTACCGGAAACCGATATAGCCTTCCTTACCGACGCCGGCATTCATACAAATCGAGAAGATCATGAAGCCAATCACGGTAATAACCTTGATACTCGCAAACCAAAACTCGATTTCACCGTAGAAGCCAACGGGCATCATATTGAAAAGGATAATCACGACCCAGAACACGGCGATAAAGATAGCGATGGGGATATTGCTGTCCCAGAACTGGATGATCAACCCGGTTGCGGTCAACTCTAGCGCAAATGTTGATGCCCATGAGAACCAATAGATCCAACCCATAGCAAAGCCCAAACTAGGGTCAATCAGGCGAGCAGCATATGAGGTGAAGGCGCCAGGAATCGGAATATATGTTGCGATCTCTCCGAGAGCGGTCATGACCGAGTACACGATCGTTCCAACGAAGATATAAGCGATGAGAGCACCCACGGGGCCTCCGTGAGCAATAGCGGTGCCGCTACCAATGAATAAACCGGTACCTATTGTGCCACCTTCCAAGACTGTTAGTTCAAATATTCTGATAAGATTCTGCTGAACAATATCATCCAACTCACCAATGGCAATCATCTGTAGATGTCTGCTCTTCAGCTTCCGCTTGAGATCCGGCAGCGGATTCGCCTCGCGCTGGGCTCCATGCTTCTCATAGTCGATCTCATAGTCCGGGATCTGTGCTTGGACTTGCACCGGCATTTCGGCGCTCGTCTTTCCCTCTGACTTGTCCGGTGCCATGTTTGCTGGGCAAGGGGAGCTTCAAGATGGGGGGATAAAAGAGGAGAAAGAAAGGATGAGACGAGTATCCACTCAATTAAGCCAACTCCGAAGACAGGCTTTTCCTCGGTGGAGACACGCGAGACTACCACCTTGAGGGGAAATAGATGTTATGTAAAGGAAAAGAAGAAATTGAGGGGAAGAAGATGGGGTTGGATTCTACATATTATATTTATCTAGATTAATTCTATTATTATTCTATTCCATTATTCTAATCTTTATCTTGAAAATATCAAATTTTCCTCTTTTTTTCTCCAACACCCGGAGTGGGCCATTTTGCCGGGAAAGAGTTTTCCTTGGTGGCAACTCTCTTCGCCCCCATAGTATAACATTTATTTTACTTTGTATAAAGTATTTTATATATTTTATTTGATATTCCGTTCTCAATCTAGACTTTATTGTATGATTTATTATATGAATGATGCTTATCATCCATGGGTGGATAGCTGTAGCTCAATGAGGACGAAAACCCTACGTCCACGGGCGTGTTGTATATAGACTACATGTATATAGTACATTTTATTCCATCCTATATATCTAGTTCTCCTGTCTATTACACCTCTATCTTTTCAACGCATCATGGCTGAAATAAGAATCTAGTAATTAACTATGTTGTAGCCACATACTTGGCAGTGGGTCTGGCGGAGTCTGATGCCGTTTGCGGAGATAACCAGATAACCTTGCTAGTCATAAGAATGACATTAGACCTTATGATCTTGAAATTATTGAAATTTGATTTGGAGAAGAATAACATAGGCTACTAAAACAAGAAGAATGCCATAAGTCGCTATCAAAGGGTATCGCATCCTAACACCATCACGAACTACAAGAACTATGATAATATTCAAAACATCAACAAATATTCAATCCAATGGTATCGAATGCTTTCAGGATGATCATAAAGCAAGCACTTCAAACTCCCATTTGCACATTCGAATGTGTTTTCGCTTCTCCACCGCGGCGGTGGTGCATAAGATCGAGAACACCGAAATAGCTGGTGACTGCAAAAAGCAACCTATACACCACACAGATCACAGTTAGCCCTCTGTCGATGTACAATGTCCTAAAACCAAAACTAAGAGAGGCACAAAATTCTCACCATTCAAAAGCCGCAAATACCGTTGCTGCCTGGAGCGAGCTGCATACACTCCCATGACACCACCTCGGTGGGGGCAACATTGCTCCCATAGCGATAAACCCGGCAAACCAGAAGATCATGGTAACCACTTCAACCGCAGGAATCACATAGTGGTGCGCAAGACGCGGGAACCATATTGGTGAAATGGCCAGGTAGGGCACTGCTACAAAGGCAGTCCAGCAACCGAGGAAGAGGAGGAAGTTGACGGTATCCGAGTATGACCATCCATAATAAAAGGTTGAAACCACTAGAGTTCTTGTCAGTTTTCATGGATTTTTGAGAATTTGTTCTGAAGCGACAGACCATATCCTGTCAAGCCGATCACAATCACGCCAAAGAGTGCTTGCACGACTCGGACGGGGTATATCCACGGGAGGGTCATCTTCGATAAGATGAAGATATCGATGTTGATGTAGATGTAGATAAGATGTAGGTGTGAAGGTGTGAATATTAATGCAAAATATGTAAATTTATCTGCAGGTTTGCGTCAGAAAAGACATTTTGTAGGAACCTCAAGCAAGGTATGACAAGGTATAAAAAGGTGCAGGGCATGGGTCAGCCACCGGCGTCGCGCCAGCGTCATTAAAATATTTGCAGACTTGGCGGTTTTGACAATAGGGCTGACGTAGGGGCTTATTTCTACCTTGAATAAATGACACTTCCGGTTTCTCCTGCTTTCTTTGACTGGCTATTGTTGATTGTTTGGTTAATTTATACTGTCTAACACGCCTTTTGATGTCCTTAAATTACTGCCTAGACACTGCATCGTCTTGTCTCTATTTATACATTCTGCCTTGCTTTCCCTTTTTTTGCTGCCTATAGCAAAGTATTCAACGCTAGTCTCGTGTGTTCTTGGCTAAAATGATGCACGTGAAAGCCATATGACGCCAGGCTGCCGATCATTGTGGAACTTGGAAGTTATACATTTACGGAGGACATCTTATAACATTTGATTTAATTCCACTTGTCTATCCTATCAATCCTATTAAGAATGATGGCTGACCAAAGGATAAAAAGATAGAACAAAAAACAAAAATAAAACATTATGAAAATGCACACAAAAGGAGCCTTACAAAAGATACGAAAGATGGCGTAAAATTGAACAAATGCGAGATGTTCCATCTCATATCTAGTGTTATATAGAGACAAAGACGAAGACACTGTTTATTGCATCTGGGACTTGTATTCATTCCTATTGTGGCTGTGTGAGATTTTGAAGGCCAAGCTTATGCTGGTTTGTCCTCACAGACCCCACCCATGGATGAGCAAGGTAAGCGGTTAGCTATCTACAGCCCCAGAAACCACCGAAGAATTGACAAAGGAGCATCTACAGCCCTAAAGGGAGCAAACATTGCTACGTATCATATGTCTAAAGACTCGCAAAACGAGCATGTAGGTGTCATTTGTATCAATTCGTCGCTCATGCGCCTGTACAGATTTATGCAACCCCAATTACTTCCCAACCTCCATAATATGAACAAAGCAAATCAATAATCACGGAAAACCGCAACCATGTCATCTAATCGAGATACCTCCGCCAGCAGCAAGGCTTCCCTGGCCTTCCAGTTGCGAAGGTGTTCTAATTCAGCTTCCGAGAGGAATTCTTCCTCATGGCCCTTGACGTCAGTCCGTTCTGTCTTCTCGAGGAAATCTCTCTCACGGCCACGTTCAAATTTGATGCGTTGCAGGCATCGTGACATAGCTTTGTATGTATCCTCCAGAATGCTGCTGCACACACGATCCGGATCGTAGTACCACAGGTAGATTGTCTTAGAAGGCTGACGCTGCGCATCACGCGGCACTTCCTGCAAGTCTACAAACCCTCCAGTTTGCATGCTAGCAAGCGTCTGGCGTAGGTCTTTGAAGGGCAAGAGACTGATTTCCTGGAGTCGTTTCTCGTCAAGCTTGCCCTTGGCATGCAGGACGCGGACCACCCGCAGTGCCACGTCTCCGTATCGCGATTCAATCATGCGCTCTAGTTCTAAATGGCGAAGCTTGCGGGACAGGCCTCGGAATGCAACTCGCCACGTAGGGAGACCGGAGATGACGTGTTTTGTGGTAAGGTTCAAGGGAGGTTGTGAGAGAATACTAAGGTGCTGATCGATCTCGTAGGCGCGGGTCTGCCCGCTCGGTTCGTCTTCATGCTCCTCACCATTCACGCCATTCGTGTCATCATCCAACGGTCGTTTTCCGCGTCGGTTTAACACTGTCGTGGGCTCCATCGGGCCAATACATCCTGCAAGATCCAGATGCGGGTCGACATCTTCCACGATTGCGCTCAGTTGGATTGGAGCAGAGTATTGTTCGCCTTCTTCTCCTTCGCGAGGAATCTCATAAGAGTCTCGGCAGCGGGCTGTTTGGTATTCAATGCGCTGAAGCAGACAGTCGTAGATCTCGACTGAGGCGGAAGATGCGTCTTGCTCAGCAAGCTCAAGGAACCGCGTGTTTCGAAGCGCCACGTCGAGTTTCTCGTAGTTCACCCGAACGATAAGGTTAGACTGTGGTAAATGTTAGCGGCTAATTCGAAGCCGCGGTAAGGAAAAACGAAACGAGCTTACATCCATTGGGATTGAATCAACGCCATCTTCATCTTCGGACCAATCATTATCCTCTTCCCTCTCGTCTTCTACATGGTCCCCGTTGACACCGTTGGCGCCATTCGGCTGAGTATTGGACTCCGAGTTGCCGTTATCGCGTTTTCTTTTGGCGCCTTGAGGGAGGCCGTTGTATATTAGGCCCCGGCTCAGATCTCCTTCGGTTCTTTCCTTGACCATGTCCTTCGCCTTCTCCTCAATCTCTGTCGCTTGCTGTTTGCCCTTCATTTGTTTGACATCTGGCCTTGATGCGACGATTCGGGAAGCATCTAGCCAGTTATCGTTTGGGCTTTGGAAGTGTGCCTCTCGAAGGCGATGGATGTATCCGTGGGAGGCAAGACTCTTCAAGGTGGGGTGAAGACGTGGCGGTTTCTCGCTCACAACATGATCGCCGTTAGGAGCAGCGGAATCCTCTTCTTTTTCCTCATCTTCCTCGACCTTAGTTTCATCGTGGCTGACCCCATTCGGAATGCGCTGCCTCTTGGATTGAAGTTCGGGAAGCGTCTCGAGGTGAGCGATCGAGGAGTGACCGAGGGTCATGATTGCTTCCAATACCTGGGCCGCGTATTCTCCCAGTCGAGTTTCAACAAGCTGGAGAATCTTTCCAGATCGCACGAGGGAGTATGCGGCTTGTGGATTAGCTTCGTAGTAGGTATTGCCGTCATCGAGGGAAGTGAAATGATAGATCAAGTGGTGTTGGATCATAGCGGAGAGGCCATGGTGCAATTGGCGATCAGTCAGGCGAGCATAGAATCTTAACCGAGGGAGAGTCAGTCTTTCGTAACGTTGAAGGACGGTAAAGATGCGCTGCGAAAAGTTGACTAGTTAGTCCGGTTCCTTCCCCGCTGTCGCAAAGAACCACGACAGCCCTAGAGTCTGCACAAGATAACTCACGGCAAAGAGCTCTCCAAAATTGTCTTCGATCAAGAGCATACAGAGCTCTGCAGAGCACTAAGTTCATGTCAGTATGTAGCTCTCTCGAGGTTAGCGGGACAGTCGCATACCTGGGACATCATGATGGGCTAAAGATATAAAAAGATTCACCACCAAACCTCGAGAGGGGCACTTTAGGGTCACCGAGTGTTCATGAAGATTTACAAGCTAGCAGAGATCTGCAAATCCAAAAATCTAATGCGCGATGAGATGCAGGTCTTCAATGTTCTTTTGTTCTTTTTTTGCTTATCGGGTATATTCACGTGACGTGGCCAATCAGGTGATCCAAATGCCTCATTCGGAGGAAACGTGTTCAGGTAGAGACAATGAGAACAATAGAGATGTTGAAGATAATCCAATGGTTGAATAGCAGTAATTGATTATTCAAATATACTCAATTAGACTATAATAACAATTAATACAAAGACAATAGACCCCCTTCTATATACTCGCAACAAAAGTAACTCCGGTTCCGTCCGCGCTTTTGATTACTTGACCGCTGATTGGCTGGAGTGACGAGTCGGGATCTTGAAGCTTTTCGTGACCTCCCAAACTGCCTCTTCCCTCTTGCTCTCTCCGCATCCCACCTCCTTCCCCGCCTCATTTGCGCCTCTTTACAAACCCAATTCGGGTTTCTATCTCTTCTTCTTCTCTCATATATTCTCGGCACAGGCGACGATGCTGTCGCGGTCTTCCCTCAGCCGAAATGCGCCGCGTGCGTTCGCCGCCGGCCGTCGGTCCATGGCCTCCGCTGCCAACCCGGCCTTCCAGTACGATGTCTCCGAAGCTTCCGGCGTGAAGGTCGCCAACCGTGAAGTTGAGGGTCCTACTGGTACCCTGGCCCTGGTTGCAAAGGCTGGCTCCCGTTACCAGCCCTTCCCTGGTTTCTCCGATGCTCTCGACCGATTCGCTTTCAAGGTCGGTTCCATGGCATCAATTGATGCATCTCAGGTATATTCAGTAATACTAATCATTCATTTCTTCGACAGACTACCCTCAAGCGGTCCGCACTGCGGATCACCCGGGAGACTGAGCTGCTGGGCGGTGAAATCTCGTCGACACACTCGCGCGAAAACATTGTCCTCCGCACCAAGTTCCTCTCCAAGGATCTCCCCTACTTCACAGAGTTGCTGGCCGAGGTTGCTACCCAGACCAAGTTCGCAGGTGAGTCCGTCCCTTTTGATGAATGGTGGTTGGTGGAGCGCAATTATATGAGCATCCTTTGCTGACTCGAACCCCCTCGATGATATCAGATCACGAATTGAACGAGGTTGTCAGCAAGCTCCTCAAGTTCAAGCAGCAGGCCGTCCACTCCAACCCGGAGACCGTTGCTGTCGATGCCGCCCACGGTGTTGCTTTCCACCGCGGTCTGGGCGCCTCCATCACCCCCTCCCAGACTTCCCCTTACGAGAAGTACGTCTCCGGCGATGCCATTGCCGAGTTCGCCCAGAGCGCCTACTCCAAGTCCAACATTGCTCTTGTTGCCAGCGGCCCCAACTCTGCTGAGCTCTCCAAGTGGGTTGGCCAGTTCTTCAAGGACACCCCCTCCGGCAACGCCTCCAGCAAATACAACGTTCTGCCCTCCGTCGCCTCCAAGTACTACGGTGGTGAGCAGCGCATTGCCTCCAAGATTGGCAACGCTGTTGTGATCGCCTTCCCCGGTTCCAGCGCTTTCGGCACCGCAGGCTACAAGGCCGAGGCTTCCGTTCTCGCTGCTCTTCTGGGCGGCGAGTCCACCATCAAGTGGACCCCCGGCTTCTCCCTTCTGTCCCAGGCCACCAAGGGCTTCAACCAGCTCCGCGTTTCCACCCAGAACAATGCCTACTCCGATGCCGGTCTTTTCACCGTCACCCTGTCCGGCCAAGCCGACCAGGTCGGTGCCGCCAGCAAGAACGTCGTCGACGCCCTCAAGAAGGCCGCCGCCGGTGAGGTCGCCTCCGAGGACATTAAGAAGGCTATTGCCCTCGCCAAGTTCCGCGCTCTGGAGTCCGTCCAGACCCTCGAGACCGGTCTTGAGGCTACCGGCTCCGGTCTCGTCCACGGCAACAAGCCCTACCAGATCAACGAGATTGCCCAGGCTCTCGAGAAGGTCTCTGAGCAGCAGGTCAAGGAGGTATGTTATTTCTATCTCCGCATTGTTGATGTCATGATGCTAACAGTTTCCTGTAGGTCGCCAAGACCTTCCTGACTGGCAAGGCCACCCTTGTCAGCGTTGGTGATATCCACCAGCTCCCCTTCGCCGAGGACCTCGGTCTGACCGTTTAAAATCCCTGTATACATTACACCGTAGAGAGGGAAAAGCTTGTTCCCTTCATTTTGGATTTGATGTGACCACTTGTGCCTAGATTCATTGCCGATATCTCCTTTGTTCTTTTAAGGGTGTAGTTGACTGTAATACAATTGTACCTTATCCTTTGTTTCCTTTCTCTTCGGTAGACTTATGGGTTTCCTTGGCTTGTGATGGTCATGATCCTGGGATGAGGTATAATTTCATGGCAAGGATCGATCATTATTGCATGCTCCATGTATCTATACCCTTTCATTGGTTTCCCTGCGCTTCCATTTTTCATAGCAAAATACCTGGGTTTTGACCGTATAACTCGACGGAATGAGATGAAGATCTAGGTTTGTTATTGTTATATATATTCGTCCAAGCTCACTATCAGCATACCATTTTTGGTAATTCTCTCACATGTAGAGGAGATTTATTCACCAAATGGCCGAGGCTAAGATTTGACATTGAGTTGATCATGCTCACGCCTATGGATCGTGCCATCCGCAACACAAATACATTATTCTACATACTGTATACATGGATCATTCCTAGGATTGTCTATAAAAAGAGCCGATCCAGCAAAACGAGTCCTGGAATTCGGCAGGCCAATTGTAGATTTGATTGATATAGATAGAAGTTTATTGGGGCTACATCCTACTTTGACCACATACTTCACTTGTATCAATGTAAACCAACAAAAGCAACAACCACAGTTCCACCAATCACATTATTATTGTGACTTAGGAACCAAATAATAAAAAGCAAAAAGATATGATAAGAGTGGGATTTGAACCCACGCCTCTTGCGAGACACGGAGACAGTTGTATACCATCGGGATCAGGTGGACCTGAACCGTGCGCCTTAGACCAACTCGGCCATCTTACCAATCGATGAAGGAAGCACGAGAGTATGGATTTATGAAGCCAAACAAAGGTCGCTGGATAACTACAACCACAGATGTGGAAGGTAGACCGGCATAAAGGCTAATGTCAGAGCTTGTTTTTTGTTTTAAAAATAGAAAAAAAGTTTAAATCATTGTGTTATATGATATGTATAAGGATCCTGTCCGATTTCAATGTTTAACTGTTGGTTAGCTGCTATAGTATCTGGGAATGGCCGGAAGAGAAATAATGTAGAAATTGAGCTAAGAGAATAAAAGGATTGGAGAGAAAAGGCAAGATAAATCACTTATCATAAAAATCAAATTTATCATCTTCATGAAAGTTATCCCTGTACGACTATGCTACGTGTCCCAAAACTGCACAGAGAATAGTCCCAGAGCCGGAAGACACCGAAAGAAGATGAGCAATGATCTCCCGGAGGATCAAGAACACAAAAGCAGAAAGACAAACCCATCCCGTAGGAACGCTGCAGACAAACTACATATGTAGAAAACCATAACTCCATAAAGCCCATATCACATATTCATCCCCTCATTATCATACCGGAGTCATCTCATCGACCTACCGTTCCATAGTTCCACACCAGTACTCAACCCGCAAATCCGAAAGACTGCGCGTGGGCAAACCCCATGTGCGCGCAAGCCATAGCGCCAAGCCACCAACAATCCCTACACTCCCAACAATCTGAACAAGCATCCAGCTCCGGTGTCCGAGGTCGTCAATCCAGCCAACCACGCCGAGCGGGTCATGTGGACTAAAAGTCGCGAAGCGATACGCTCCGGAACCGGCATGTGAGCGCATGACCTGGAACCCGCCAGGGTTCTTCTCGCCGATGGCGCCATGCAGCCCACAAAACCCAGGCGTCTGCGAAAGAGGCACCAGTGAGCCGTCGACAACACACTCGCCCAGCCGCTCGGTGAGCCATACAGCGCGCTCACCGCGAGCCAGCGAGGTGTATCTATCGCGCTCGTTCTGCAAGCTGCGCTGCAGATCTGTCGCCCACTGGGCAAGGCGGACCTGCGCCATGCGCTCCTCGTGTCGGGTGTAGTCTGCGATGCGGGCCATGGCATAGCCGGGTGGGGAGACGGAACGCCAGCTGCTAGATGCAGATGCGGACCCACTTGCGGTAGGACCCGGCTGCACACTAGGTAATGGCATTGAGGGTGGGAGTGAATATGAGTCCGTGCGTTGCTGGAGGAGTTTCTTTGCAGCGGAATGGCGCATCCAGGCTAGATTGTCGCGATCGAACATTTTGTTGACTAGGGCGTCTAGTTCGGAGGGCACGAGTGGTTGAACGTAGTCTGGACTCATTAGGGTGCTTGCATCCATTGTTTCAGTGTCGACTGTTTTTTCGGAGGAGACCGCATATGGGGGTTGGGATTCGAGCCCGTCTAGACCGTTCGGCGGGTCACCGAATAGGAATGGTTTGATTCCGGCCTCGCGCGCTTGTTCGTGGAAGCGAAGTTTTAACTCGGTAATTTGAGCTGGGCTGAGGGTGTCTGCTTTGGATATTATTGGGATTACATTGCTTAGCTCGCAGAGCTTGCGGATGGATTCCACGTCTGCTGAGAGGGTGTCTATACGCAGAAGGTTAGCGACCGGGGGTAAATTTTGGAGGTACCCCTCGGAGACAGAATAGAGAAAAGCCTACCATTAGAAATCAAATATAAGATTGCATCCACCTGGGATCCACCATTCCCGGCTAGGAGGTTTTGAAAATCAACACTAGACCCACTGAGCGCATTGGTAGCACGGAAGAACTGTTGTCTCATATACTGCCCGATAGCGTCGCTTTGACCTGCCCGGCTTAAATTTGTTGCGAGTGTATCCACGAAACAGATATTCCTCTCTAGCACACTTTCCCCGACGCTTTTCCGGCGCTGGAGCACGCGCGAATCTTCCAGATCAGACCACCATGGAGGATAAGGTTTGGTGCTAGCATAAATTTCCGTGGTGGCAGTCAATGTCCCCCGAAATCGGGGCCGGGAAGGTCTGCGTCGTCCCAAAGAGGTCACTTGTGGAATGGTGTCGACATGTACGATATCGTCGCATGTCTGAACAATAGACTTGATCAACGAGGTTTTACCAGAACCTAATTTTTTAGACAGTCAGCTGCTTGTGTAATTCCCCCTGAAACAGTTGAAACCTACCAGGAGCACCAGCTAGAAGAACCTTGAATCGACCCATGGCTTTTCCTCGCTCAGTGAACGGTCGCCGACTAGGCATTTTGATACTTGGCATGATAAGCTGGGAGGCCCCACCTGGGGCGAAAAATGGAGACCCATGGGACATTTCGTCCTCATCTCCAGATCCGACAGCCTGACTATTGATTTCATCCGTAATAGAGATATCATCGAGCGGCCGCAAGGACTGGTTGGATATAGATTTAGGGCTGCTGGGCAGCGAGGATGGGTCATCGGGGATGCCCAACGTAAGCGGAGTTAAGGGCCGAGACATTGCGTGAATGGCAGATGCATGTTCAGAGGGTTCCTCGGTGTCTGAGTTTAGCGGCTTCAGTGTTGACCGGCGTTGGGCGAGGTGCGATTCTAAATCGTCGGTTGCCTGCTTCAGGTTGTCTGCGGAGTGATCGCGGGGCCAGGATGTGAATTCTGATTGGGACAGAGAGGCATCTAGGCTTTGTACTCCATACATATTCTCTTTGACATCCTCGGGGCTATCTAACGATATACTGGAATCCTGATCCGCGACATGTGGACTGCGCGATAAGAAGAAGGTCGCGGGGGTTGTAGTGCGGGGATCGAGGGATGGAGATGGGGGGTGGTCGGAGAGTTTGCGAGAGAATGCGAGGTCTGGAATAGGTCTCATTATGAAGGCATTTCTCATATGAGAGGAACTGAACAAGCTTGGAGGTCAACAAAGTCACAAAGCCAGGGCAAGTCTAAAGTGATCATGTCATAACATTGCTCAGGTAAGCCATCACGAGGTGATAAACCCGTGATAAACCCCTCTTGATTTCTGCCTGAGGTACCCATGCATGCATTTACATTTACATATACACATGGGAAACCTTGGGAGTTGCTTATATTTAATTGATATTCGAGTAAGTATTACTTATTACGTATTACCTATTGCTTCAAAATAAAATATAATATCATATAAATCTCCGGAACTTGGTACGTACTTTGTATCTCCACTGTGGGTTAATCGGGAGAAAGAGAAATGGACGGAATACCTATACGGAGTACTCCGTAGTAAGCTAGTACTTTTTTTTTTACAAGGTTCTTTCTGCATCTATAGGCACACGCGCATCTAGCGCAGAAATAAGACTAAAAAGACTAAAAAGGTGCAAAAAAAAGCAGACCACCGTAGTCCTCACATCCAACACAGTGGCAAGGTCCCATTGCCGACCACGGAGTGCCGTCTCCGCCCCGTTGATTCTCCACTTCGTCTTTCTTCATTTGATTTTCCCCCGAGTGCCCTGATTCTCCCTTTCTCCGATCTGCCTAGATATCTTCTCTGAATGTTGGATGTTTCTACTTCAACACCTAGTTCTATCTTGGCCTGATTGGCCCACCGCAATATCTCGCAATATCTCTTCTCTCTCGACCTGATAGGCTCTACTGAACATCTGTTATTACGAAAAAATAATGGAACAACCAGCCATGTCGTGGCCGGAGCAACTCCATGAGAATAATCTCATCACTGCGCCTGGTGAAGAAGAATTCTCCAACTTGTTCGAGTTCAACATACCTTTTCCCGAAATCGAGCACGGACCAGGGGCAGGGAATATGCAACATTCCCATTCTCTACCAACCACCACCGGCCCGGACTCGGATATGGCTCACCTACGATCGCATGCCGTGCAATACTCGGGCCAGATGGAGGGACTCATGGATTTCAATGATAACACACAGTCGCACACACACCACGGCCACCCAATGCCTTACTCGACTCCCCATATGACGCCAGGCTATTGCGCACAGCAACCATCGCCCATGTCGCAACCGCCTACCCACCAACATTACATGCAGGGCCACAACATGATCCCCCCCACCCCGAACAGTATCGAGATGCATGGCAATACCGCCCGATACCCCCAGCGCGTGGACGAAACCCCGGATATGTACGACGGATATTCGCGCATCAATGAGGAACAGGTTAGTTCAGACACAAATCCCAGATGAATCTGCTAGCTAACGATTTAAGGCTCTTTACACTCCTCTTATCTCACCGGCTATGACGCCCCTGGAGAACCAATTTCGACTCCCCGAATACACAATCCCCGGCGAATACTTCACACCTCTCACCTCTCCCGCGCTAGAGGCCCAAAACGCCGAATCCAGCAGTTACCAGTACCATGCAACACAGGTATCGGATATGGGCTTCGTTCCCACTACTGCGGAGGTGAACCCCCTTCCCGGGTCCTCGGCTCCACCTTCTCCTAGTATCATTCGGAAGCCCAACACTCGCCAGCGGCCATCAACGACCGCTAACCGGCTCAATAACACACGGAAAGTCAAGCAATCACCCATTATTCGGGCGCAGCGCAAACGCAGCACCTTGGCTACCAATTCGGAGGAGTTCTACAATAGCCTGACCCAAGAGATGAACTCCACGAGGCCGCAAAATCAGGACATCCGCTCACTCCAGCTCAGCAGCAATGAGGGCTCTGGCCAGGACTCGGTATCCCCCGAGCCATTATCAGAACCGATGATGCCCCCCGGCTCTTCCTCCCCCTCGGATGTCTCCTGCAATTGCCCCCCATGTTAAAGCCTCTTCGCCCGGCACTGCTGCCACCCCTGCGCTCTTGATGCGCATCCAGCGGAACCAGCATTCGCAAGACCCGGCAGGCCAGTTCCGCGGTCAAGCGCAACTCGCAGAGCCTGAGTTCCCAGATGATATAATGGAGGATATATCACTTCCAGAGGCGGCCGCTCCTTCACAGCTGCGTCCGAAACCCAACCGCATCGATACCGCTGTACGGACTCCGTCGATCTCCACGAATGGGACACCTTTCTTGGATCCTTCGTCTGCGACGTACGATAAACCTCGCAGTGCCTCCCTTGCTCCCAGTCCACGCACAGCTGCAATGCCATCCCCCAGTGGACCAGTCCCTCGAAAATCAGATCCCAGGGCTGCGTCTAATCGGAAACGACCCAGTTTGAGTTCCACCCAGGCCAGCCCACAGTTGCGGCCCAAGATTAGTCCCAGCATCCAGCCACTTATGAAAGGCAACGAGGGTGAGTCTTAACCCGAATTGAATTTCATAGCTGTTATACTAACTATATCCTAGGCATGTCACAAGATGCGCTTTACCTTGCATCAAAGTCCAACTACCAACACATTCTCGACGGCACTCTGCCATCGGGTGTGAGCTATCCAGAGGCTCTGGCAGAGAATTTGAGCTCCAAACGCACGAATCACAAGCTCGCAGAGCAGGGACGCCGGAATCGAATCAACAATGCGCTCAAGGAGATTGAGCTCCTCATACCGCAGGAGTTCATTGATGTCCGCAACGCCAAGGAAGCCGCAGAATCCGGAGGCAAGGTCAACGAGAAGGAAAAAGAGAAAGAAAAGGCCAACCAGGCCATCAGCAAGGCCACCGCCGTGGAGATGGCCATTGATTACATCAAGGCCCTGAAGATGACCCTGGACGCAACCACTGCCAAGTTGGCTGCCGCCGAGGCCAAGCTGTCGGGCGAGCCCTCCAAGGAGAGCTGCAAGGAGAGCTCAACCTCAACTTCCACTGCTCAATCTGAGAAGACCCCGAACGGTATTGCCAAATCGGAGACGAAGAGCTTGGCATGATCAGACTGTATTACCTTAATATGACCAGGTCTTCTACTTGCCTCCATAGTGACGCAATCTATGGAACGATGGAAGATTAGAAAACGGGATATTCCCTAACCGCGGGTGGAGGTTTCGCGCAATTGTGTTATGGATCTATGATATATGTTTTATTTTTTAATGCGATTTGATAGCGCCGGAGTTGAACTACGAGGGTGGCTCATTTTTGCTTGTACTATTTCTACTATTTCTACCTACTTGATAACCACTGCCATTTCTTCGATTTTCTCTTTGTGCTCAGACTTCGTATTTTTTTAAGTAGAGCTAAGCATCTCTACCTCAATCAGCACGCTAGCTTCATCCACGTGTAACCCTGCGCTGTACCCCTCTAGATTGTTTCTGCCCCTAAATGTACTGATCTCGATGTGACTGTTCATATAATATATTTGCTACTTTATAGCTACATGGCAAATACACAAGCGAACCTACTATAATTAACCCAATCAATGTTAGCCTTCAATATATATGTACCCTTGGACCTCTAAGGCTAAACTCTTAGGTACCCGCCAAACTGAATATGAAGCCACATATGTAGCTCATAAGTAGAAGCGCATTGCTGCAATCTTTGAAGACACATACTAGGGCCTAGCTCGCGGTTATCGAAAATATGGTAAAAATGTGACCTGGAGGGAATACAAGGCGTTAGAATTGAATCGAATATCAGAATTGTGTTTCCTGTTTCATCTGTTTAACATTGGGTTCATATATATTTTACATTATGATAAAGCCTCCCTAGTGGTAGACTTGCTAGTATCCCTCGTGGTACCGTGTATAATAGCGACAGTAACTATATGTTACGTACATGCACTCAGTGGAAAGCTTGCAACGTGTACTCGAGGACTTAATAGTCTCCAAAAATCATTTATTCTGAGTTATCACGCTACAGAAGCTCTCACAAGCATATCTCGTTCTATTCATATCGCCATTCCCTACTCGTTCTCCCGAACATCAATAACGGTCGACTTGAACTTCCGAGCAGAAATCTTGCGATTGAACAAGATATCACTTTCACGGTAAGAGCGGCCCTTGAGCTCAGGAAGGAAGAAGTATGCCGACACGAAGCAGACACAAGCAGTGCCTCCCCAGACGTAACCACACTTTCCAGCAAGATTCCATCCAGTAGGGTTGAGCATCTGCGAAGCGAGGTAGATCATGGGGATCTCGGCGACATAGTACGCGGCACGACCGACACCGGTGCTCAAAGCGCGAAGACGAACAGAGGAGGTCTCGGCAATGATGGTGTATGAGATGGGTCCGAGACTACCGGCAAAGACGAAGGAGATGAGAATTCCCAGAATGGCTTGGGCGTAGTTGGTCGCCTTGTTCTGGTGGATAGAGGCGCACACGCCGAGGAGCATGAGGAGAATCACGTTGGTGACTGTGCCGCAGAGATAGATGGTTCGGCGACCGAATGAGGAGGCCAGGGGCAAAGAGATTATGTTGGCAACCAATTGGAGACAAGAGTTGATTAGATTGAGCTGGAATGAACGGTCAGGTCCCATGCCAGCCTCTAAGTGGGGAGTCAGTTATGTGTTCCAAGCGGTTTATAATTTAGCCAGAGAGGGGATGAAGCTACTCACGCTCAAAGAAATAAGTTGCCTGGTTGGCAATCAAGTTACCGGCGAAGTTCTGCGACGCGTAGATCAAGCAGGTGATGATTGTTCGTCTTAAATCGGTTCCCTTGAGGAGGTCGAGGAGAGTTGGAGAACCGCCCATTTGAGCTTCGATCTCGACGGTTCGCTCGATCATGGCAAGTTTCTGCTGAGCTTGCTCGCGGGAGTCACTACCAAGACGCTCGATAGAGCGAAGGGCCTCTTCTTTGCGTCCGCGGCGAATCAGCCACCAAGGTGATTCGGGGGCGAAGAACAGGAGGATCAAGAGGGGAGTCTAGAAAGAGTCAGCGCCTGTAAATGAAATGTTTCAAAGGACAAGGACTCACAGGGAAGATCCACTGCAAGGCAAGAGGCACTCTCCAAGCCCACTGATCGTCGCGCTTATTGTAGCCGTAGGTTGCGGCGGCGACAATGATTGAACCGATGGACCAACTCATTTGCAGAGTAGCTGTGCAGGCACCTCTCAGGGAGAGAGGAACAATCTCACTGGCATAGGCGGGGGAGTTTGCAATGAAGAATCCCCAAGGGACACCTTCTAAGGCTTGACCGACCACAAGGAGGGTGAGTGAGTTGGCCTAAGTGGGGTTAGAGAATAGGCTCAAGGCTTGACGGGTGGCTTGCTCACAAAGAAGGAAACAAAAATCGTGGCGTTCATTAAAATCAGCGCGAAGATCGTTGTAAGGCGGTACCCGTACCGGTTGGTAATGGGACCAGCCAAGAAAACTCCGACGAAAGCGCCACATTGACCGGCCTGGAAGAGGGAACTTTGCCATTTGGTTGGAATAGTCCAACCGTGTCCCTCGACCCAAACACCATACTCCTGTTTAAAAGCACCAAGCGCGACAAAGTTACCATTCAGGAACATATCGAACGACTCCATGACCTGATTGGGTATATGTATCAGCTGATATGATCTCGAGATTCGGGGGAACTGGGGAACTGGGGTGATGAACCCGAAATGCGGGGGAAAATAAATAAATAATATAAACTCACAATAGTGAAGCACATGGTGAATCCCCATAAGCAAGCCCAGGGGTGGCTCTTAATGGCCATCCATGTAGACATCTCATGTTCGCGGTTCTCGCCATCGAAGGCATCGTTCATGAGATCCGAATTGACCAAGACCTCGGATTGCTCAATGCCGGCCTTCTCGCCATGCAAGTCATCATTTTTGTCGATTGACGACATTTTTGGAAATCCTCGTTATTTCCAGGTCAAAAAGGGAATGAGAATCAAAAGTCCGGGGGAAAAAAACGGGCGAGCTGGGGGTCTTATATCCTTTGGCCCCATATGCGCGTGTCCAGAGCTGAACGGTATCCGCGTGATACGTGGATTAATTCTGCCATCCGAGAGCTGGTTAAACAAGTTAGCGATGGGCAAGCAGGGGTTTTACCCTGTCCCGCCGGGGTTTTACCCATTTCCCGAAACTACGGTTACAAGAGACAATTTACCCGAAGCTGGGCAGGCGCCGAAGCTAATGGGCTGGAGGCTTAGTTGCGACTATAAAAGGTTAGCCACCGCTGGGGCCATTGGGAATCGGCTGACCAGAGGATTGGTGGCGTTTCCGAGTAACCGGCTTGGGAGCGAAGGCCGGGGGAGGGGAGTTTAAATTGCAGTCTGGGCATCCAACTGGTTAGGGATATGTGGATCATGTGACTATGGGGATTCCCCCATGAAATCTGGATGCGGGGCCCCAGACCAGAAGGGGAAATAAGAGAAAACACAAGTTCATTGAAGTGATTGGTTCATTGAGAAAACCACACCGGGGGGCGGATACGACATGGCAAAAGAATGCAAACGACCTCGTCTTATGAACTATCCCGCTTATAGACTAACGTTAACGCCACAGTCTGATCGGTTAAATGACTGCATATGGTTGCATGCGGTGTTATTATTCCAGTAAGATCATCCCATGGCCGGTCAGAGCCCATTATCACCTGCACATTTTCTTGGATGGCACTACTTCTCTCACTAGTGGGATGATCAAGATTTGCGGTTTGCTGTTTGGGTTATTGTGAGATGTTGAGAGCAGATCGGAGATCTGCAAATCTCGAGAAGCTTGGACACACCGGGAAAAGCATATCCCCTTACTGCCGAAACTCAAAGAAACTACTAGTAGTGATATGAAAGCAGATGGATCACAACGATGGATACGCATTTGCGCCCTGTGGTTCGGTTTTTGAATTTACAAAACAACAAAAAAAAGTTGGGCTTGATATGAAAACATCAGTGAAATACTCAAAACCCAAATTCGGCAGCAAATGTCGAGTACCTTTCCTAGCCATGGGCTGGTAGGGGTGATTGCTTCATCATACACTCATATCTTGCTCTGGTATTGGATTTGACCTGATAAACCACGAGAAGATCATCTCAAAAAACACTCCAGATTCATGAGTGATAGTAGCCTCTCTCGTTCTCTGAGTAGTTGCGCTCACTATTAAAGACTGTAAAGATCACAGGCGTTTTGCTCGCCAGGTCACCAGGTCACCAGTTGGTGGTACTTACTTCACTAGTAATGACTAGTAAATTTTAGAGAATACTAGGTAGATCAATTCACGTGATAATTTCGATAGATGTACCTTTGACCTCACCAGGTCACCAGGTCATGGTAACCCCCATACCCTACTAGAAATCACTGGTAAATCCTTACTAGTAACTCACGACCTGGTGACCTGTTGACCTGGCGAACTCCCTATTCAAAGATCACGCAGATTACCCGATCTGGCATGGTGGCCAACGTCAAAGTAACAGCAGCCACCTCGAGGGAGCACAGAAAATGAAATTGTTGATCCTATCACTAAGCTGATCACCTGTAATTTTTCGACTAGGAATGTGTCTATTTGCCTTGATTTGCTCACAACATCGAACGACTTCAATGCATTAGAAATCTTGTTCCCAATAATATTCCCCCGGAATGGACTTCACGTGTTACTCAGCCCCGTCCCGAATCTCAAAATATATAGTTGGACATATATCACATCAAGTAATTTAGGTAGATAGGCCCGTGGATCAGCTTCGAAACCGATGCGATGCACTTCACGTCCACCAAGAATCAGATACCAATCTCCTATATCTTAGTATATATCTTAGTAGCTGCCGCACTCAACCTATCAGTGAATAAGCTCGTCTACGTTGGGGACGAACAATTTGGCTTCTCATTCGACTACCGTAATTACCTCTCTGCTATCGAATCGAGGACGCATAGGGGAGTAACTAAACAAGGTTGCGGATAAGCTACCAGATCCGGGCTTGAAGCGTGTCAATAACAGCGCTGCGGGATGAAAAGCATTATGCACGTCGGTTTTTACTAGAACATGGCAAGGGTTATCGGGCATATCTTTGTTACTATTTACGCCATCGAGAAAAATGGCTACCTCTAGGGCACGCCATGCCCTACCAACCGTATTCAGAGAGAACGGCCAAGCCGTGTTTAAGTTCTATTAATCAAGCATAGGGCTGTGGTGGATCACAGTCAAGCTTTGCAATTCCCGATGGGGACTGCCACTTCTGCGATGCAGATTTGATGTGTATGGTTATTGAACGCCTCCATTATGAAGAGGCCGTGGTCAAGATTGAATCTAACAATTAGGCGAAGAAGCCATTGGAAATATTGTAGCTGAGCTCGTATTCATTGATTATGAATATGTTTTCGGTCTTAGACTTCTTATACTGCTTCACTGCCTTAGTGATATGGCGGTATTTCTAGTTAGCTCTTCACTGATCTATTTAGTTTCCTGCTTGAGATCTAGAGTTCTCTTAGGACCTAGCTACTATAACCCTCCGATCACATTCGTAGTCACTATACATCCATAATATATTTACCGGCTTCCAACCGAAATCAAAGATGTTAATTCATTTAACCAGGCATTATTAAGAGTATAAAGAAGACATTTTCAGGGATTAATGTAGATAAAGTTCAAGATAACTGTGTATATTGGTGTTTCTATTGAAAGAAAGGCTTTATTGTACCTGAATATTTTGACGAAGCCAGGGCCTGTTCCAAGAGCCAAGAAAAGTGATAACATACCAAGTGGCAAGGTGCTCTCCATGTTGTAGCTGTACAAAGTAGAGCGGTAGGGCTCAAGCCCCACACGTGATCCACTTCGATAAACCGATTTTGACTTGACTTCATTTTTTCCTCCTCCAAGATGACTCCTTAAATAATGAATGTCTGGAGTCCTTCGCATTCCTCAATCATCAGACTGATACAGTTTGATTGGAGAAGATGATAGTCCTGGCACTTGTACATACAAAACCAGGTGGAACCCCCCAAGCTGAGACTTGGGGTTTGGGACTAGGGTAGATGAGTATAGAAACTTATAATGTGGGGAGTCCTCGACGGATTTGCGACATAGGACCTGTGGCCCAATGGTAAAGGCGCCGAGCTTATGTAAACATCCCGCCGGGGAGTTTTCATGCCCATTCCTCGGAGATTCGTGGTTCAATCCCGCGCAGGTCCACTTTTTTTCTCCAAGGAGATATATATGGAGCAAGTTTAATAAACTAAAATATAACGATGAATGGAAGATGGGATCTTTTATGATTTTACAAAAACATTCCTCTTGATAAGTTCTATTTACTTCAATGTTGGTGAAAAAAAAGGCAAAGTCATACAAGTAACCAACACACCTTTCGTGGTGCTTGCCCCACTCAACAATAAACTTGAAATTAGGTACCTTTTGTATGGCATTCCCATACAAAAGTACAAAGAATACAAATCACGACATCTCTTCTTCTCGACCCCCTACATAGGCAGAGAAATCATAGCCCTGGAGGTCTATACATGGCACATAAAATTTTAGCTATGTAATTTGAGGTTGGAAATTGATAAAAAAATACTAAGTATACTCAAAGTAATAGAACATTCAAGTTCTACATGCAATCTAGACTCAGGAGAGGGACACAGAAAACGATTGAAGTTCATCCAGGGGCCAATCCACATGTACAGCTCCAAGCTCCAGAGGCTCTTAGATCTCCTGGGGCTTGAAGCATCATTGGTAACAGTTTTTTCGATTATGTAGTATTCTTCAATCGTTCAAGTTCCTCTTTATATTATGGTCCCAGCTCCGCTGCCATTTCTTGTATGTGCCCGGTGCTTCCACCCGATGTGTACCTGGGGCCTCGGCCAACTGGGCCCCTCAGGCCTCGACTGGCAAACCGTGCTGATATGCCATCAACGTTTGACACAGCACCGGCTATATGACTATTAAAAAACCAGCGACTCATATGGGGATGAGAATGGGCTTGGCTCACTTTGCGCTAGCGGGAAATCAAAAAATTGAGCTTGAAGCCGGGGTAGGTATTGTCAGGTTACTTTCCATATTTCCACTGGTCTCTGTCAGCTGTGTTCGTAGCCTTAGATATGCGCTAGCTAATCTCAATTGCTCTGCCTCTGGCAGTCTATCTTTGTTTGTCATTCGTATCTATCGTAATAAAACTCCAAATTGCACATTAATTCTCGTACTGGTGTGTTGTATCAGCGCCCCAAAGCGTAGTAGAGCCATCGCTATTCGTCGATGCCAGCATAGTACCATCAGGCGAGAAGGCCATAGATCGGATCCGATCATTGTGTACAATCGCCGAGAGTTTCTTTGTTGCTTCGATGTTCCACAAGCTGAGATTTCCACTAGATAAAGATGGACCGAGAGATACGGCAAGTAGTTTGCTGTTAGGAGAGAAGGTTAAGCACGTGGGGTTCCGCATGTCGGTCTCGATCTTCAGCACAACACGTCTGGTAGAAAGCTACAGAATACAGATCTGTGCTCTGTTTCTATTGTCTAGATATGCCAAATACTTCCATCTATGGGGAGACCTATGGTTTTGCTCCCAATAGGTAGGTTGAAAGTACGACCGGTGAGGCCCTGGCCAATACCCAGCATCCGGAATTTGTCCAAACAAGCAAACCAGATAGACTTCGAATCAGGAGAGAAGCTGAGATGACTTGATAAATCTTTATCTCGAAAATCATGGTTGCAGGTGGCCTTGCGACGTTTCGATCCCCCAGGGGCGTCTTGGACAATCACTTTATGATTGAACGCATAGGCGATCATTGTGCTGCCTGGAGAGAACACGGCAGTATGGGGGTAGTCAGAGAGGTTGGTGTTCCCGACTTGTGGGTGACGGCATCCCACAGCTGCAAGTAGCTGAAAGTACCACATGATGCGATATATTTTCCGTCCGGCGAGAAGGCAATACACTGTTTCCCTTTTAACCCTGGTAGCTGGGAATATGATGAGGTATTCCGGAGTCTGATGATCTCCTTATTCCCGGCCATGGCTAACACTCTGCTGTCGGCTGAAAATGCAACTTTCCCTGTGCAGCCTCGGTGAATAAACGTATTCAACGGTCAGACCACGCCGCCGCAAGCACTGATTGTCTGACAGTGCACTGCAACATCCAAAATTTCCGTAGATAGAGCACCCCGCTGGCCATTAGGCTTTTGGTGGAGGGAGTCACCCAGCGTAAGCAAAGGTTCTGTATCCCACGACCTGAATTCCGACACAAATTCTTCAGTCATTGGATCAATTGGCGACTGAGAGCTCGCCTGTGTAGAGTTAGACATCTGCCAGCTCGGGGCGTGATTGGGAATTGGTCTGAGCCATTCATGCAAGATTGCGATCTCAGTCGGGGGCCTGTCCCATGGGATAGTACGCATCAACGAGGAGATAAACTCAATGCTGAGATGAGTTGCGCCAACATCAACAAGCGGCCTATTTGGGAAATGCTCGATGTTTGGTGCATATTCGGAAAGCTGTTCGAAGCTCTCGAAGACAGGCCTCTTGACAAGCATGAAAAACAGTGTCGCGCCAACGGCCCAAATATCACGAGCATAAGGAGTTCCCCACTCGGTGAGTCCATAGAGCTCGGGAGCTATATACTCAGGTATACCCTTTAACAGAGTAGACGCTCCCGATGCTTCTTCAACACGCTTACTTAACCCAAAGTCCGACAATTTGACCCATCACATATTTGGTGGGTGTGACTTGATCAGGATATTCTAGGGTGGACGTTAGAAGAAAATAGGGGGGAAGGCTTTTCTTCTAGAGATGGTCATTAACTGACGTTTGGCTTCAAGTCTCCATGAACAAATTCATTCCCATGCATCATAGTCAGTCCTTCCAAAATCTGAAAGGTAGTCGTTTTTGCTTCGGTTAATGTAGACTTACCCACAACCCACTTTTTTTCATTGGTTCTAGGTAGTATGTATGTCAGACTACATGTATGATCATTCCCTAGGCGCTGTTTAGGGTAACTACAGCATGTACTAGAGCATTTTGAATTGATGCATTTCGACGTCTCGCACTCAGTAGACCTCCCCTGACAGGCTATGGATTATCGGGATCTATTCAACCTTCCTCTTTACATTAAGTTTAACCTCTAAGCACCTCCCTCTTCGAAGTGCCATCTTCGACTTCGGAGCGCCTCTCTCGTCGACGCCCCAACCGGCCAGGCTACCACCTAGGCAGTTCATACTTGCAAACGGCTCAACTACGTGCCCCTTTCCTTCGACGGTCACTATCTCACCTACACGCAGATCTTTCACACTCGTCACGCGCTACAGCAACAATTTGCCCCTGTCCTTCGATGGCCACTCATAACTTCGTGCCTATCCTTTGACGCACACCACGGCTTCAGTAACCCACTTCTCAGCGCGGTCACCTCAACGATCCGCTTCCTTATGCGGTCAAACCCCCTTACCCTTTTTAAAGCGATTATCCCGCTTCATACGTGGCAATATGCGTTCTTCTTCTACCGGCTTCGTAGAGCTCGAATCCTCACCGGCGAAAGCACACCACACTTAAGTGCGCTCTCGACACTCGCGACCCTCACCTTTTCGAGCTCCTTGCCGTTAAATACGCCTAACCAGCTTCCGAAAACGCAACAGCTCCCGAGTGGACTCGCAAGTCTGGTCGCCTCCTTTCGCACCTTCACGCTGCAATTCACACGTCTCTTGAGCCCTGTATCAACACTGTTTATACCTCAGAACAGGCTAACGCCGCCAGCACGGCTAACGCAAACACCGTTATCACCAGCTACCCCATCGTCAGATACAATGACCTGTTCAACAACAAAGGCTTCAATTCGTGGGGAAATGAACAGCGTCAAACTCTATGGTTTCATGTTTGCGGGGGTGTCAAATCCTATTCTATAGCCTATGTAGTCAGCTTTCTCAGCTCTTCAAGTAACTTAGATTTTGCACCATGCACTTCGGCGTCCCACTCGCAGTAGACCTCTCCTGACAGAAGCCCAGTTGCAAGACAAGATCGAGTTCCTCTAGAAACTGGCTCGTGAGATTGAGCAAAAGCTTCAGTTTTTCAATATGATTGTCCATGGCTAGTTTCCAACGTTTAAATTTAATAAAAGTAATGGTGCTCGGATATTGAGAGCGTTATTTGTCATATATTTAGTAGACGGTTTGAGTCAAACAAATTGTGCCTACTATAAATACTTCCTGCCCCGTCTCCTCCATCTTTCTTTCTCTCCTCTTCACCCTCCCCAATCTCACGCTTGCGCAAGATTGTTCATTGTCACAAGGGTCATTCTTCAGTACCTTTGCATGCCTATGGTAGCAGCGACCTCAAGAGGCTATACGCTAGGATACTAATGTACAGCCAACTAGCCTCACTTTGATCATTTTTCATCGCACCTGCTACTTGTTGCCTCAGGTTTTGTTTACTATAAAAGCCCACCCTTTACACCCCGATCCCCTTTCCCTCTTCAACCTCTCTCTCTCTCTCTCTCTCCCACTCTCTTCAACCTCGTTTATCTTTTTCTTTACCACCCCAACACACGCTGAGGTTCGTGTGATCTGTTACCTTTCACCCTTCAATATTCACGTGTCTCCACACGTCAAAGTAACCTCTTCACGAAAAAGGGTTGAGTCCCCTCATGTAGCACACTTTCCTTTTCTTTTGACGTGTCTAATAAGTCACAGTGCAACAATTCCTCTCATCCGGCTCTTCTTCTTGCCACACCTATTTTCACACATCTCAAGGTTTGTTTGATCCCTCATATATCGAGCTTCTCTTCAAGTTGATGTCTCTAATAAGTGCCAGTCAAGGGTCCATCCCTCCTTTCAAGCTTTGACATCCTTCATCATGGAGTCTAAGCCTGAATCAGAGGGTAAACGGAAGCCCCGCATCGATCGCAACAGGAACCCCATAGACGCTGAAGTCGAGACTGGTGGTCTTCCCGAGAAGAAGATTTGCAGATACATTCAATGTGTGCTCCTTAACGCCCAGAATCAGCAACTAGGCGTGTGGACTGGTCTTGTCCAGTGTATCAAGCTTGATTTCCTCTTGATCATGGATCCACAGAAGCCGCAAATTGATGTTCGCATCAGCATAAAATGGACTGATGAGGAAAACCAGCACTCCGACGGCCCTACGAATCTCAAGTTCCACATTCCAGCCGATCAGATCAAGAATATCAAGTGTTGGGCCATCGTTGCTCCAAATGAGGTACGCTCATACCTTTTGGTTCTTGATTGTCTTCTTTGTTTTCTATTTCTTGCCTTTTGTGGACACAAGCTAACTATTGAAAAACACACAGAATCAGAATACCGATCCAATGCCTTTTGAGATCGCTGCAAACACTGCCAGCGAAAAGAATGGGATTGTTGCTTTTAAAGAGTTTCTGCAGATGGACTTTGGACCTCAGGAGAACAACAATGTTTATTCCCTCATTCAAGCAAAGAAGCTCCATGTTCTCACTGTCGAGATGCATTCCAGCGACTATTATGATGAAAGAGATGATCGGATTAGCACTGGCCTCTTCAACGACACCGTCATACGGGGATCAGACCGAGACGTTCCGACAAATCCGTGACATCTTTTATTCGCACCCTGAGTTTTACTTCATTGCGAAGAAAGCAGACATCACAAAGCTCCTTGATGAGTGGTGGGATCTCAAAAAAAATGCACCAGAGTATCCATCTCTTGATAAAGAGCTCTTCCCTGCCCATCCCGAACATCCATATTTGCAAAAGGGCCAATACCTCACGCAAGATCTCCGTCCCCAAATGAGGTCTCGGGTCCAATGGTCTTTCAGAGACGCTTACGAATACAACGTGTGTGTCGGATACGGTGCAATTATTCAACACGAGCTCGAACACAACATGAAGATGGATGGAAAATGGTTTCATGCGGAGATCAAGGTTGTTCCCATTCCTGGGATTGAGAACCGCTACATGGGATTCTTGAGAATACCCGCAGATATCGCGAGATTGCAACCGGGGAGCCTTGTATTTCTGCGCTTTCACTCTGCCTCTACTGAGAACGGTGCCGAGGATACCGCTGAAGGTCCTGCTGAGGAACCTGCTGAGGAACCTGCTGAGGAACATGTTGAGGATCGACCCTACGGTGTCGAACGCCAGCCCAAGCAAAAGAACGCAGTGTCTATGGACAGATGGGTTGGTCATGTCGTCTCTCCAGGTCCAAGCGCTCCTCTGGACTGTGCCACTATGATTATAGACCCACCACACAACGTGTCTGATGGTGCAAGACAACCAAAATTGATTCACATACCGAGTGCAGATACGGACCGTGTCGGGATCGAGATGGCTGCATTTGAAACTGTCCAATGCCAGATACCCGTCAGCCACAAGCAATTTGACCAATTTCTGAGTTGCAACCAAGATCTTCAGCACTGGTCAAATGAGGAGATTTGGATCGCTCTTATGGCAACAGATATGATGCTTCTCCCGTTGATCGACTTTCTGCAAGGTATTGATCAGGACACCATCAACATGGTGACAGCTCTTGCAAGAGATGAGATGGACGTTCAGAAATTTGTGCATTATCTTCGCAACAACCATCGGGGTCGCATCTTCGCCATTGAAGGCCCCCCTGGAACTGGCAAATCGTACTTCATGATGCTGTTCACGCTAATGCATATCCTTGGCAATGAGTTCATTTACCCCGTGCACCCAGACAATCCTAGAGACAACGATGGAAAGTGGGTGTCGACGTTCAGAAATCTCGACAAGTCAAGTTCTGGAGAGACGAAGGACTCCGATCAGAAGAAATTGAAGAAGCGTCAAGTGGTGTTGATTGCTCCCACCAATGACGTGTGCGATCACAATGCACAAACCTTCGACAAATTTGCCAAAGATGCCGTTCCTGATCGTAACGTGATGGTTGTTCGTGTTCATCCTGTGTCCACCGAGAAGGCCATTGTGGAACGCAGATACACGGTTCAAAATTCCACATCCCTTCAGTCTAAGGATCTCGCGCCTACCCTTGCTACTGAACCTAGTACAGTTTCCAGTCCTGCTCTGGTTGAACATTCCGATCCTGTTATTGAATCGGCCACTGTTGATGAATCTGGGCAAAAGGACACCGCAACAGTGGAAGAGGAAGAGTCTACCGCCATCAATGCTCTCACTGATGCTATTCACCTGCGCAGTATCCGTGGACACTACGATCGAATGGAGCCGAGCACGAGATCTGCAAAACAGGGGATCCGAGATTCGCGCCTTCGACTTTTTGAGTTTTCTCTTGGCTACCGAATGCTGGAGGTTGCCGGGATGATTCCTGGAAGCCCATTCGCCAAGCCTGCTGGCACTTATTCTCGCTTTGAGGATCTTTGGGAGCAACACTTGCGGAATGACATACCCCTTAATTCCGACGATGAAAAGGCATTCAGAGCTGACTGCCGAAAGCTAATGCGAGAGACCCTTGACATGGCGGATGTCGTTTGCGGAACGCCACATGTGATTGGAACCTCAAAGATTTATCACTTTTTGCATCCCTCGTTTGTCGGTATTGACGAGGCAGCCATGTGCAAAGAGACTGATCTACATCCCGCATTGGCTTATTTGTTCCCCATTTGCTTCGGACTGTTCGGTGATGAGCGGCAGCTTGGTCCAACTGTCACAGGAACTACTGCTGATAACACCTTCCTTCGGCAAGTAAAATTGCCGCTGTTCACTCGCATGTTGAAGGCAGGGGTATCAGCCGGGAGACTCAAAACTCAGCAGCGACTGACTGATGACATACATACGTTCATCAAGCACATTTTCTACGAAGGCCAGCTGAAATATGGGTCTGCACAGCTCACAGACCCTGATCGTGTTGCTGAAAGGGTAGGCAACTTCAATCGTCGGCATTACAGGATCAACAGGAACGTCATCTGTTTGAACCATGAACACGGCAATGAAGAGTACTTCGCCAACTCCACTTCTATCTTCAACAATGCCCACATCGTTACCGGTATCAATCTCGTCCGTCAGCTTCTTGCAGAGAGGATTGTGCAGCCTACAGAAATAGCGATTATCACAGGATACGAGGCTCAGTACAGAGCCTATCTCGCAGCTGCGGCCCGTTGCCACGAGCATGATGCACCAGGAAGCGAGAACTGGTTAAATGTCCGTGTGCACAAGATCGATTCATTCCAAGGCATGGAGGCAAGCATCGCTGTAGTTGACCTAGTTCGCACCAACGGTCTTGGATTCATGCGCGAATATCAGCGACTCAACGTGGCTTGTAGCCGAGGTCGCTTTGGTTTGTACATTCTGTACAACCAAACAGGCATGAAAAATTCCTTGGATAGCAGGCCAAGCTTTTTCGTCAACAATATGCTTCACTACATCGATGAAAATGAACTGTCTTACCCAGTCCAGGGGACGGATTATGAGTCTGAACTTTTGACTTTGGCAGTTCCGCATCTGAAGGAAGCGCAGACAACTGCCGATGAACAATCTGAATCTGCCACCAATGCACAAGACCGGGAGACCTCGAGTGGTGCCAACGAAGAGTGTGAAGATCTTACGTTTGCAGAGCGTCGAGCTGCTCGGCGTCGCGATAAGCCACATTATCAGAGCTTGTGCCACAAACGGAATCGTCGGGTTGCTGGTTGGGATGATCCTGCAATTTCTCATGCTCAGGATACCCGCGAGATCTATGAAAGTCCAACTACAACAGAGGAAGCTGCCGAACTAAAGCACAAAGGGAAGGAACGTGCTCTCGATATCCCTGTGTCGTCTTCTGTCGCAATGCAGCATCAGCACACCCCCGAAATGACTCCAGAGGATTCACAGTTTGATGAAGATACCCAGCTGGCGATGCAGATATCCTTCCTGACAAAGCCTGTCCATCATTGTGAGACTGGCGAGAGCTCAGCAAGTGCAGAGAAGCAACGTATTCCTGAATTGGAGGTGGTTACTCAAATTGCCAAGATGGAATCGCTCTTGGTAGTGATGACAACGCAGCTTGCAAAGATGAAAGCTGATATCGCTGTCAATACAATTAAACCCGTTGATCCAACGCTTAATACCTCAAATCTTGCACTTGATCCGGATGCTCCTACGACTACAACCATGGCCGAATGTGACGACTTGGCGGATGATGAGGATATGGAATCAATCAAGAGCTGGTGATGACATCACGAAAAGCAATCTGCAGCAAATGGGAAGAAATCGTGCCTAAGGACTGTTTTGAGTATGGGAATTTTCCGAACCGATGAGGACGTGATGCGTTGAGAAAACGGAAAAACACAAAAAAAAGATAATACTAGTTAAAACCAATTAAAAAAAAAGGTGAAGTCTACACTTTGTGTGGATGGATCCAAAAAAATTCAAAAGTTCATTGTAGACCTTAGGCTTTTTAGATATTTGGAATAATTGGCCTCAAACTGTAGAATACGATTGAAACCACATTCCTACAAAACGACTTTCTGTATATCTGCTGTAATAACAAACCGCCGGAGGAGAGGTCTACGTGGACGTCGAGATGCATGGTGCAATGTGATGACTGAATGGTTGAAGAAGCTAAGCTATGAGACTAAGAAAGTTGACAGGATAATTCAAAATATCACTGTAGACGTTATAATTAAGACTCCGCCACAATATCTTTTGGGGATTGATAGTTATGTAATCCTAAAAATCTAGGTTTCATAGACCGCCTTCCTCACGCCTTCCTATTTTATACACCGCCTTCGTGTCAAGCTACACATACAATAGTAGCAAGACGGCTGGTACCTGCAATTTGTATGTAAACCTTATACAAAATTAAGTCACTTTTATCAACATAACACTCCGTAACTATATAGGATCAAACAAATTGATACTCCAATTCTGGTTTACATACATTAACCTGCCTTCTTCCTACTCATTTTCTCATCACTTTCTTTATCAGTTTCATCAATATCTTCATTGAATTCATCATCTCGACCATCGAATTCATCGCCACTATCGTCAATATGGCCTCCTAAGGTTATTCCCGAGTCCCCACCTGCCAAGCACCTTGCCAAGCACCGAGATAGGCACCCAGTAAAGCACCCAGCAAAGCACCCGGTCTTCCCCCGATCTGCTCAATCAGGATCGATCTACCTAGCGAGACCCCTTAGGATTCAAACATATGCTCTCTCAGGACGGGGACGGGGACGTGGCACCGAAGCTGCTAATACTGAAGCTGCCAATACTGGAGGACGTGGACGTGGACGTGGAGGAAAAACGCGCGGGGAGGTGCCTAAGAAATAGGATGATCACTATGTAGAGTATCAAGGTAGTAATCAGACAGAAATGTACGATTTTTTACTATGTAAACCAGAATTACATGGTGGTGGCAGAATTCAGTGTCGCATCCGATCAGGAAGGCGGTGATTGGATTTTGAATAGTCAAGGGGGTACATATATCAATCCACTATCTTTTTTAATGTTTGGTCTTGTATTAGACATAAAGCCGGTGAAAAGCACATTCCTACAAAACGACTTCCTGTATACCATTTATCAATTAATTATCACGCAATCATAACCGAGAAAATTACGTAGATGTCAGTTACTTGCTCATTATGAAATCGCGATGATGGACAAGGGAAAGGTTATACCTAGCATCGGGGTCTCTCCTCTCTCCTCTCCTCTATCCCCTCCCCACCCTTAGTTCAGGCAACACCAAGTATTGCTTTACACATGGCGTTTCCTGAATTGAGATCTCGATCTTCCGCTACATTGAAGCTCATGCACCGCAGCGGCTTCAATTAGCGAATGACCAAAGTACCAATGTACGGTCAATTACCTTTGATTCTGATAACTTTAACTTTCACTTTCCATTTGCTCAATAACCATTCTCATTTTTCTTCTTTTCATTATTCAGCGCAATGTTTCGTTTGCCTCGTCTTGAGTTTTCGAGGTGACGCCAGCATTACGTCTTACATTGTCCCTGATAGGTAAAGTCAAGTGAGTCACGCACCTTCCAGTCCTGGAGACATGGAACGAACCTATGTACTTTTCTGACTCCATCACAACAGCTCGCTTCATCCACCACCTCCACTATTCTTCGTCTCAGTATATCCGATGGATTCTCCAGGGCCTGTCGACTCCGAGGGAGCGTCTGCGGTCCAAATTTCCATTGTACTGGATTCCAAACCTCTACAGACTTCCTCACCCCTCGATCCTCTGCCAGAGTCTGCCGACAACGAGAGAAGAGAGTTGATCAAAAAGGTTGGTCAAAAAACAAAGCACGATAAAGTTCCTGCAGCCTACTGGGCATGTCTCTGGCTTGCGGATATTGAGTCACTTCGAGGGCTTGTCCAAATGGCGTCCAATACGATCGGAAGCTCGGCTCTCACCGTAACACAAACGTCTAATATGATTCCCTACTCCTTAAGGGCATGTAAGCCACCCACTCCTTCTACTCCCTATTTACAAGTTAAACGCTAATTCCGGGTCCCTTAGGGCAAGCGAGGACAAGGACTTTTACAAATCCCGAAACAACGACTACGATCCCGAGCAAGCGGAAGGTGTCTGATGAGAAGCAAACTACACGGGACTGGAACGCCAAGAAGGCTGTAAGTTGTTTGATTTGAGTCAAGCGACAGATGAGTCGTTTACTAAAACCTTGAATAGTGCATGCAGCGTGATGGTGCTCGTTGCGTTATCACTGGAAAACAGAGAATTTCGGTCGCTCATATTGTCCCATTCGCCCTTCACAAGCATGCACAAACCGAAAAGTCAAAGGAGTTCTGGCAGGTGCTTGGCATGTTTTGGACCGAGTCAAAGGTTAAAAGATGGATGGATACAGTATCGAGTGCAAAGGGCACAGAGATCTGCGAAAATTTGATCTGCTTGAGTCCCGATATCCACCTGGCGTGGGGATATAATGACTTTGCACTTGAGCCAATCGATATCGTTGACGAAGGCCATACATTTATCACGAGATTTTACTGGCTACCGAAAAACGAACCAGGCCATGTTTTGATCAATTCCCCGCCGATTATCAAGCTTTCCCGGCCCGATCATACTGATCCGATCCTGTTCGAGAACCCCGATATGTCCGTGCACAAGATGCAATCCGGTGATCAAGTCCTTTTCCATACCGCAGATCCTATGACTCACCCCTTGCCATCATGGGATCTTATGTCAATGCAATGGGTTTTACACAGAATTTGTGCACTAAGTGGCGCAGCTGAGACCACGGATGACAACAGCGAACCGGATTCAGACGATGACCTTGCTTCCGAAATCGACACTGACGAAGAGATGGACGTCTCCGACATGGAGTCTGAGTCTGAGTCTCACGACAACGATTTCGAGTCGCCTCTGGCGTTCCAGGGTAGAAACCCCATGAATATACCCCGTCCAGTACCCAAACCCAGCACAACAGAAGATTCCCCCGCCCGCCGGTCCTTCTCTGAAGTGAGCGTCAACGCATCTATCTCCCGCCAAAGCTCACCTGCCCGTGATAAGACAGGACAGAACATCGCATTGCTCCCTTCTGTTCCGAGTCCCAGAGGCAGAGAGAACATCTTACCTTTTCGCCCAACGCTTACGAGAGACCGTACATTGCTGTCCCCAGAAACAAAGTCTGGTGTCTCCGAATCGTCCGTCGACAGCAATTCCGCGAGCTTTTTGACAGAAGCACAAGATCACATAGAGTTTTGATACTACTATGTCCCCACTGTTATCTCCTCATCTTGCTGCCCATAATTACAACCTTTTTCAATTCACGATCTGTCTTAGGGGTGTTATTATTACGTTGCTAGGTACGGTCCCTATGACGAGATGACTGAGTCTCATGGTTTATTCTTATTATTGTGGACCGCACGCCCCTTTGCTTTATTTTGACAGCCAGTTGTATTTTACAAGGAGTGGGTTTGCTTGAATTGAACAGAATTGCTTTCTTTTTCGGGAAGTATGCTGTAGAGCGGCGTAGCATGGGGCATACGGTCCCAAGCATAGGCTTCAACCCATTTTCTTTTACATCTTCTCCCTTTTCTCTCTTTCTTCTACGAAATTCCAATCCCATCTCTTGATTTCGATCATTCGGCTACTCTAAAAGGCTACCTTTCTTTCCGAGCTTATTCCTGGTCAGGTAGTCTACACAATTCCAACCATAGGCCACTACCTCACACCCTTCGAGTATAAATGGCGCACGTATATGCTCTGGGATACTGGAAGTACGTCAATTCTCCTTTTTGGACAACTGATCCTTGTTCTAAACGCATTCAGTGGGATGCTTTCGGTACCCAAATTGGTTAGCATACTTTTATACCTCAGATACATCTGTCTTGTTCTTCCATAACTGCACCTGGGATGAGAAATTTACACAACGAAGCCTCGCTCTTCGTTTGCTGTACTAAAAGCTCCGGGGAGTTCAAATGCTACACCTTGGGTCTTCGATCTATATCAGCTATTCCGACCTCTCTCCTTTCTAACAGCGGAAAATCGACGAGATAATGGAAAACCCGATGGACCAGAAGTCCGAGAAAGTTTTTGAGTCATGAGTGATGGTGTTTTCCATGGATGGTAACTGGGAGCACGGCAAAAAAAATGAAAATGACAAAAAGAACAAAGGAAATAACTGGATGGAGTTTAATGCCGTCGATTCAATTCAATTCAACCAATTTAAGTTTTCTTCCTTTTTATTTTCTTTGCTAGCCATAATATACAAAAGCAAGGCAGGGGACGAAACCACCAAACTGGGCTGGAAGGGAAGCGACAGATCTTGTCACTGGGCTAGTGGGCTGCCAAATTACTTCCTCCCACAGTTCAACGTGCACGGAATAATTAGGCGATCTCTGGATATCGAACAGAAGAATGACCTTCGAAAAGCAGCTGCAATCAAAGCACTCAGAGTGATGAAGGAAGTGGTTGTCCTAGACCGTGATCATAGAGGAACGCGCTGCGGCTTCGAGAATGATAAAGTGCATCTTCCCTCAAATTTGTGCTAACCGATTGATCGTATCTTCTTGAATGAATACCCACTGAGAGGCCTTTTCCCCAGACGGCAATCGCACCACGTGGCTCTCACTAATACGACTTTGGACGTCTTCTTTACGGATGCGGACTATCTATATACTAATGGTAGAACAGATAGGGCCCCTAACAATATCAGCTTGCCCAGGTTGCCAGAGATAGTCGAATTTCGGGTGAGGCATTTGCTCTCTCCTGCATGTTCAGATATACTCTTTCCAGTTGGGAGAATACTATAGGTTCTTCCGGAGGTCGGAAAGCGATTCTGAGTGACCGGCTTCAACAACAAAAGATAGCTAGACGCTTTTCGCTAGAGGGCGGTTTTGGAGAGAGAGAGAGAAGGGGGGTGTTCATGACCGGTACGATGGAATAATCCCGTTCTTTACTACAAAAACGTCCTTTGATATAGGCGCTGCCGCGAGTTTTTTCACAGAAGCACAAGATGACATAGAGTTCCGATACTACTATATCCCCACTGTTATCTCTTCATCTTGCTACTCATAATTACAAACCCTTTCAATTCACGGTTTGTCTAAGAGGTGAATTAATTACGTTGCTAAGTACAGACCCTATGACGAGATGACTTTGAGTCTCATGCTCTATTCTTATCCCCTTTGCTTTATTTTGACAGCCAGTTGTATCTTACAAGGAGTGGGTTTGCTTGAATTGGACAGAATTGCTTTCTTTTTTGAGAAGTATGCTTTAGAGCGGCGTAGTATGGGGCATACTGTCCTAAACATAGGCTTCAACACGGTTCTGTATCGATTTTACTTAACGTTAACCTGGCGAACAAAACCCTAGTCAAAGGCTAACTATATATAGAAAGGTCGGCTGCATAAAGTATGCTTTTTACCGCCTTCGTATACACCTAAGAAGACATCAAAAAAGACAAAGGTATCTAAAAGAACATCTAAAAACCTCATCGGAGGGTTCTTATATACTGCTAATACCATCTTGGTCCAACCTTGGAAGTCGATCAGATTATTAAAATCTTAGGTCATCAAGGACAGAGGCCGCATAAGCCGGCCGAATATTCTAGTTTGATATACTTAAGATCTGCAAACGCACAACCTCAAAAATTCCAACCAACACACCAATAATAACCCAATTGAGCTAAGAAAAGCTATATATTAAGGGTGGAATAAGCAAAAACAAAAAGAACATGATAAGAGTGGGATTCGAACCCACGCCTCTTGCGAGACCAGGAAACTATTTCTAGTTATGGAGTCAAGGTATACCTTAACCTGGCGCCTTAGACCAACTCGGCCATCTTACCAACGATGAATGACGGACGAGAATATGGCTACATGAACGGAACGGAAATAACCAGACCGTGTACTATCACAGGTATCTCCAATCGAGTCTCTCAAAAGCATGTGAACTTTGGGCCGACACCCGGAATCCCGACAATTTGGCCATATGATAATATCACAGGCCCCCAATCTATATTGTCTACGGAGTAACCGACGGATAGACGGGATTCCAGCCGTGCTTCTGATTGCCGTAAGCCGAGGTCAAAGCCCGCCGTTGGACCGCTACACGGAGTTAACTACATACCGTAAATGCTATGCAAGAGTGGCATTGATTCATTATCTAGCGCAAACTCTGCGAAAGATCTAACGGAAGTCATGACAGGCATTGGATCCTTTCTGTTTGCCGTCATTAGTATCGACGGTCGTCGGGCTGAAGGGTTACAATGGCCGATTCGCGCACCGAACATCGGATGATGATTTATCTGGGGTTTGATGATGTTCACCAAACCGGGGTTCGTCGGCTGTCGGAATGAAAGTTTCGGAGAATTAAATTCATGTTTAGAATAAGATATCATTACATTGGCTATTGCTCATGTATATCGGGATTGTAGTTCCGGTCTTCAACTGGGATTCAAAGCCTTGGACTTGACAAATGAGATAAAGGATGAGAGCGGACACCGATACATTTCAAGAAAGTGGGGAAAAAAAATCCGAGTAAAAGATTGCTGAGGAAAACCGCAAATGTATTCAATGGGTATTGGGTCTGTCCATAGGACCAGACTAATTATGAAGTTATATGAGCAAATGAATCTAGACTAAAAACAAAACTTCCATTCCGAAAACCACTGCACGGCAGAAGGGTATCTCAAACCTTCTCTAGTGCTTCGCGGTGACACTGTCGCCGGTCAGTTTTTCGACTGCTTCTTTGGCCCTGTTCGGTGAAAAGGAGATCTGGTTAGCCCGAGGTTTCACATGAAAAATGAAAGGTGGATCGCAATGACGACGGAATCACGGGAAAAGTCTGGAGAATTGAGGGGAAGTGGAACACTTACATGTCACCAAGAGCAACCATGCAGACGGTCTGCCAGATGCCTAGACCGATACGGGGAGCCACACCACGGTAGAGCCCACGGATGCCGTTGCTGTCGTAGATGTACTTGAAAGTCTTGCCGACAGTCAAGTTCTTGGGGCGGTTAGGGTCAGGGGTCTTGCTCTGCATCTCGACACGGATGACCTCAATAGGCTGGTTCCAGGCGGACAGACCACCACCGAGACTGGAAGCCAAGATCTTTTCCCCGGCAGACAGCTTGGCGCCTTCCTCCTTGTTGGCAGCCTTGCGGATAGCCGACTCGGCGAGACGGGACAGGCCGAAGCGGGAACCCCAGTTGGTAGTCTGGCGAATGGCGACGGCGTTGACACCACGGTTGATACCGCGGATACCCTCCTTGCGGTAGATATCCATGAAGGTCGCGAAGGTGCCGGGAGGCTTAACGCCAGTAGCGGCCATCTTGTGCTTGGTAATCTCGACGGTCTTCATGCAGGTACAGAAACCCATAGTAGCATAGGCCTGAGCGACACCGCCAGCCATACCACCGCTGATACCGGAGACGAAGTCATTGGCACCGAAGGAGCGGGCGTGGTATTCGGCCTCGGAGGCGACGAAGAGGAGAACCGCACCCTTGGTGGATGCCTCAATCCAGGCCCACGGAATGAGTCCCTGGTAGTCTAAACATCGGATCTCGCAATTAGTTTTAGTTCAGTCCGGGCACCCCCCCAACTCGCTAGCTAGGGAGGTCGGGGGAAATTGGAAGCGGGTATTGAGAGGATGTAGAAGCGGGTATTGAATGGACACTTACAACCGAAAATGCCGCCACGGCCCCAAATCCGACCCATAGCGCCCGCGAAGCTATCGCCCCGGTTTGCGGCCATGGTTGTCTTGATCACCTCCAGCGGCTTTGGGGATGGTTAGTTGCATTGTTTACTAGATGATGATTGAAGTATGCCATACCTGTCCCAATGATGTAACCTCAAACAAGTTCAATCCTGCGCCCAGCAACAAATTGCTGAACTTGACGGGCTTCTTCTCGAGCTTAGGGGCCGAGGCCGCGGATGTAGTTGTAGACATTCTGGGATGATGGATGCGCTGAAAGGGGCCCTGACCAAGGGATATAGGGGGCTTCGTGCGTTTAAGAAGGGGGAGGAGGACTAAGAAAGTCGAAAGAGGATGGATTGCAAGTGTGTAGGAAGTTGAATGGAAAAGAGGAGAAGAGTGAGGAAAGAATGTCTTATAGGGTCGGGGAAATCAAAGGTTTGGGAGAGTAAGCTGGGGGGACAACTGGTACCTGGTACATCCGATCTGCAGAGTTTCCACTCATACTATTGGGTACTCGGTACCTCCCATACCAGCGGAATCCACCGCATTTCGGAGTCCGCAAAGTACGGAGTACGGACTATATTTATTTATTTATATATTTATTTTATAAATTGGACCTTATATTTAATTTTACAATATATAATATAGCATACATATATCATATTAACATACAATTATCTAGTCTAGTTATCTATTCTATTGTACTTTTGTGTTGACATGTGGAGACGTTGAGTTGTCCCAACAATACCCGCATGTGATCGATTCAACACAGGTAGCCGTCAGACCGTGTGATATCCTACGCTGTACCTTTAGTCCCGTCCGAATTTAGCAGGTTTGGCTTTTGACCGATATACATGTACGGAGTACTATGCATACAATTACGGAATATATCGTGTTTTTGTTTTAAAATAAATTGGAGATCATAAATGATTTGACATGGAAGTTCTGTTACAAGGCCCGCTCGAACCGATCAAGTCCCTATCATACAACATGAAAATAACCAAAGACTCTCTCGGTCAAACAAAGGAGATAATACAAATGTCTAACCCAGGTTTTCAACGGGCCCCGAGGGTGATATTAAAAAAAAAGAGATGGGAAAATTCATGAGCTTAAAGCTTAGCACCAACCAACTTGGCGTAGGCCTCGGTGCTGAAAGACTTGGGGCGCTCAATGGGCATACCAAGAGCACGGTCGATGATCAGCTGGGGCAGGACACCAATGGCACGGGACACACCGAACAGGACGGTGTAGTAGTTAGCCTCGGTCAAACCGTAGTACTGGAGGAGGACTCCAGAGTGGGCATCGACGTTGGGGTAGGGGTTCTTGGTCTTGCCGTGCTCGGTCAGAACGCCGGGGGCGATCTTGTAGACCTGGCTGACCAGCTTGAACAGAGGGTCATCGGGAAGCTTGCGGAGAGCAAACTCGCGCTGGGAGACGTAACGGGGGTCAGTCTTGCGCAGAACGGCGTGGCCGTAACCGGGGACGACCTGGCCGCTGTTAAGGGTGGCCCAGAGGTAGTCCTTGATGGACTGGTCACTGATGTCGCTGCCGACGGACTCCTTCATCTTGGTGATCCAGTTCAGGACCTCCTGGTTAGCGAGACCGTGAAGGGGACCGGCAAGACCCTGGAGACCAGCGGACAGAGAGAGCATGGGGGAGCTCAGAGCACTGCCAACCAAGTGGGTGGTGTGGGCGCTGACGTTACCACCCTCGTGGTCGGAGTGGATGGTCAGGTACAGACGCATCAGCTCAACAAAGTCCTTGTTGCCGCCGAAGCCAAGCTGGTTGGCCAAGTTGAAGGAGTAATCCTTGTCCTTCTGGACAGGGGCGACCTTGCCATCTTTGAAGACGTTGCGGTAGATGCGGGAAGCAATGGTGGGCAGCTTGGCGATGAGGTCCATGGAGTCCTCGAAGGTGTAGGTCCAGTACTCCTTCTTGTTGACACCCTTGGCGTAGGCCTTGGCGAAGGCAGACTCGTGCTCGAGAGCGGTCACGGCCAGAGAGAACTGGGCCATGGGGTGGAGGGTGTTGGGGCAACGATCGATGAGCTCCTCAATGAACTTGGGGACATCGGAGCGGGCAGCCCACTCGGCAGACAGGTTACGGACCTGCTGCTCGGAGGGGATCTCGCCGGTCAACAGAAGCCAGAAGAGACCCTCAGGCAGGGGCTCCTCACCACCGGGAGCCTTGGGCAGGAGCTTTTGGCACTCGGGGATCTAGAAATAACAATGAGCAAAGCGGAAAAGATATCCGAGTCAATGAAGACCTACAGTGTAGCCACGGAAACGGATACCCTCCTCAGAGTCGAGGACGGAACCCTAGAAAAAAAAAACCGAGGTTAGCGTTGTCATTTGCCAGGGGCTGTGAAATTTCTCAACTTACCTCCCAAACGAGGGACTTGATGCCACGGGCACCACCGTAGGCCTGGTCGAGGGTAACCTCACCAATGACCTTGCTGCCGTGCTCCCTGAAACAATTGAATACCATGATCAGCTGTTGTTTGATTTCGAATAAAAGGGCGCGTCACATACTTGCGGAGCTTCTTGACCTTCTCGATCTCGGCGGGCAGGTTGTCGGCGAAGGTGTCCTTGAGGGACTAGACAATTAAACTAGGTTAGCATTCTGTTGAAGCTTAGTTAAGACCGAAGGATGAGCATCATACCTTAACCTTAGCGGAAGAGTAGCAGCGCACGCCATTGAAGGCAGCGGACTGCACCGGCTTCGCGATGGAAGACCGGAGAGCGGTAGAACCGATTCTGAGGGAAGAAGCCATGTCTAATCAGACAGGATATATGGGATGGGTAATATGGAGGAGATGGAGAAGTGGTCACAAAGCCTGGGGGAGAAGAAGAAGAAAGGAAAGAATTCGGGGACCGACCTCTTTTGCGCCTGGAATTTTCTCGGTTTTTTTCCCATTTGGCCGTATTACAGCCGGTACCGTCGGTACGGTAACTGGACCACCTTCGGGACGCCGTGGAAGCTCAGTCAGCTATAGACAGCTCTCTCTATGGCGGTAATTTTCCCCCAACGGTACGGAAGAGCACGGGCTCGGGCTGCCGGCAGATCAACTACGGTGATGTTCACTACTTACTTTGGGATATGTGTTCTTTTCTGTTATACTATAGTAACGCTACATCTCTAGCTCTATGAGATTATGTATCTATATAAGATCGGTATATCAAGAGAATATATTAATTTAGTAATAATTCCAATATACGTAATTAAATCCTCCCACATCCTGCCCCGGTTCTAATGTTTCCAAATTTCGCGGTACTGCAAATACAGTCCACTCCTGAGCGGCAGGTAATGACGTCGGAAAGTCGCCATTTTCTTCCGCCATCCGTCCGATATGGAAACCCTCGGTCGGAGCTTATCAGATGGATATCAGTACATGTGTACCTAGGTATACATATATGTCCTAGTATATTTGATACCATGACCTCAAACAGACAGTTGTAGATCCCAAATTCCAGGGTTATCGTTGTACAAGATACGCATGTTGTACAATGGCCTTTCTGAAATGGTTCACCGAGGTCGGGAGCTATAGGGCGGCAGCCAGGGGCAGAAATGTATTGGTACAAAGGGATGGGACGTCTATGGGTCCCTCGGCTCAACGATCAGCTGTAATCAGCTGTAATGTAAGATGTTATGCTTCATTATTGTTTGATGAATCTTTCATTGGAATCAAAATATCTTCAATTTATGTTCTTTAGCTGGCTTTCTTCATTAGTTCAATAATATAGACTTCATGATCAGTCCTCTAGGCTGTATACTATGTAACCACTAACTGAATAACTATGATACAAAAAAAGACAGTAAAAACAAATATAGGACCTCATTCAAGGTCAATATTTGAAACCTCAATGTTTATTGACACGAGCCTTGCGGTTTTTAGGGTTTGACGACAGTCACCTCGGCCTCTCTTTTAGCCGCCTAGGTCTTCAACTTCGGATATAAGATCAAAGCCTTCGGTTGCGGATAAAAACCAAAGACGCAAGTTGCAATCAGCACGTGATTTATCCATGATAGGATTAGCGCCAGTCGCAGAGTCTGCTTCTCTCCTTTGATGATCCTTCCATTAATCTTCATCTTCATCTCCCCATCTCAGCATCCTTCTTCCTTTCGATTTCATCAGTTTCTCGACCTCAGTTCATCCGCTGACTGCGCTGGACTTCACTGGATCCTCTTGGACTCCGTAAACCCTGATCTGGTTTTTTTTTCTCTGGGATCTCACTGCAAAGACGCTCTAGGCTGTACATCTCCCGTACTCCCCGTACTCTCGTACTCGGCGCCAGGCAGCCCTTCCTGGACACAATATCGCTAGGCTGTATTCCAGCTGTAGGCGGCTATTCTCTGGTCAACAGTGAATGCGCTCGTGGAGTCTGTAGTGAAGAATCGCCAGGGACTCGATTAAACATATTCTTTCCATACCGAGGGATTGTCCGTCGCGTCACGAAACGCAGTAGCCCGGAACTCTCGATTGCTTCCTCCCATCTGCATAAAGCCTTGACGGGGAACTCTTTTCTTTCTTTCTTTTGCGACTCCCCTTACACGTGGACTTCACGGTAGTATTTCCCGCCATGTCTTCCGCAGTAGCTGAACTGGAGAATCTTCTCCAATCCATGCTGGCTCTTAAGCCGCCTGGCGTATCCGGCTCAAAGATTGGTGGCATCACAAACTTGTGCAATGCCAACGTGCAGGTACGCTTGTCCCCTTTGGTCGATTGATTCATCTCATTGGTCCCGCCGTGATCGATGATATGCTAACCCTGCCCGCAGAATGAATCAGTTCTCATCCAGAAAATTTACACTCACTTCAAGAAGGCCCCGGGCTCCCACAAGCTGGGTGTGCTCTATGTGGTAGACTCAGTAACTCGACAATGGGTAGAGGCCGCGCGCAAGGCCGGCCAGGTTCCTGGCGGCGATGCGCCTGATGGAACTTTCGCCGCCGGTGTCAAGCGTGTCACTGATCTCTTGCCTGTCCTGATGACAGACATCATCAATAACGCTCCCCATGACCAAAAGGTACGCAATAGGACTCACCTGTATCATGATAAACCTCATACCCCGGCATCGCAGCCTTGGCGATGGCCAAGCCTTGCATATTGTATCCTTGCCCCGATGTACTTCGATCCGAAGATCATGCCGCCTTGACCAGACCGTTTCGAACATGTAACTCACATATACCCTGTCGCAATTTAGGACAAGATCAAGAAGCTGGTCGACATCTGGGAACGCGGTGCGACTTTCCCGTCCCCGATGCTCAATTTGTTCAAAGAGAAACTGAACACTGCTCAAAGTAAGTCCTCAAGGATGTCAATATACGCCGCCAATACTCACAATTCATTAGATGTCGAATCGAACACCCCCGAAGGATCTCCTGCACCGAACACCAACCCGATCGGAATCCCGCAACAGTCGGCAGCGCCCGATACCTCGAGCATCCTGAAAGCTTTGGCCGACATGGCCAAGCAGAACACTACCGCGCCTGCTGCACCTTCCGCTCTTGCGCCGGCCAACCCTCTGGGTGGTTTCAACTCAGCCTCTGTGACCCCTGCCAATGATCCGAGTTCGCATATGGCTGCTGCCATGAATGCACTTGGCGCCGGTGGACCTGTCGCGCCTCCCTTCGCAGGCATGGCCGGCATGGGTCAGAACCCTGCTCTTCAGCCGCAGAGTCAAAGTGGAACTCCGATCTCGATGCCCGCTGCAAACCCGTTGAACGCGATGCTTCCTCAGGCTGCGCAGCCTGCCGCACCCGACTCGAACGCCATGGCACAGCAGCTCCAGCTACTTCAGATGCTCGCTGCTCAGGGTATCCCTCAGGATCAGTGGGGAACTGCCTTGCAGCTCTTCAGCATGACCAACAATGGTGGCATGGGCGGTATGCCGGGTATGCCTGGAATGCCTGGTATGCCTGCGATGCCTGGAGGCCCGATGGCTGGATTCAACCCGATGCAAGGACAGAACATTGGTGGATGGGGCAACCCGGACCCGCAGAATAATGATGACCGTGGCCGTGAATACCCTCGCTCGCCGCCCACTGGATATCGTCGTCGTTCTCGCTCTCCAGGCTGGGATAGACGCCGTACTGCTTCGCCCCCTCGCCGTCGTGACAGCCCTGTTTATGGAGAGTATGGTGAATCGCCTGGTCGTCGTGGAGACCCGCGTGATGCACGTGGCCGTCGTGGTAATGAATATCGTCAACGTAGCCCCCCTGGTGGCCGTGGTGGTAGACGTCGCTCGCCTTCGCCTGCTCGCAACAAGGATCCTAACCTGCCTCCCCCTGGACCCAAGTTCATTGAATGGGACTATTCGATTGGCCAGGGTATGATCAAAGTCTTGAGTCGAACTCTTTTCGTTGGTGGTGTCACCTCCTCTGAGGCTCACCTGCGTCAGCTCTTTGGTCAGTTTGGTATTGTTCAAACTTGCATTGTCAACGTGGACAAGCGCCACGCTTTTATCAAGATGGTTAGCCGTACCGATGCCATGCAGGCACGTGATGGAATGGAATCTTACCGTACCGGCGAGATGCAACTCAGGGTAAGTCTTTTGCTTCTTTTTTTCTTTCTGGTTATCCCTCCGTGGGTGATTGGCCGTTATCTTGGATCTTATCACTGACCTTATCACTATAGACCCGTTGGGGTGTTGGCTTTGGCCCCCGTGACTGCAGCGACTACCAAACTGGAGTTAGCATTATTCCGATTGAGCGACTGACCGAGGCTGATCGCAAGTGGATGCTTTCCGCGGAGTATGGTGGAACTGGTGGACGTCCGATTGAATCTGGAATGATTGTTGAGGAGCCCGACATTGAAATCGGCGCAGGTGTTTCCTCCAAGGCTATCAGCCGTCGCATCGCCACTGACACTGGCGGCAAGCGGGGCCCAATTTCCACTCGTACCAACCCTAACCCCCAGGATGCTCGTTTCGGCGGTCGTCGTCCTGAGCGTGATGGATATGGTGGCGGTCCCCAGACGGGTGGTGAACTTGACATGCCTAACATGAACAACCAGGGAGCCGCACCTGCCGTTCCTTCGTATGGTTTCAACTTTGCCAGCATGCCCATGCTCCCTCCCGGATTCATGATGGGTGGTCAGCCCGGTATGCCTGGTGCTCAGCCTCCTTCCGGTGGTCAGGGCAACTGATTTTTCTTGATTCCTCATTGATGCGTGCATATGGTCCAAAATAGGTTGCGCGCACCGCGCATGGCAAAGGCGTTGGGGGATTGGACTCTTTTTTTTATCTTGAGGCATATCATTCGGCGGGGGGAGGTTTTCGTTCTTTCTACTTCTCTTATCTTTTTAATTCCCACAGTTGTGCATGAGGTCTCGCCAATGATGGCTGAATCAGGTGGACACATTCGGATGAAACAAATTTTACCAGAGAAATTCAAATAGCTCATTCACATGACCTCATGGTTCCCTTGTAATTGTAAGAACAAGAATAGTCGGCCGCTTATGCGGCCGTGTCAAGTCTTTTTTGGTACTCTTTATTATAGTCTTCTCAGATGATCTTTTAAATGTTTTTTTAGATATCTTTTTAGATATCTTTTTAGTGGTCATTTTTTGAGGTCTTCTCAGATTCTTCTCAGTTGGTCTTCTCAGTTGGTCTTTTTAGATGTCTGTTTTCATAGATATTTTCTCCCCCTTCTCAATCTTTTAGCTAGACGGTAGAAAAAAATACTTTGTGCAAGAGACTTTCTATGTATAACCTTGGATTTTTAGGCTCAGCCTTGTGATTTCCCTATGGAAAATCTACGGACATGCCTTACTTGTAGTATGCGTCTTGTAAAAGTGTTCATTGATATCGTATCGAGGTCATCACTAAGTTTACCAGATCGCTATGTAGTGTCCTTTCTGGTGTATTTCATTTTCATGCACGAGGGCATCCACATGTGTCAGAACCTTTAGGCAGTACGGTCCGGCAGAGCCTTTGATGCCTGGAACGACTGCTCAAAGTCAGCAATGATATCGTCAATGTACTCCGTGCCAACCGAAATGCGGATTCCATCCTCCAGGACACCGGAGTCACGACGCTCCTGCTCCGTGAGCTGTTCATGGGTGGTGGACCAAGGGTGGATGGCCAGGGTCTTGGAATCGCCGACACTGCAGTGTATTAGTAAAAGCGTTTCAAATGAGCGCGAATAGGAATGAATCATACTTGGCAAGGTTCGAGATCAACTTGAAGTTGTCAACGACCTGAGCACCAGCGGCAGCGCCACCCTTGATACCCACAGACAGCACACCACCAAAGCCGCGGGGCAGGTACTTCTTTGCGAGATCGTGACTAGGGTGATCCTCCAGACCGGGGTATGACACCCAGCTCACATTCTCATTCTTCTGCAACCATTTAGCGAGGGCGATAGAATTAGTTGCGTGTCGCTCGCAGCGCAGACTCAGAGTCTCGAGGCCGAGGATCAACTGCTGGGCACCGAAGGGGTTCAGGGCAGAACCGAGGTCGCGCAGGATCTCAACGCGCACTCGGATAGCAAAAGTAAGCGAGCCGAAGGTCTCCCAGAACTTCAAACCGTGGTAACCCTCGGATGGCTCGACGAATTGGGGGAACCGGGCAGCGTTCTTGCCCCAGTCAAACTTTCCACTGTCAACCACGACTCCGCCAATGGTGGTACCATGGCCACCGATCCACTTAGTAGCACTGTGCACGACAATATCGGCACCGTGGTCAATTGGGCGAACGAAGTAGCCACCTGCGCCGAAGGTGTTATCAACCTAAAAGTAGATTCGTAAGCTTTGCAACCTCGCACGCTTTTCAAACAAAGAACATACCACAAGTGGGACACCCTTTTCGTGTGCAATCTTCGCAATGGCCTCGAAGTCCGGAACATTGTAGCGGGGGTTACCAATAGACTCAAGGTAGACAGCCTTGGTACGGTCATCAATGGCCGCAGCAATATCCTCAGGCTTATCACCCTGGACAAACTTGGTAGTAATTCCCATGCGCGGGAACATAACCTTGAACTGGTTGTAGGTGCCGCCGTACAGGTTGGTTGTGGAGACGATGTTGTCTCCGGCATGGGCGAGGGCCGAGATGGCCATGAATTGGGCTGCCTGGCCAGAGGAGGCGGCAACAGCGGCAACACCACCTTCTAGAGCTGCAATGCGCTTCTCGAAGACGTCGACTGTCGGGTTCATGATTCGGCTGTAGATGTTGCCGAACTCCTTGAGGCCGAAGAGCCTCGCGCCGTGGGCTGAGTCATTGAACACATAAGAGCTGGTTGCGTAAATTGGGACAGCGCGTGAGTTTGTGGCTGGATCAGGCTCTTGACTTGAGGTCTGGGTTAGATTTATTCTTTGAATTGGGAGCAATTGGACTTACCCAGCATGAAGCTGTAGAGTGTCAAAGTGGAGATTCTCGGACATGGTTCAGGAATGCGGGGAAGTTCCAAGGTCAGAATGGATTTGGGAAAGACAAGAAACTGCCAAACAGTGTGGGATTCTTAAGATTCTTGAGATTCTCGAGACTCTTAAGATCAAATTGAAGAAAACAAAGAAAACAAAAAAAGTTCAAGTAGAAGAGGGAAGAAAGAGGGACGATCTAAGATGGCGGGGTGCAGATGGCGTGATTTGGTTATACCTAGGTACATACTCCGCCGTGTTCCTGCATTCATACATAGTACATAACTATAACTAACTAACTAGGTACTATGTAGGTACATTATGTATATAGGTGTGCATTAGTTAGTCTGCTTTTGACTGATTATTCCAATTCTCTATAGTCTGATTTTCAATTCCATGACTGGATTCGAATATGTTACTGTTGAAGTAGTGCATACAAAAAAAGCAAAAAAACCTACAGTGAGGAGACGCTGGTCACCCAATAACCCCCCGTGTGGCTTATGTGTGGCCAATAGTCGGGTGTCGCCCAGGTGAGTTTACGAGAATCACCGCAAGTCGCGCGACAAGCGCAGAAAAAGTCCAATTCTGCTGGATAAAGAAGAGAGAAGCTATCTAAAACAGCTGATTGTACTCCGTATGCGGGAAAAGACTAGATAAAAATCAATTCTTCTAGCTTGTCCTTGATCCTCGATCCGAGAAACCCGTTTATCCTTCTCCTGTCAGGTGCAATCATTACCTCGGATGTCTCTTTACTTTGCCTGATCCCCGGGGTATAATATAAGCTTGGCAAATGCTCATAAACTAGATGGAGATTGCCCCGGATGAATGTTTCAAATCTGACCTTTTCCGGGGATGTCTCCTTGTCGACTAACTTTCTAGAAGCCTCTGCACGAGCCATAGCAGTTAAGAAAGCCTTGGATCTAGAACATCTTCTCTGCTTGTTCTACTGTAGTCTTTCTTGGCAGGCCATTTTCTGATCCCATTATAAGCCTCCTATATAAATATAGCAGCAAGTGCGAATGGCTCGATATAATGAGAGAATCCACCATTGATGATCCAGCCAGTGCCTGTGCATCTCGAATTACCCAGATTGCCTGGAAAGAAAGGCACTCGATGGTTGGTAACCCAGGACTACTCTGTAGCAGAGCAACCTCCATCTGCTTTAAAAGAGCGGCTTGCTCTTGGGATTTGGATGAGATGGTGATAATATTCGGTATCAGCTTGAGGCCTGGTGGGACAATTTCCAACCGTGCGGCAATGCTATTCCAGACCTTCTCAGTGTGATAGTGTCTCCAGGTAGATGAGTTCAGTTCGAAAAGCGCGTTGAGAGTAACAGAGCTAATACGTGATACAGGGATGTCAACTATTGACGTTTCGGTTGTTGAACTTCCTGGAGCTGCCTGAACTGATTGGATGGCAGCATGAACTACTTGAACCCAGAAATAGGCTTGTGTTTCGGAATAGGGGGAAACGAACTAGTTTGTCGTTCTAAGGCGTATTGTCGTCATCTTTAGCGAATAAAGTGCTTCTTTGACAACTTGGCCGCGGCGAGAGCCTGAAGCGAGAGCATGTTGAACAACTGCAAAGGTGTATTGGAGGAGCTGATCCGGGCTGTTGACTTGCCCAGAAGGAGAATCATGATTTGAAACTGATAGCCCAAGGGTTGTAGGTCAGGAAGTGACCACGACTCCCGTGCTGTTTCAGAGAACATATGCTCTTTGGTTAGTATAGTCTCCACAGACCAGTGTTCATGAGTGATGGTGTGTAGAGGAGCACTTGTTGAAAGTCAATCCAACATGGGAATTCTTCTTTCTTTGTGTAGAGTTTGTATCTTAAAATAGCATTCTGCAATTGCACGAGCCAGAATATTGTCATTGTTCTTTGATAATTTCTGCATAAGTCCCTTGAAAAGGATCATCGATTTGGTAAGGCTTCTTACCGATGTTCTGTATTTCGAAAATGAGGGTTTCGTCGTTCTCAGTCTCTTTAAATGCCCAAGGAAAGCTTCCACCAATAACTTGGTTCTTTTACTCCGCACCGGTACAAGTGGCGCGAAAATAAGGTCATCCAAGGGTCGGAATCTGTCAAGATTTGAATCTCTTCTATCTACCGTATCGACAATCTGACACTATCTCCGCCGTTATAGGCAAAACAGATAATGCAGAGTCAAGTGTGCCCAGATGTTATACTTCACAATCGAATCAACGGCCCGTGGACCGAGTCTCTAGAAAAATTCCCCAATGGGGTGACATACTGCTCTCCAAGTATCCATGGATGACATTGCTCCTCAGATACTCGAACAATTTTAGTTATAGACTGGTTTATCAAGTTTTCAATCATGCAATGTGCATTAGAAACCGTTCCGCTTTATCCTACCATTTGCCACAAATATTTCTCGTGCCCTAATTGCCTATTTGGGGGATAATCTGCAGAGGCCTAGAACGAGAATATTTTATCGATTCCTCAGTGCCTTGATACATCCATGGATATTACATGTATATCTAAACCTGGTCTATAGCGATAAAGAGCGATAAAGAGAGTTTCCAGTTCCGCTTCTTTAATGTAGCCATATTATCGTCCGTCATTCATCGTTGGTAAGATGGCCGAGTTGGTCTAAGGCGCCAGGTTAAGGTATACCTTGACTCCATAACTAGAAATAGTTTCCTGGTCTCGCAAGAGGCGTGGGTTCGAATCCCACTCTTATCATAAGTTTTTGCTTTTTGTTCATATCACTTACTTTTTGGTGTAATTGGTGAAGCTTTGTAGTCGAGAATGGTGTGGTGTGGCGGCTGGTTCGGTAAAAGAAAATTCTTCATTCTTGTGCGGCCGGTATACGTCGTCGGCAAGTGCCTCACTTTAACCTGCAATCATATACCTGGCTAGTATAGATACAACAAGACAATTCTTTTATATTCTAGTTGAGATAGTACATTAATTCAGCCATGGTGAGCAAACAGTACTCACATATTGAACTCAAAACTTTCAAGTCCTAATGCATTTTATTACCTATAGCATATGTCCGGGTGCATGATTTGGAACAAGGAAAGAAGGAGGAACAAAATCCAACAGAAAAGCACGCAGTTTAGTGCTTGATGTATAGATGCTAGGTAATAGAAACCGCTTTATATACTAGTGGCTGTTAGGGCAAGACTTTCAGAGCATATTCTTCTTTGAACCTCCTCAATGCAATGTTTTATCATGTTCACTGAAGGTCGCCGGGTCTATATCGGGTCTATATATATCGTGATATTAATATAAAAGCATATTAAAACTGCAATCAATGCTCTCCGTGAGATGTGCAATCGTCCTAAGTAGCTTGGTGGTGAGTGGTGAATGTGATAGCATCCTGAGCCTGACTATTGACTGCCACTGGTATCATGGCCTAGAAATAGACTGGCTTTTCGAACAGAGCCCGCTAAACAGGCCAGGGTGTAACATCCGAGGAATGTATAAGATGTATAGCTATTATGGTAGAATGCAAATATTGATTTATTAATAAACATTCAGGTCTTGAGATATAACCAATGTTGAAGAGCGTTAGGAGCTAGCAATATAATAGCGTAGCACCGACGACAAGAGCCCTCTGTAGTTTATCATTGAACTACCTGGTCACGAAAATCTTGGATATCTAAGTAGGAACTTTATACTTTATATTTACTTACCAGAGGTATCAGGCTACATAGGTATAATAGAAAAGGATCCCGACATCTATAGCACCATGCCAGTATTTTTCATAGCTGATCTCGTTTAGATAGGTTTCAAGATCAGATGATTGCTCTGTAGTGTGATTGATATCTTCTCCTTGCCACCATGGCCGGTGATAAGGCGGCCGGGAAAAAAAAGGGCTATTAGTTTGTCTTACAGTATGTATCTACTTGCGTAAGATTGCCACCTCTTCCTAGGGCAAAGAACCTAGTCATTAGTAGAAAATGACGTCTAACATCGAAAAGATCAAAGGTTACATATAGAAACTTCTACCCTTTTCTGCCGTCTACATAACAAACTAAGAAGGGGAAGAAAATATTTATAAAAACTGGTATCTAAAAAGACTACCTGAGGAGACTACCAAAAAAGAGACAAAAAAAGAACATCCAAAAAACACATCGGAGGCTTCTTAAATATAACATCCCTAATACCATCTTGGTTCAAATAGATCAGATTATTGAAGTCTTAGGTCGTCAAGGACGTAGGCCGTATAAGCGGCCAACTATTCTCGTATAGCATCTGTATAAATTTCACTTATGGTCAACTTGACGAATAAGACCCAAGGTTGATAGATAGACTCGAGATCTGCACATGCACAGCCTCAACCAATCAGGCACCCACTTCTACACTAGCACATCAAAAATACCCCAATTGAGCCAAGAAGCCTTATATTGAGGCGGAATGAGCAAAAACAAAAAGAACATGATAAGAGTGGGATTCGAACCCACGCCTCTTGCGAGACCAGGAAACTATTGCTAGTTATGGAGTCAAGGTATACCTTAACCTGGCGCCTTAGACCAACTCGGCCATCTTACCAAGAATGATGAAATGACGAGAATATGGCTACATGGACGGGAAGCAATGCCAATATCTCCTCCGTACGGTCAGCGTGTGTTCAACTGGCAAGCTAACAATATAGCACTGAAGCACATCCAAGTCAATCGAGAATAAAAATTCCTTTACGTAATCAGCTATCGGCCTCCAATGTTGGAACGTTGGAAGGTTTGTGCCTCAACATTGAATCCTAAGTGTCTCTTGCTCAGGACTTGTGGACATGACTATAGAGATATCTAGCTCCATAATCACATTTAGTCTACAATGTTTGTTAAATAGTATACATATATAAATCAAGAAAACACCATACACCATACCATATACCGAACATGACAGATGAATCAATCATGCCCACTGTCGGGGGTGGCACAGCACATCCATAATCTCCTTCTCCTTGGTCTTATCCTCTGTCAGATCATCTTCATCCACAGACATGTTCTCCGTCCTTGTGCCAGAGACAGGGTCCATGTAAGCCCAGCTAGCGGTACGTGGGAGACTCATCAAGATACTTTCAACGCGCGCATTGGGTGTGCGCAAGCCAAAGCTAGTTCCACGATCATAGACAAGGTTGAACTCCACATAGCGGCCCCGACGAAGCTGCTGCCACTCCTTTTGTTCTGGGGTGTACAGCATGTCTTTGCGGCGCTCAATGATGGGCACATAGGAAGGAAGGAAAGACGCCAGACTGTCTGAAACGAAGGAGAACAGTGTCTCCTGCGGGTTGGAGGAGGAGCCGGCGGAGGTTTGAAGGAAGTTGGCGTCGAGGTCATCGAAGAAGATACCTCCAACGCCACGGCATTCGCCACGGTGGGGGATGTAGAAGTACTTGTCACACCAGGCCTTGAACTTGGGGTAGTATGTAGCATCGTGACGATCGCACGTATCCTTAATAGTCTTGTGGAAGTGCTGAGCATCCTCCGGGAAGAGGTAAGTCGGGGTCAGATCCGTGCCACCTCCGAACCACCAGTTCTTGTCCCCATTAATAGGGTCCTTGGGATCCGACGTTTCGAAGTAGCGGTAGTTGAGATGCACCGTCGGGGCCATGGGATTGTGTGGGTGCAAGACCAGCGAGAGGCCGGCGGCGAAGAAATCCAGCGAGTCCACCTCTGAGCCAACAAAGGACTTGTGATCGGCACGCATCTTCTCAATGGCCGGCCTGGGCAATTTGCCGTACACCACGGATACGTTGACACCCGCCTTCTCGAAGACGTTTCCGTCCTGCAGCACACACGAAATGCCGCCGCCGCCATTGGGGCGCGACCAGGTATCGGTCTTAAATTGTTGCCCATCGATTCTGCCTAGTTCCTCGATAATCTTCTGCTGATGTTGCTTGATGAGCTTTTCCATCCGTAACCGCATCGGCGAGGACTCGTTGATTTTCGATGATTGTTTTAGGGCCTCATCCACTTCAACCATGGACGGAGCGTCGAGTTCCGTGACTTCTTCTGTCATCTGGAATAAATGAGCAAATTGATTTCCTCGCAGTTTGGAGTGCCGTGTCATACCATTGAGTATATAATCCCGCCGATGAAAGGCACGCCAAAGGCGAGGCGCAAGTATGGCCTCCAGACAGTGAATGGCTTCGGTTCACGCGGGTTCTGCTCAGTGGAATATCCGCGGAACGAGGGCCCAGCGCGACGGCCAGCAATGCGAGTGCTTCGAGCAGACAACTGCCCCAGTGACCTCCGCAGAGGCGTGTATGATCGGGTGGCCATTTTTGGAATAGGATTGGTTGCGCGAATGGCTGCCAGTACAAAGTATCAAAAGGTCAATGGCCGAACCCGAGAGAGTGATAACCCAAATCTGTACAAAGAATGATTTGAGGAAGAAGTTGAATTGAGTCAATAATTCAGCAAAACACCACGCAACCTCGGTCTCAAATCGTACGACTTTCTTAAAGCTGAGTTTGATCTGTTTGACTGGATGAGATAAGCACGATAAGCGGTTCCCCCCGGGTTGAAATAGGCAGCACTGGGGCAATACGTGTAAGCCCCGGTATTGGTGAGATTGCTTTCATTTAGATATTCAAGGTCTGATTAGTATATTGAAAGGTAATTTTCTTAAATCCACTGATATAGTATGTAAATAATATATGTCTTTGCTATCCACGTGAGCAGAACCCCTCGAGACATATGATTTCTGCCGCGTGACTGTTGACTCACCGCCCATGGATCCCGTGATGGTATTACCGTAACGTCAGCGGGGGAGTCGCCTTGTCATCCTCTATCACCCCTCTTCATCTCTCTCTTTCTACTTTCTGCAAGATACTTCACATCCAGAGCTTTCCATCAAGAAAGCTACTACTGCTACCAACTTCGCACCAGAGCTTCCTGGTG